TTTTTTTTTATAGGCCTTTATTATTAGTTTAACCTAGTAAGTAAATATGTTTTAGTAATAAAGGTATTTATTATAGTTACCAGGGTTTATTTATTATAAAAAAGTAATATTTTTTTTTATATAAAATAGCAGGGAAAGGCATGTGCCCTTATTATAAATATAATAAAAGTAATTACGCCCGGGGGCTAAATAAATATAGTTATTAAAATTATTAATTAACTTATTATTTTTACATGCCTAAACATACTTTATATACTATAAGTAAATTTATTTTTTATTAGTTAATATTTATACTAGAGCTATTTTACCAGCAGGCTGGTTAAAAATAAGGTATACTTATAAAAAAAAAAGGCTAGAAGCTAGAGAAAAAAAAGCCTAAGAAGGTAGTAGTATAAAACCTATAATAAAAGTATTAGTAAAAGTAAAGGCTAGTATAGTACCAGGTAAAGCAAGAAAAAGTAAGTTAAAAGGCGCGGGGGCTATAGTTAAATAATAAGATAGTTATTATAAAATTAAAAGTTAGTATATTTAATAAAGCGCTAGCAAAGCGCCACTAATTAATAATTATTAAAGTAAAAAAAACTTACTAAATTATTACTTATAACCTTACTATATATTTTAAAGGTGCTTATTAAACGCAAGTTATACTAGTTATTACCACCCAAAAACTAATTAAAATTAAAGTTTTTAAAATTAATAAAAAACTAATATAAAAAGGAGATTAGGGATGCCAAGGGCTTTTAAAGTTAGTAAAAATATTATATTAAAGGGGTTTTATAACTATACCATAGTGGGAGTATAAAGGGTAAAAATAAGAATATTTTAAATTATTATAGTTATAGCTAGGCGCTTTTTTTTTACTTACTAGAAAGCTAGGGCAGCGCCTAAAAGGGCTTTTTTTTTAGTTATAATAAAAAAAAGGCAACTTTTTATTTAGTAAAAAGTTTAATAAGTTTAAAAGTTTATAAAACTATAAATTATGTTATAATTTATATTTTTATACTAGGTATTATTAAAGCGCCACCTTTTCCCTTTTAATTATAAATAAATATTATATTTTATTTAAAGCGCTATAAATAATAAAAATAAGATACTAAATTTAATATGTTAAATAATACTTTAATAAAGTTAAAAATAGTAATAATAAAGCTATATTTAGTGTTAATATTAATAATAATAGTAGTATTTTATTATTATTTTTTTTTAGTTTAGTGGCGGGTCGCGGACAACCCTTTAATTAAAAAAAAAAAAAATTATTAGGGCTAATATTTTTTTATTTAATATTACTAAAGCTAATTTATTATTAGTCTAAAGTTAATACCTTAAATAACCTAAGCTTTAGTCTTAGGCTACTAAGGCTTAATATACCTTACTATTATATTAGGCTATATAACTTAACTAGGTTATTAATATTTAAGGTTTTAATTATTAATTAAGCAAGGCTAGGGTAGGCCCTAAGTATAAGCTAGAGTAAAAACCCGTGTGTAAAGTATTTAAACCTATATTTACTTTTTAATTAGAAATAGCTTAAGCGTAGCTTAAAGGTTTATAAAGGTGGCCTTAAAGCTAGTTTTTTTTAAAATTTTTAAGCAACTTTTTTAGTATTATCCAGCGGGGTTTAAAATACTCTATTCTTATTAGTTAGATTCCTTTGTTAATATCTTTATTGTTAGTAGAGATCTTCGAGACTTGTCGGTCTTACAATACCTTTAATTTTTAATGCCTTTAGCACTCACGCCTTTACTTAATTAATTAAATTTTTTAGCTAGCTTAAAAAGACCTATATTAACCTTATATACCTAGTTTAATTTTTATAATATTAATAAAAATTTTTAATTATTAATAATATAGTAACTACCAAGCACATGGTTTACTATATTATAATTAATTAAAGTAATTTAGTACTTACTAAGATTTATATAAAAGGGATAATTATTTATTTTAACATGTTTTATTAAAATTATTTTAATAAAAAGTTTATTAAGGGCTTTATTATATATTTATATAAGTTTTTTATTATATAAAGTTTAAAAAAATAAGTAATTATAACGTTTTTATTTATTATAATAAAATTTTTAGTATTTAACAGGGCTATTAAAATAGCCTTATTTATAAAAAAACTTGCTAAAGCACTTAAAGTATAAAATAATAAGTTAATTATAGTATACTTTAATAATACTAGCACTATTACTAATACTACTAGTTAAAAAATTTTAGTTATTATATACTAGTTAGTTAATAAATACTTTTTTATATAAAATATTTATAGGTAATATTTTATAAAGTTTTACCACATGCTAAAAAAAAAACCCTATAAATAAAATAATTAAATTATTAAAAGTAACTAAGTTTACTATTTTTTAAAATATAACAAGCCTTAAAAAAGCCCTTTAATTAGTAAATTAAAAGTATAAAAGTTTTATTATTTTTATTTTTAGTAATATTTTTTATTTAAAATATATATATAACTTTATAATATAGCTATATATTACTTAGTTAAAAAATATATTAAACACCCGGAGGGCCAGTGCCTAAAACACGCCTATTTTAATTAAAACTAGTATAGCACGTGATAGTTAAGGTTTTTTTATAACTTACTACTTGCTATACATAAATAATTTAGAGGTTTATTATAAGCAACGCTATTGGCTAGTTATTAGCGGTCAACATGTACCTATTTACCTATGGCTAGTGCCGAGCAACGGTGTGGCTGGGGGTAACTAGGTACCACCACCTAGCTAAGGGGGGTAACTTGAATTTGAGCAACATGGGCGCCCAAAGTCTCAGCAATCCATCACTTGCAGGGTGATTATTGAAGCAATCACCACGTACTCAACAATATATCATCAAAGCTATTCGAGCCGCTTTCATGGCGCCGCTGAAAACTCTAAGAAGGGTTTCAAGGGCGACACTACCTCGATATCATCGCATGCTCCTTTCCACTTCCTCTTCGAGAACTACCAAACCTCCCCATCCCGGTAAGTTCGTCAAGATGAAATTGGTTGAGTTTTTACGAGCTTGGTTTTTCAAGGGTTACTCCACTTAGATCAACATAGTAGCGACGCTCTCTTTTCTTATACCTCTGGACGCTGGCTATGGAACGAGGCAGCCCAGCTTCGTAAACGGTACCAGCCCTTCAATGTCGAGGAACTCATGCAAACAGCGGCCAGGTCTGTTAATGCGGGCCTCTGCGTCAAAATAACAAAATTACCCGAAGGCTCATACAACAAAACCTTTCTTTTGACAATGGATAATGACCTCCAGGCCATTGCGAAAATCCCCAATCCTTACATCCCTCAGAAATTCGTTACAGCCAGCGAAGTTGCCACGCTTGACTTTCTTCGTAACGAGCTAGGTATACCTGTCCCGCGAGTCTTTGCGTGGAGCAGCAAGAAAGACCAGCCTGTGGGAGTCGAATATATCATCATGGAAAAAGCTGCCGGCAATGAGTTGAGCAAAAGTTGGCCCACTATGGATATATCGGATAAGGTGGACATTGTGTCCCAGTTGGCGAACATTCAAGCCAAAATAGCCGCTGTCGACTTCGGTCACTATGGAAGCTTGTTCTATAGGGAGGATATTGAGGGTGGCATTGATGTCCCTGGAATAGCTGATCGGTTTTGGGTCGGCCCCAGCTGTGATATACGATTCTGGGAAGAGGAGAGGAGATTCATGAGCGCGTTTAGGGGCCCTTGTAAGTCAACCTCATAGCCATAATTCAGGGATCCAACTATTGAGAGACTGGGCAAAATCAGGGTCGTCATCCGGGGCGTATGCAATTGATATCGCCAGGCGAGAGAAAGAATGGATCACCCGATTTGCAAATCCTCGTCATCCAGCAGACCCCTTGAGACAGTCAGACAGCCAAGAGTCTCCCGGTTGTCACATCAAACTCCTCGACAAGTATCTGAAAGTTGTGCCTCATTTGATCCCGTCACATCCGGGTCTGAATCGGTCTGTACTTTGGCACTCTGATCTACACTTCGGGAATATATTCGTAAAGGAAAATCAGATTGTCAGCATCATTGATTGGCAAGGCTGCTCAAGTCTTCCCCTTTTTCACGCATGCAGAATACCGAAATTCCTGAAAATTCATGGGCCCTTGCTTTTCGACCTTCCCCCAGCCACAAGCCTCACGCCAGAAGAAAAAGAAGACAATCTACGGAGATACCAGCTTACACAACTACAGAGACTCTATATTTCCAAATTTCGCGAAGTTGACAGCGACGTCTTTTCTGCTCTGTCGTTTCCTCAAGCTTCAACGCGACAGCAGCTCATCGATTTTTCAGGGTACACGTGGGATGACGATGGATTGTTTTTGTTTCGAGAGATGATGCTTCGAACCTGGCGCGAATGGATGGAATTAACTGCCCAGCCACAGTCCTCTTGTCCTGTGACATTCGACTCCGATGAGCTTGCGTCTCATGTTGCCGACGGGAAGAGCTGGGAAGATCGTAGGGATCTCTTCGGCGCCCTTGGAGTCCCCCTTGACGGCTGGGTACATCTTGAAGACTTCGAGGCAAAGGTGGAAACAATGCGTAATCTCGTGAGTTCGGTCATAGACTCCGCCGATGACAAGGATGGCGTAAAGGACGCACTAAGAGCTTGGAAACTGTCGGAGTCGGGGCCTGCCAGCCTATCGGGTAACCTGATGGATATCTAGAGGGCGTTTCTTGAAGTGCATCCCTGTAGAATATTAGCAGTAGCAGAGGGTCAGGAAGCTTGTATCGCATATAATAACCTATAAATCTGGATAACAAAGTTCCATTGTATCAATAAATCTATGATATTGTACAAAGTATTCTAGAAGGTATTCACAGAAAACGCAGAAGTCCGGCTCTGCTCGAATTGACAACCAATGCAGCCAAAACTTCCAATCATTCAACAGGGGTATATTGAAAGCGTTCCAGACACTGGTTCATTCGTAAAATCACAGAAGACATGACCCGCTCTTCCTAATGTTTCGTTAAGACATGAAGTAGCCGATATGGTCGGGAAAGCTAGTAATAGTTTGGGTGACGAGATGGTTGGGGGTTGTATGATGGCGAAGCATAAACCTGGCCGGGAGCCGAGCCGTACTCGCTTGCGTATTCATAATCTGCTTCGGATCTTGCCGAAGCATTGAAAGGCGTATATCCACCCTGTGTTCTGGGAGGACCCCGCGAGCTCATGGGGGTAAAGTTTCTAGGAGGCTGTTCGTCATTTGAGTATGCCGGCGGAGCTCGATTGATGGTTTGGGTTCCCGGAGTATAAGATCGCGGCGGGTGGACAGATTGCGGGAAAGGGCGGGAGTTGTAGGCGTTGGAAGGAGTGTATGCTCGCATTGAACTGTCACCAGCGCTGACAGCGGAGGTCGGTGTTATAGTGCGCGAGTAGGGATCAGTAGGAGCGCCATAGGGACAGAATGAACCGGCGGAAGGCGGAGTACCGTACCCCTCAGGCCTATACGGATCCTGCCCTTCCCGTGGGTTTGCGCGACCAGGCGGTGCACGATTACTATAAGGCGCAGGAGTGAAGTTAGAACGAGAAACAGGGGTCTGAAATCGCTCGGTGGCGATAGAGGCGTTATCAGGAAGAGGCGGGACTGGAGGAGCCGGAGACGCTTGACGATCCAGTGGACTGTATGCCGACACCGCAGAGACTGCAGAAAGCGGGGCAGGATCAGGATCAGAATAGGCTGATGATTGCGTCACGGTGCGACTGAGATTCGGTTTCTCAGGGAAAGTGGCTACGTTGGGAAGCGTAGGCTCACGCTGTTGCGGTGTGGCCGTTCCTGGACGGGACGAATATGGGGGGATAGTAGACATAGTTGTCTGCGTAGTAGTGCGTGAAAGAGTTGAGACCATGGGCGTCTTGTCCTCTTGCCCGAATACCGGTAACGTGGGTTTCCGCACAGAGCCAATATCTTCCTCACCGAGCACCGGTAACGTTGGCTTCCGACCAGGGCCAAGATTTGGATTCGTCGGAGAGCGTTCTTGCAACGCAACGCCCTTTGCCAATGCCTTGTTGACTTTGGTCCGAACAATGCGCTTGAGTCGGGTATTGATCTTTCGGCGGCAATAAGCCTTCAGTGTCCCGTCTTCGGTGGGAATGTGGTGAAAGAGGAAAAGCAGATAGAGAACGATCGCGATGAGCAGCTTGATGATAGACAGGACCCAAATGACGACTGTAAACAGCATACCAGCTAAGACGAGGGCTCGAAGATTGTTCTCTTCGGCAAGAATTTTGACGTTGTCGAAGAACTGTAAGATTCCAGCCTTGTCTTCCTCGACGGTATTTTTTCCTCCAGGAATCAGGTCCATCCTCATCACCGAATAGAGTGTGATTGCGTTGACAACCTGACGCGGCCCGTCCGCAAGCACTGTATTCATCCAGCCTGGATACTGTTAGCATTGGCTGCCATAACCAGAAGTGCAATCGCGAATCTCACTCTCAAAGGAAAAGTACGTAAAAAGAGCGACGTATTCAGCTCCCTTTCTATTTTTTGTGAGCTCTCCAAAAACCAAAAATCTCCTCCAGCCGCGACCATGATGTCCAATGCGAATACTCTGGACTCGCGCAGCAAGGGAGTTCAAGTAACATTGCGCAACGCTCCCAGAACGTATCGCGCGGATAGCATGAAGCCATCTCCAGGCCAACAGTGCAAAGGAGACGAGAATGCAGACGGCGAAGATCCATCGCGAATATTTGAAGGGAATAGCGGGCTCAATCTGTCCTGCCCAGCGGGAGAAGGCTAGAAGGGTTACAGCAGTGAAGGTGTCGACCGCATAAACAGCAAACGATACTAGCAGAAAGACGAATAGAAAGAAGTAAGAGAACGGCGATAGACAAGACTCCGACTTGAAGTCGTCAAGATTCTAAAAGAGGCGCAAGTCAGTTGACCATCACTGCAGATAGAAAATGCCCGAGCGTACCATATAATCCCATTGTTCCTCCAATGCCACTGGGGCATTTTTTTCTCGATCGCCGCAGCAAGGCATTGCGTATCAAAGGCTGGTCCTGCCAGGCACCAGTAAAGAGCGTATAGCAAGCGATGCGAAACGAGGGGAGGGGATCAATTGACTTCGTCGGTCCAGCCGGAGAAGTCGCGGTCACAACACAGGTAGAGTGAAGAGTGAGAAGAGCTCAACGGGGCTCTCTTTAGTGACTTGCAGCTGAGATAATCTAAAAAAGGAATGACAAGCAACTGAAGCCTGAAGAATTGTGGTTGAGATCTCAATGGCACATCTTCACCAGCTAAGCGCTGGTGCTAATGTTTCAGGGCGCGAGGAGAACCCAGTCAAAATTTAGATGCGCGCCATGCCGGAAGGCCGCCCAGCTGGTCTCACAGACGATGACGCTCGAGTAGTCGAGATGCGACGGCTGATGCAGTGGAATGCAGACTGCAGAGAGCGCTTCGCCAAGGCAGGGGGAGGAGGTTGGCGCGTAGAAATTCGGCAAACACAGACGATCCCAGGTGGGGAGACAACCGCTGGGGGGTTCTGAAACACGAGGGGAATGGTGGAGCTGCGGGTCAATTGATTTGGTCAACGAGCGACGAGTGATGCAGGTTTCAAAGATTGTTATTATTGAGGACTGGGAAAGATTGAACGAGCGGTTGAGATTGAGAAGCAGATGGAGTGCTGGAAGTGCCAACGACAGGAGAAGGGCGACCGAGGGGATTCTCTGAAACCAACCCCAAAGTGCCGATGTTTAAGCTGCTCTAAATTAAATGGCTAACCAGGGACTAGCACTCGCTCTTATCGCCTGTCACAATCTCCATTGGCGGGCGCCGCTAGGCCAGTCAGCTATTTTGAATAGAGCGTTGCATCGGCCGCAAGCTATTAATCTTACTGAGCTACGGGAGATTAGGCAGCTGTTTATTCATGAATTAATATATTGCTATCATAAGGAAAAGCTGTTATATACATTGTGCACCCGGCCAAGATTTACCTAATGCTGGTCACTCAGCCCTGCCAGCCCCACTGCACCGCCGTTGAAATCAACACTCGACATCAACCTGTAAAGTCACCACATTTCTGGCATTCTGTCTTCAGCGATCACCGAGTTCGCAACACATTCGACCATCGGAGAAAGACACCACCGGCAACCGCCAGCATGCTCGCTGCCGTCAACGCCAACGAGCGGTTGTTAATGTACGTTTCCTCGTGGACCCTGCCGAGATTCGTCACTTCTCCCGGCTTAACAGTATCCTTCGCTGAGCCTTCAACGACATAATCAACCCATCGCAGCTGGGAGAGGTTACGCTGATAGTCGACCACGGTCCCGGACCAGTTGTTGGTGATCTTGCCGTCTTCCGTCTTGTACCACGAGCTGCAGTTCGCATCTGCAAAGCTACTCCTTGCCAACGCCTCTTGGAGCTCCATATTATACTTTTGCAGCGCACCGACGTTTGGTTTTATGACTAGTGTCTTGCCTTGTGTGCGAGCTTTGAGGACTCTGGCGGCTAAGGCGTTGAGATATCGCGATTGCGCCTCGATCATAAGAATAATGGAGCTATGTCCTACCTTCTGTCAGCAGTTGGAGACATCGGAATAGTGTCGTCCTTACCAAGGTTTGTATTCGGTCCATAAAACATCCCAAAGTTTGGGAGATCCTCTACCGTAACTCCGTGGTAGGCAGAGGCACCGTCCTTCCAGATATCCGACAGTGGTCGACCCTTGGCGCCGTGGACCTCAATTGGGCACATAAATTCCACGGTCTTGAACCCAGTTGCAAGGATAATTAGATCATACTCCTGCTGGACGCCGCCTTCCACTACAATTCCGGCTCCCGTGACGCGCAAAATACGTCGGGTCTCCAGATCCACATTTTCTCGACCAAGCGCTGGGTAGTAATCGTCTGTCAAGATCAGTCGCTTACACCCAGGGGCATATTTTGGGGTGAGCTTATCCCAGAGCTCGGGCTTATTTGTCAGTTGTGTCCGCAAGGCCTGTTCGGTCATGCCGCGAATCAGCTCTGCTGCTTTTGATTGCGGATCTCTGACAACCTCATGAAAGTCCTCGCGGAAGTCCATAGTGAGGGAGCGCTTGCGAATACGCAGTGGGGGAAAGTATGTCAGCATAGCTTGTTCAAGAGGTGATATAGCGCTGTCGAATCGCGGTATCACCCAGTTAGGAGTACGCTGGTATACGGTAAGGTGCGAAGCGACTTTGGCCACCTCCGGGACAATCTGCGCAGCAGTTGCACCTGAAAATCATAAGAAACTTGAACACCGAACTTCTCTTTCTCAAGAAACTCACCGTTTCCGATTATCGCAATACGCTTGTTCTCAAAGTTATATGTCCAGTCCCATCGCGCTGAATGCATCATCTTCCCACGGAACTCCTTCAACCCGGGAATGTTTGGTTCTCGGGGAAAGTTCAACTGCCCAACAGCAGATATGAGGAAATCCGTGCTCAGTGTATAGGAGCGTGTGAATTGATCGTCTTTATCCCCAGAGACCTTGACGCTGACTTTCCATTTCTTATCTTCGTCGCTCCATCGCGCCGCTTTGACCTCGGAGTTGAAGCGAATATATTTATATAACTCATACTTCTCAGCAACATTGGTAAGATACGTCTGTGACCCTGTCAGCTTTCTCTCATCTACGACATAACCGCTCTATGCCTACCAGCAGCTCTTCTTGGCCTGGAAACTGCCGCGTCCATTTGGTGGACTGCTCGAACGAATAGCTATACAAAATGCTGGTCACTAACAGCGACAGTTAGTCGTACGTCTCAGGGAGGAAGTGGATACAGCTTACCGTCACAGCAACATCCCGGGTACTTATTATCATGCCAGGTCCCGCCGACACCGCTGCTTTTCTCCAAGATCACAAAATTATGGCATTTGTTGCGCTTGATGAGATCAATCGCCATGCACATTCCTGTCGCCATTAGCCGAAAGGTTACGACAATGTATCCAAGCCACCGTACCCGATATCCCAGCGCCGATAATGACAACGGCAGCATTGGTAAAGTTCCTGTTGCCCGGAGTGGCATCCAGGCGCACCTTCTCTGTCGTCATTCTATTATGTTCTTAGGTAAAGTCGGGGTTTGAGGAACAGAGAAAAGTGCCGCTGAGATCTAGGTAGGGATTAAGGATGACGAGCACCTAGGATATAAGAATAATGCGTCCGAGATTGAGGACTAAGAATAATTTTCGAGATCGTAAGTTGGAGCAGGTAGATGAGTTGCGCTTCTATAACAGCCGAGTAGTGGGCGGGTGCCACAGCTTGGAGTGGAAGGCGCTCGCACCGTTATCAGGTAGGAAGAACCTCTGGGACGCTGTACTCTCGCTTCACCTCCTCGGGTATATATTTGTCTCCGCAGATAGCCTCGAATAATCTATATACGGTCCGTCCTTTTCCTTTGCTTAATTGATTGCGTATCTGGATGTTAATTGGGTGCGGGGCATGATGGCACTTGGGTAGGGTTATGTGTGCGGGGACTTTTTCCACCACGGCTTCTTTATCAAAACCAGGATATACTGGAGAAATAAGTGACTAGGCCATGGAAGTGGCCGTAGACTTGTTATCTTCTCCCTGGATGATGCTTGTTCTCCGCTGCGGTTGGCTTGTGACGGTCTACGTCCGGACAAATATATAATAGCATTTATGCATGGCGAGCCCCAACATACATAGCAGTCATGACAAAGATCTTTTATCAATTTAACATAGGCTAGCTGCATGGCTTCTTCAAGAGCAAACAGAAAACGTCTCCAATCCCCTGCGTAGTTGGTTTCCGTCGATGAGCACCTCATATCTCCAACCCTAGGGCAAGAGTCCAGACCTGCCTACTGTCGGCTCATTGTGTCCATGCGGAGAAATTCTGCTCTGGCAAGGCGACTTGTGGATTAGCATTGGAGGACTGCCAGTGCGAGAATTGGGCGATGCTGGGGACCATTGAGCTGGGGATCCTTGAGCTGCGAACATGGCCCAGAGAGTCCACGATGGCTGAGGAAGCATCTTCTGAAGAGTGCCTACGGATACCCTTACTCTTTACTTCGCTTCAGTCTTTGTAGAAAAGGAAGTTCGTGGATTAACCTAGTTGTTACATCCAAACAAGGATATCCTAAACACCTGCCTGGAACTTGATGCTAGATGGTACAGGGTGCAAGTAGAAAGACGAAGACACGCCAACATCATCACAAAGCCCCAAGACACATCCATAGGCATAAATCAACCGGTACATGATTGGAAATCCTCGTTGGCCTTCCTGTCTGTAAATTCATAAACCAATAGTCGCATTGAAAAGAGAAACCCGAAATTTGTCGTCCATACCAGTCCCATGGAAAAATTCGACAACCCTTTTTTTTTCCTTCCTTTTTCCTTTTAACTTTTTTTTTGCGTTTTTTGCGTTTTTTGCGTTTTTGCGTTTTCAGTCCTCGCTCCGATATTGATGTGGTTGCGGACATGGATAGATCGATCTTCCAAGCCCTACTTTTTATGGAACGGGTCGGTCTTGTTGAATTCACGACGAGGGGGTGCCGCAACAGGCTTTTTCATAGCCGCCAATTGATTCTTAAGATCTTGGTTCTCCTTGAAAAGATTCTGGACTCTTGACGCAGACTGGACCTGTTCCACCTTTAGAGCTCGTTCTAATTTCTCCGCTTGTTCCTTGTACTGCTGAACCACGCCCGTCTCGTGCGCGTCAACAGCTCCGGGCTGGCTCGTAGCTTCGTTGAGTTTGTTTCGGAGGGAGTTGATTTCATACTGTTGGTTTGTTATGGTGATTTGACAGTCTGCGAGCTGTGTGCCGAGGGATCCATTTCCCGGGTTCTTCTTCTGGTGAATCTTCTGGTCGTCGTGCGGCAGTGCCAAATCTTGTCGGTTCTGGGCGTCTTTCTGGGCTTGTTGTAACTCACGAAAGCGTCTATCCTGTTGACCCAAGTTGCTTATTGCCATGGACTTTGCTCGCTCGGAGTCTGCCAGCTGTTTTCGCACACGACCCAACTGGAGCTCAGTAGCTTCGACTTTCTGTTGGAGTAAGGTATTTTCCGCATTTTTGCTCTCTAGTTTTCCTTGGAGGTCTAGATCGATACCGGTTGGTTGCACTTGAGCGAGCAGCGGACGGTTTTCGTCAAAAGGCATCGTGGCCGTAGGTTGCATCAGAATGTTGGGTTGGAATAGTTGAACCTGGCCTGCTTTGTCCGACGCGCCTCGAGCCATCTCGAGCTCCAACTCCAAGCCTTGAATTTTGTGGAGCTGTTGCTCGACCTCCTTCTCCTTTTCTTTGAGCTCATCCCTGGTAGCAAAGACTTCTCCTTGCAGGCGCATAATTTGCTCACCGAGGGTTTTGATCTCGTGGTTTGCCTCGGTCATTACCCTGGTGGCTTCCTGGATTTGTGCTTCATGACGAGTATGCTCTTCCTCCAAACGGCGGCCTTCTGTGTTTGCACATTGTAGTTGGCTTTGGACGTCTTGCAGTTGGCCTTGGACACGATTGAGCTCTTCTTGAGCCCGGTCTCGGATGCCGTTGAGCTCCTCTTGCATACCGATACGCTTCTGATCCCATTGTTGAGACTGCTTCCCCAATGCACTAAGATGATGACATTTCTGTTGCAGCTCTTCGTGCAATTGCCGAGTCTGCTTCTTCAATTCGTCATGTTGCTGACGTTCCTGTTGCAGAGCGGCCTGATCTTCAAGCCATTGCTCATTCTTCCGCTCCCATTCAGTAAGCTGTTCACGGAGGTCTCTCCCTAATTGCACCTGCTGATTCAATTCCGAAAGTTGCTTCTTGAGTTCATTCTCTGCGGTCTTCTTCTCCTTCTGGAGGAGTTTGTTCAGCTGATGCTGCTTGTCCAGTTCCTGCTTATGTTGGGCTTCGATTTGTGAAATTTGCTGCTTGAGGTCATTCCCCTTGTTCTCCAATCCATTGAGCTGCTCATGAAGGGCTGATTCCCTCAGGGACCGCTTATTCAATTGCTCTCTATGCTCAGATTCACGTTTCAAAAGCAGTTTTTCGCGTTCTGTAAGTTGGTCTACACGTTGAGAAAGGTCGTCCTCGCAACGAGAAAGACGCTGCTTAAGGTCTTTCTCCATCTTTCCCTTCGTATTCAGTTCTTCTTCGAGCTTTGCGATCTTCTCTTCAAGAGCCTGTTGAACCCAGATCTCTTTCGGATCATCCTGGACAGTTCCGATTGTGACATTATTGTTTGCCGCCTGGAGGCTGTTGCGGAGTTGCTCTTCTTCAAGTTGGACGACGCGAATCTTGACTTCCCGGAACTCTTGTATCTGAAGATCTTTGTCTGAACAAGCTTTGCGGAGTTTTTGGTTTTCCGCGTTCAGATGAGATATATCGTCCTCCCGTTTCAATTCGCGAAACCGTGTCTTCGTGTATCTGTCCCAGTTCGCCTTGACGCGCTTTTCGGCTACGGCTGTTGCATCGCGTTCTTTTGCAAGTAGGCCTTGGTAGTTCTTGATTGTTGCTTGCAGTTCAGAATCTGGTTCGTTCTCGGAGACGGTAGTTGCTGGGTCGGGTAGTTTGGCCGGGGCCTCGTGGGGTTGCACTTCCGTTATGGCTATAGATAGCTTATAGAAATTCAGGAGGTATGGTAGAGTCTCGTACAGATAGAAGGCAAGGAAGAAGATGGAAAACAAAGTGACGCCCACAACAATGGCTTCGGTGTGATGGATGTCCGTCAACTTGTTGTGATATGCCTTGCATTCCGAGATTCTGTCGAGTAGCTCATTCCGCATCATGACAAGACGTATGGCCAATGAGGGAATTATCAGAGCGTCCAATCCAACATAGCCGATGAACGTACAGCCAACGCGAATGATGGCCAGTTCAGGACGGTTCCACGGAAAGTACCAGTGAGAGACAGAAGACACCAAACGACCTGGTTGGCTCTGAAGGAAGTGCATGGTAGTCAGCGCCATAGCTTCACAGAGCATATTGTTAAGCTCTGCGAAGGAGTGGATGTTGAGGAGGTGCTTCGAGAGCCAGGCCATTCCTGTAACCAAGACGCCAATGGCCCAGATGAGCTGCTTTGCTCCCTTGAAGACCGCTGAGGCAAGGTCCTCCCAGTAGGCAGCAATAATAGTGGAGATGACGATGAGGGCAAAGGCAAGAGATCCAGTCAGCATGAGGTCTGCGTACTCGAGGACGGCAATGAATCCGGTCAAAGGCTCGGGCTCGAGCACTTCTCCGAAGAGAAAGAGCTGCTCGTCCACGGTAGCCATTTCGAATGGCCTTCCGTGTCAGATCAGAGGATGTAAAGAAAGGGTTATGAAGTAGAGGAATAAAAGGTTTGGATGATGTTTTGATGGGTTGAGGATGCTTTGGTAGCGAAGTGTTGACTCGATGAAATGGGATTTGAAAGAGCTGTGGGGAGGAATTTCGAGGGGAGAGGGACGAGGTTAAATATTGCAAGGGGTGGAGACTCGAAAGTGTGTGGTGAGGAAGCAGTGAAGAGGGCAGTGAATGACGGGAGGGCAGTGAATGATGGGAGGGCAGTGAATGATGGGTTGTGTTATGTGTTATGGTGGTTGAGTGAATTTCTGCCCACCACCACCAGACCAGATTACGGACAACCAGCAGTAACACATTGCATTTGCCACCAGATAAACTGTCTAAGGGAGCTGTACTGTAGTGCTAAGCATGTAGCAGATAATATCAGCTTATTTATCGTACAGATGTGACCGAGAACCGAATATTGATAGTCAGTGGTGTTCAAGGCCTGGAAATGAATCTGCAAGCAGTATTCCTGGCGCACAACAGACAGGAACATAATATAGAAAGGAATAAAATATGGCTTCAGGCAAATACTGTATTCGGTTTTCAAACAGCAGCAAAAGCGGGCAGCCCTGGGAGTAAAGTAATGTCCCATGTTGCGGAGTAGTGTCCTATGTTGGGGAACAGAAAAGAAGATGTTCCTATCCAGACATTAAATATACAAGGCAATAAGCCAGCGGTTGTATAGACAGCCTTAGCATTGCATGGGATAGTTTATGATGGTTTGAAAAGCTACCAGAGCTTGATTTAATCAACTATTTTGTTAAGATACCGGTGGTCCACGGCCCGTTGTGAATCATTCTGTACCCAGGAGATCAATATCCACGTACGACCTCCACCAGTATCTTTAATCTATTGAGAATAAAGATGCTTTGGTAGGTGGTTAATTTCAAACGCCATTCCAACACTGGCACCTCTAAGGCTGTGTTTCTGCTTCTCTTGCAGAACGATTTCTGAACTACCATCGGGCCAGCATTGACACCCTTCGTAGAGTGGAAGAGAAAGTAAACAGGGCTTATTGTGTGCCAGATGCTTTGAGTATCTATACTCCTTTCCTAGTTCATTTCGACATGGAATAGTAGCGGTTCCTGGAGGTTTTCAGAATTACTCCTCCAGAATCCATACTCTGTCGTTTGGTGAAGAACCCGTAGGACGGACGCTAACCCGATATGGAGGCCCCTTTACTTTGCCCTGCGCAGGTGCTGATCCAACCTGAGCAAACTTCCTTGTTCAACACATTGGCCTTCGCGAGGGAGTAAGAGAATCAACACCTAGGCACCTAAATACCCCTCACAGTTGTCTCTGGATTGACCTCCATTGTCGTTGTATCCGCAAGACTCAACTTGCAAACTGGGCCCCACAACGTCATCCCGCGGAGCAGCAGCAGCATATTAGGTACGCCACTAGTCTAGCCTCCTCCTTGGCAGCGATTCAGCGAAGCTCCAGAATGTCCCTCGACTCCCTTTGATCCTGTCCGCGGCCCTTCTCATTCCTTTCCTTTTTCTTTTGTTCTCCCCATCGGTAATGGCCATATCTGCCAGTCGCTCCTTGGCCTTACGGCCTATCGCTTTGGGCCTGGGCAAATTCCTCGCGCTCTCTTTCTCCCACCTCCCGCTCGTTTCTGCCGCTCCAACCTCCCAATTCCTTGCTCGCCGTCACGGTGGTGCTCATGCCGAGACCCATGCACTACCGGCCAATGACGCCAGTCTATGGCTGTATCTAGGGGTGGCCGCCGCCCTCGTGCTGGCGGGAGGTGCGTTCGCCGGTTTGACCATTGCTCTAATGGGCCAGGTATGATCCCTTTCGACTAGAATCCTGCTTGGAATGTTCGCCGCTAATCCTCCGATCTTATCGATAATCTACAGGATGAAGTATATCTGCAAGTCATTCAAACATCAGGGGATAGCCCATCTGAACGAAAAAACGCGGCCAGCGTACTGCGACTGTTGAAGCGAGGAAAGCACTGGGTGCTGGTGACGCTGTTGCTCAGCAATGTCATAACAAACGAGACTCTCCCTATTATCCTCGACCGATCGCTCGGCGGAGGTTGGCCCGCTGTTCTGGGCAGTACAGTCTTGATTGGTAAGGTACAACTTTTGTTCCGACGGATTATGTTCTAACTCGTCTTCGAATGTTCTCAGTCATCTTCGGTGAAATCGTTCCTCAGTCGATCTGCGTCCGCTACGGCCTTCCCATCGGTGCTTGGATGGCCCCCTGTGTCCTGGGCCTGATGTATCTCATGGCTCCCGTGGCTTGGCCTGTTGCCAAACTACTAGACAAGCTGTTAGGGGAGGACCACGGAACAATTTACAAGAAGGCAGGTCTGAAGACTCTCGTAACACTCCATAAGACATTGGGCGAGGCGGGGGAGCAGCTCAACTCCGACGAAGTCACCATTATCAGTGCTGTTCTAGATCTCAAGGAGAAGTCTGTTGGCACTATAATGACCCCAATGGACGATGTCTTCACCATGTCGGCAGATACCGTGTTGGACGAACAAACCATGGACTTGATTCTTTCGCAAGGATATTCCAGAATTCCTATACACTCTCCCGACAACCCAAGGAACTTCATCGGTATGCTTCTAGTCAAGATGCTCATCACATATGATCCAGAGGATTGTAAACCAGTCAGTTTTTTTGCCCTGGCAACTTTGCCGGAAACACGCCCAGAGACAAGTTGCTTAGATATCGTCAACTTTTTCCAAGAAGGAAAGTCACACATGGTTCTCGTCTCGGAGTTTCCCGGTGAGGATCGTGGCGCATTAGGTGTGGTTACACTGGAGGACGTTATCGAGGAGCTGATTGGCGAGTAAGTACTTGCCCCTTATGAACTTAAAGAACTCAAAGACTGATTCGTTCCTTGACAGGGAAATTATTGACGAGTCAGATGTATTTGTGGACGTCCACAAAGCGATTCGGCGTATGAACCCTGCTCCCTATTCGCGCGTCCCCAAAGGCCGTTTTGTCGAGGATCCTCCTGCTCTTGCCAACCAAGGGCCTTTGGTGGATGTGGGCGGTGATTCACCAGCAACTACAGGCCACACTGTTACCCGTCGTCGAAGCTCTGTTGAGGCACCCCTAGCACGCTTCCAACTCCGCCGATCGCAAGGAGACAAAGAGAGACACTCAGTTGATGCTCTGGTCACCCGCCTCGGTTCAACAGATGAACTCCGCGAACACCTGAAGCATCTCGGCCCTTCCAACCTCGCCAGCCGTCCTCGACAGACTCGGTACCAGAACGTGAAAATCAAACGCTCAAGCATATCATCCCCTTCGCGCTCGGGGCAGACAGATATCGATTCTGTGGTCGAGCATGCCCGGCATCAGTCACTTGGGTTGCCTGCTATTTCTGACACGGTTGCTTTGACGTCAAGCGGGTTAAATCCCAGAGATGGTGCGCACGCCGTGCTAATGAACAGTAACGGTCAAAAATCCCCGGAGCCCTTGGCGAAGAGCGGCCAGACAGTGTCAATACCTGAGCAGGTTACAGAGGAGCAAGATAGCGTGCCACAGTCCGCAAACAGTCGGCGCACCGGTTCTGCAGGATCAGATGTGGATCCCAATTATAGCAGCAGCTACATCCATCGGGGTCCCGCTCGCAGTGGAAGCATCACCGAACACATTGTCGATGTCAACGGCATCCGAAAGGTCGTCCTCCATACAACAAGTAGCAACAGCTCTTCTGACGGCGAGGGATCATCCAAGCCAAAATTCCCAGTTCGCCAGGGCAGCGAAGTCATCGATCTCAACGACACAGATGGTGAGCCTTCCGAACAATCGAAGAAGAAGCGCCGCCATCGGAGACATAAAAAGAGCAGAGACTCCAATAATAGAGACGAGGAAACACCCCTACTACCTTAACCCAAGCTACCTATTTCCCGGTCTTCCTAATCTTCTCCTTCTGCCGGTCGGAAAGCTACATTCTTGTCCTCCCTTTGTCACTATCTTTCCCTTTATGCATGAAAAGGGCGCTTCTGTTCAGCCAGTCTGTCATAGCCGTATGCGCGTCGCTTGTACTCGTTTGTTCCCTCATACATTACTATTATTATATATTATTTCCTTTACCTTTAGTTGCGTTCAATCTAGCTAGACCGGCCATTTTCCTTTTTTTCTGCCAATCTAATAAGTGACTCGGTCGAGAGCCGATTTCCAATTCCATATCTGTCAGCCAAATCGGGTATATCGTACACCAGGTAGATATAGCATTCCTTATCTTGAAGAGAGACATAGTTCCCCTGCCGGTTATTCGCACTACATCAAGGTTCTTCAGATGCCTTTTGTGTCCACGATGCCCGGCATGCCGTCTGGGCGTCTGGGCGTCTGGGAGAACGTTTGCAGCTCGTATCTACTTTGTGGGAAAATCCTATCTGATGCCCCTGAAATCAAGGGTTCTATAGCAAATATACTTTTCAATCTATCCATTAAGATCATGAACAAATTCAAACAAACGTCGTCAATTCGTCAAGGCTGCGATCTAACATGCAATGCAACAGTAACGTCCCCAGACCACTCCGGACCCAAACGACTCCAGCCCAAATGCGAGTAAAATCACTGTAGCAAAGGATCCTATGATATTCATTAGCGAAATGGGAACCACGGACGGAAGGAAACTGCCTACCCTGAAGTGCTTCTGGTTGTTAGCAGCCCGGTTAACACGAGCTGTGTACCGCTGTTCTTGACGGATAGCACGAGTCCGCTCCTTGCGCTCGCTCTCGACGACATTGCGCTTCTCGATGTCTCCGACTCCAATCATACCAGTGCCGCCGTTAGCACGGGTAACAAGGGCACGGGTGGCGTTACGGCCGCGGGGCTTCTCTTCCTCCTCGATCTCGCCGTTCTCGATGGCGAGTTGGCGGGCATACCGCTCATCGGCCGTGGGGTAGTTGTGCAGATTCTGGCGGTAGTATCGTGCGAGAGAGCGGTGACCTGCGGTCCGGCCGGATGGGAGGTGGAGTTCGTATTCGGTTCTGTAGACTGCAGGGGCGTTCTTTGCGAAGCCTTCATCGTCATCCTCGTCGACGGATGAGGCGTCCGTTTCCCAGCCTTCGTCTTCGTCGGAGCCCGAGACCTTGACGCCGCCGTCGACCATTTCAGAGTCCTCGTCGTTCTCGTCATCTGAGTAGGTGCTTCGGAAGTCGTAGAACTGACCGATCTCGATCTGCTCCGCCTCGGTCTCGAAGGCGATCATGCAGTGGCCCTTGTCCTTCATGTGCGTCTTGATACCGGCGGGGCTGTTTCGGATGGAATGGCAGTAGATACACTCGCTGTTCTCGTTAATTTTCCGGTAGAGGTAGCGGATCAAGCCTTCTAGATCTGCAAGGTATGTCCGCTCCGGGATGAACATGCCGTGGCTCTTGAACATGTGGTCGGTGTTCTCTTCGATGCTCGACGACTCCTCGTTACAGAATAGGCAGTGAGAGGATGAGTAAGAGTCCGCGTCGGCAATCTCCTCATCTTCATCTTCCTCCGCGATCGTCGCTCCCTTCAGACCCTCCGTAACGGTGGCTACATCGGCCTCGCGAGGCTTGTTGATGGGTTCTCCGAGAGAGAAGGTCGAGCTCAAAACGGACGAGGTGTCATCGGCATTATCCCGGTTCAGTCGCGCCTCGCGAGCCTTATGCTTTGAGCTCTTCACATGGTTCTGGTAAGAGTTCTCGCTGTAGAAGGTCTTTTGGCAGGCGACGCAGGTTTTCTCGAACGAGGCCTTGGCGGCGGCGGCGTTGGAGGAGGCCTTGGCGGCGAGGACCTTTTCGTTGAAAATCTCCTGGGACACCGGTGGAAGAGAGGCAACACGACGTTTCATGTTATAAAGACTGGACACGCAAAAATCAGCTATCTCTTCCGGCAGTGGCATGCGGCGCTCAAAGAAACATACTGCCAATCGGTGCGCATATGGTCGCGCTGACCATCGCTGCTGCGGAAGGCAACAAAACAAGTGTTGCAGGTGTAGGGAAGGTCTGCCATAGTTTTAGAGGAGGTCGACGCTTTATGGGATTCGATAGAGCGATGTTTGTGTGAGTCTTGGTGGTTGCGGCGGTTGTGCGAAAGGCGACAAAAATATCAAACTCGCTCAGACAAACGTAGCGAACTCAACAAGAAGTACGGGAGGGATGCTAATTTCTGTCGGCGTCCACCAGATTATATGAAGAGTTGAGAGCTGAATAGTCGCCACAGGTCTCTTGAATTCGATCATCAAAAATGCTTGATAATATCAACCGATAATGCCCCTCTTCGAACTAGTCCGCTTATAGTTAGTGCATCCATTTATACTACACCTGCATAAAATCATTGCGTCCTGTTTGAATAGTCAGTGCTCCTGACTATGAGCCCTAGCGGAACTAACGAGACAGGGCGGATCTGTATATGCAGGCCAGAGGTTGTACGGAGTACCATCAACAAAAATAAGAGTGGCAGAACGTCGAGTACTTTCCGAGGGCAAGGAGCTTTTTGAGTAGAGTATTTCAAGGTCTTCTGAACCAACGTCTTTTGAACCTGTCTGACAGAATCAAGCTAGCTTAGGACGCTTTGGTGTTATCGGAAACGAACAAGAACCAGGCTCTGATGCGGTTCTACATGAGCCTGACCCGGAGCAGGAATGGACTGGCCCTGTGAGATCGTTTGTGGGGACTACCTTGAGGCCTACAAGTTTTGGTATGGAGGCTTTGGTGTTTTTGTCTTGCTTGTGCATTGGAGTGGCTTCTATATATATATCGGTGTCTGCAGGACTCAGCTATCAGTTATCAATGAGCCTCTCTTGTACATCTTTGTTTCGTATGAATGTAAATGCGTAGTCGTACCATAGCTGTAAGTAAAAATAAGTTCTGAAGCTTTGGAAAATAGGCGCTTCGACGTTGCTATTGTGGAGGTTGAAGATGCGTAGAATCAGCAGGCTATTGGGGCTGAACCTGGCAATCGACATCCGCCTGTCCAGGCATCCATGATACGGACAGGGTTCATAATATAACCATAACATATAAAAATATCCATAGCACATATTCCATAGCATGGATACAAAGTAACTATCAGAACAGGGGACCCTGGGTGCCAGACAGCTGACTCATCAATCAGTCACCACTCCGGATACCGAGACTCCATCTGAACGCGGAGGTGACTGCTCTTCCAACACCCCGGCCAACCGTTTAGACTCTTATTATCAGTATATGCTCGCGCACTAGGTCATCATCTGACGTCGATATCCGCCGCTCACTAGCGACGCGCCTCTTACACCTATATCATTTCGAGTTATGCTCCGCGCAGCGCAGACATGACCAGGCTCCGCGGGCCGTCCGTGAGCTCCCACGAGGGTTCGCGTCCTGGCATCGCTATCGACCGGTCACAGTGCCATAGGTCTAAACTTCCGCAGGGTGCCCCAGATATTATCTCTCGGAACACTGTTGATGTTTCGGATCCCGCGCAAGTCCTATTGTGGTATCGTGACGAACGGCGGCGGCATTTCAATATCCTGGTTCGAAGGCGAGTATATGCGCACCCATGGTCGGCCGCGTGGGTTGATAATGTAGACTAACATCAGGTGCCTTAGGTATAAAAATCAACTACTCTACGGATGTCAAGCGCCCAATTGCCAAACCCCAACATGTGCTAGCTATCGCAGGAGGGTGACAGAAGGACCCTATCGCCGTTACACCGATCTAAGCGCGCGGACCCTGGCTTGCTACCTAGCAAGCTTAGACAATGCGGAAACGGGACTTTGTCGCAACCCTCCCCGTGTACACACCGAGCTGTCATCTCAGGACACAGCGCGCCGGTCGAGACGTCGAAACCATGCATCCTCCGGTCAAAGCCCGATTCGCGATCGCCCCGTCTCGATCACACCATCAGAGAGATCCAAGAGGAATCGTTTACAGGGCACACCGACCGATAGCGTGGGAGACGAAAAACCGGAGGTGCGATACTTGGGAAATGATGTTCCGCTGAGTTCTTCACCATTGCGCGGGTCGCCGGAGCCTAGCAACAGCCCGGTCCTACGCATGAAAGACCCCAAGTCTTTCACTCAGAATCTATTTGATACGCTGTCACTGCGAATGATCGAATGGCTACCGCTACGACGCTCTCCCGGCTCTTTTGACCTTGACCATGGACGCCCGCACTATCGAGAAAACCCCCGGTCACCGAATTCGGATACTTGCCAGGCACACATGGATTCAGATAAGGACCAACCTCATTACAAACAGCGCCCGTATCAAGTCAACGGTGGAAGCAACCCCCATACACCTTCGTCGCGGAGCACGGGAGGACAAACAACTGCAGTGGAGTTGAAATTACCGAATCAGCAATTCAAAAGATTATCCTTGACCGAGACTGACTTGCGGAGGTCGAACTCAAAATCAAGCCTTGATGATAAATCCTTGCCGGATTTGAAACCAGCGCGGAAGCTTTCAGTGAGTGCGCACGCGAGTACCAGTGTTGATGGATTCGCCAATGTTCCTTCGCCACCGGCGCTTAAGCATCGCCCCCAGAAACATCGTGGAAGAGCCGCTGACACAAACGTCACTCGTTCGCATGAGAAAGCCAAGAAAGAGAGGCGTGTCTCTTGGGACGGGGCTAAGTTCTTGAATGACGTTCAGTCCTCAAACACCCAGGAGACTTCCGGATCCAAGGATGAAATCTCTCCTAAGTACCAACCAGCCTCTGACCGCCGCCGCCACCATAGCCCACAATTGGTGCAGGAAACATCTGCTATCCAATCACTCAGTCATCTCAACAGTGAGATCATCGACGGTTTACGACAGCTGCTGATAATTTCTGACGAGGAAGCTGAGAAATGGAGGGAGGAGCTGGCTCTGATGGAAGTCAGCGGCAGTTTCGAGGATACGGAATGGCGAATTGCAACACCTCGGCAGCGCACAGTGTTCGCATTCATAACTCAGAGTGTTTTCTATGCTCTTGGGAGTAGTCGACAGCTGTTACGCTCATTTCGCGATGATTCGAGTCCCCTCAATGGGATCCTCGAGGGTTCCAAGCTCAACCTTCAGCAGCTGCAGCCGGCACTACGCAAACTGTTTTCCATTTGCCCGAGGGATATCATCTTCCACAGTCTCTGGAATGCTTTGGAGGCACTATTTGTTCCGCCCAGAGAGCTGTCGACGTCAGGAAGACTCTCCCGACGTTCGTCTTCCAATTCCAACCCTGCCACAGCTGTCTCAGCTCCCATAATCATTCGCCGTGCGTCTGAGACTGCCAGCCAGCAGTACGTTACTGATGCCAATGCAGCTGATGTGACAGCGGTTGTCCTGTTTGCATTGGCAAGTTCTGTGCCTGAACTAAATCCTGCAACTTGGAGTGGTATGATTCGGATGCGATCCACTGGGAACGTGGCAATGAGTGCGGTTATGGAGATGTTTGGATTGGATGACGCTCGGGTTGTAATTGAAGCCACAGACGTGCTGGAACACGAGCTGGCTCTTCGATTAATTGATCGATTGGTACGTGCCCTTACCGCGAGGCTGGCTTTTCACGAGATATCAAAAACTCGCTCCGGGTATACACCAGAATCTTTGAAACGGAAGGGCAACGTTTTGGATAACTTCATCGATACCCTCGGTCAGCATCATGATCTTGTGATCGGGTCAAAGAATGACGAGCGCTCGAGCTTGCGCTCCCCTAGTACGCCCGCCATAATCACTGAGTGGTTACGTACTCTTTTCATGAAGACCTGGGGTGGAGATCCTGAAATTTCCAGAAGCAGCTCCGAAGGGGGTGTCGTGCAGATATTATCCGTGCTTCATCGAGAGCGGAATCGCCTGGGCCTCACGTCCGAGGACTTCCACACTCCTTTCCTCTCTGAACGCCTGGATCCGCTTGAGATGCCCGTTCAATGGATGGCACGAGTACCCAGTAATAAGACACTACACCTGTTGTCTTTCTCCTTCCTATTCCCCCCGTCGGCGCTGGTGACATATTTTCGTGCTCTCAACTACTCCGCAATGTCGAAATATTACGAAGCCGCCATGACAACCACGAGGCATGTGACTCAGACTGCCTTTGGTGCTATCGATATTCAGGATGATGTTGGCCTTCTTGCGAGGATGAGAACCTCAATGACCACCTATCTTGTTCTTGTTATCCGACGAGATAACATACTCACAGACGCTTTGAACCAGCTTTGGCGGCGTGAGAGACGTGAGCTTATGCGGCCACTGAAAGTCCAAATGGGTATGGATGAAGGGGAAGAAGGGCTCGATCATGGTGGCGTTCAGCAAGAATTCTTCCGACTGCTAATGGCGGAGGCTCTTGATCCATCCTATGGCATGTTCACGACGGATAGCCGCACTCGTTGCTCATGGTTTCAACCTTGCTCATGGGAACCACTGTACAAGTTCGAACTTCTTGGGTTATTGATGTCACTTGCAGTTTACAACGGCCTAACGCTTCCCGTGAATCTTCCTACGGCATTTTATCGAAAGCTACTGGGGCTGAAGGTAAAGCACCTGGACCATATTCGCGACGGATGGCCGGAGCTTACCCGTGGCCTGGAAGAGCTACTACGCTGGAGTGAAGGCGATGTCGGTGATATTTTCATGAGAACGTATGAATTCGGTTTTGAGGCATTCGGCCGCGTTGAGACTGTCGACATGGAAAAGGTCGACAGAGATGCACCCTGGCCGATTCCGTTACCTCCGCAGTCTGGTCGTTCTGTGCGACATTCTCCCTCTTGGTCTGATGTCCGCCGCTATACAGACCTGGCATGCCTAAGCCCACCGTCTTCAATGGCTGCCGAAACAGCTGACTCACATGATGGCGCTGCGAAGTCCGCCATAAGCTTGCCTCCTTTGCCATCGCCGACATCGCCGGCCGAGGAAGCTTCTCTAGTGACCAACGAGAACCGTGTGCAATTTGTCAAGGACTATATTTTCTGGCTGACCGACAAATCTATTCGTCCCCAATTTGAGGCCTTTGCACACGGCTTCTATACGTGCCTTGACCGGCCATCTCTGTCTATCTTCACCCCGGAAGCGTTGAAGACCGTGGTTGAGGGCATCCAGGAGATTGACATGGCACAGCTGGAACGCCATGCGCGGTACGAGGGCGGCTTCGGTGCGGGTCACCGAGTGATACAGGACTTTTGGAGTATCGCGCATACATTCAGCCCCGAGAAGAAGGCGCAGCTGCTGGAGTTTGTCACCGCCAGTGACCGGGTGCCTGTCAACGGGATTTCGAGCATCATGTTTGTGATCCAGAAGAACGGCGTAGGTGATGCTGTAAGTTTAACTAGCCCGAAATGCAACCGAACTTGACTGACTCGACTTGCAGCGTCTTCCGACCAGTTTGACCTGCTTTGGACGACTTCTGCTGCCAGAGTACTCCTCGAAGCCCGTCCTAGAAGAGAAGCTCAACAAGGCGTTAGAGAATGCGCGGGGATTCGGCGTTGCGTGATGGACCGGCTGCCTGGCGTCTCTGGAGTATATTCTGAACGTATATAGCTAGATCAATAAACTACACTCTCCTAGTAATCTGTGACCCTGTCTCTCCTAGGTATTCATCGTAGATACCGAGACTTTTTGCCACTATCTTGTTGACTACATGACCCTTCTGAAGAGCTGAAGAAGGAGTTTATTGCAAGGCTGGGCGGTGCATAATATTTTTATGCCATTTGATAAAAAACGAGGCCCAAGCAGGGCCAAATACAAAAGGTTATGCCCGGGTTCGAACCGGGGATAAGCGGAAGATTTGCCTCAAAACCGCTTGTGCTAACCACTACACTACACAACCAGGTTGTTGATGCTCGGCATGACTTTGTGCTTTATAGCAACAAGAGCTTTTTTCGCTGTACTTTTTGCCTCACATCATTGAATTTGCAACTCACAGACCCTTCTCCACAGTGTAAGTTCTCCCAGTCTTGACTCTTGGAGCCACAGCTCCACCAACGAAGGCTCCAGTTTGGGCCACGGTGAGCTTTTCCCGCGATTAACCATTAGCCATCGAGTCATCGCCTCATCTCCCTCAATGGTTAAATCGGCCTTCCCTCCATTCTCCTCCTTCGCTCTTTCATCTCCTCAGAAACTTAATCAATCGCTACAAAGACCACTGTCACTCTCTTCTCTGCCCCGCTACCCCGCCTTACTATCATAATTATGCCTCCTATCATTCACTGCGTTCGCCACGCCCAGGTATCGTCTTCCTCAATACCAACCTTTATAGACCCCCAATAACTAAGTCGAGAACATCCAGGGCCTGCACAACCTTTGCACAGAGAACCACGTCATCCCCGACCCCTCCCTGACAGACCTGGGCAACGAACAATGCGAGAAACTCCGCGCCTCTTTCCCCCGCCACGACAAGATCGACCTGGTCGTTGCCTCGCCCCTCCGCCGCACAATGTACACGGCCCTGCAGAGCTTCGGGCCCGTCTTCAAGGCCAACCCTGACATGAAGTTGATCCTGCTACCGGATATCCAGGAGACAAGTGACGTTGCTTGCGATACGGGGTCTGACCCCAGTGCACTCCGGAAGGAGATTGAGGAGAAGGGATTACCTGTTGATGCAAGTCTGGTGCATGAGGGGTGGAATGTCAAGGTATGGTCTTTCGAGTTATCAGGGTGAGCAGGCTGGCTAATACTGTTCCGTTTGGCTGGCAGACTGGTCGCTACGCACCCACCAACGCTGCGGTCGGGGCGCGTGCGCGCGACGCGCGACGCTGGCTGAAGGCCCGGCCGGAGAAGGAAATCGTGATGGTCTCGCACGGCGGTGTGCTGCATTACTTCACTGAGGATTGGGAGAACAGCAGCCAGTTTCAGGGTTAGTTCCGCCGCCTCGTATACGCTACCCACCACGCATCTCTAACTATGGATGTCTTTAGGAACCGGCTGGACCAACACGGAATACCGCACATATACTTTCTCGGACAAAGTCGATCTCGACGACCTGGAAGGCCACAAGCTGGACACGGATAACGCGAGCCTAGTTGAGACTGTCGAGTCTCGCGAGCGCCGCGGAAAGAAGGGTCCCATGGCGGACCGTGAGAAGCAAAAGGAGTTGTACAAGCAGGGTGTACAGGGCTGGGATGATCAGGGCTTGCAGCTTAGCACGGCTGAGCGGGAGGCGGCGAAGGTTCCGGCTGGAAAGGAAGTTAATGGAGTCCGTGTATAGATGCTAGACGGTTAGATCTATTGTTTTGGCAAGATGTAGACAAAGAACATAGAACAATGATTTCTTGTTTTTTAGGAGTGGTTCTTTGTTTAGAGAAAGCTAATCTGATTTAGACTTGATTTCTTGAAGAGGTTTTCTTGGACACAACGGACATTAAACTCACTGAAAACGCTTTGATAGTACATAGTAGAACTCGCCAAGACAACCAAGGACATGGAATGTGCTTTCATGCCGAGCATAATGCCATGAACGGCTTTGAAACAGCGGTCCAAAGAAGCCAATCTCTTTGTCGTCCATGCTATAAAAGGCCCCAAACCCCAAGAGTTCTGAGGCACATCAATCAGCTACTGCTACAATGACATTTTCTCTACTGTGAGCTTTTTACCATTCCCTCTCTCTTGCTAACTGAAGCAGATATCGCTGCAAAGTGATCTATCTACCTTGCAGATGCCCAGCGTGTAAGTCTTCTAATATTTCTCTTCTCTTTTATTCGAACCATAGACTCGCTCTCACCCTTTTGACAGGCAGCCATCCAAGGCAGGGGGACGAGCTATGTTTACCTTAAAACAAACCATTCCTGATCGGCTCCCTTAGAACCGGGTTGGCTTCTTCTGTCTTTACAAGATCAGGTATGTTACCCTAAATACCCTCATTGCTGACATTTGTAGATACAACCCAAGTGACGCGTTTGGAACTCTAGGTATACGGAACTAGGTGAGTGGTCCCCGATTTCCAAATCACTGACATCTGTGGGGCTTTGGCTTCTTCCGAGCTTCACTGGAGCCCAGGTATGTTCCCCCTGTGGTATGTTGATCACTAATGCCTTGAGATCAAACCGGATTGCTTCTGAGCCATACACAGCAGGTGCGGTCTCCTGAATTGTCCCTCGTTGCGAAAGATTGTAGGGGAAGCCGGTCAAGCCTGAAGTAATGCTTGTACAAACAAAAACAGGTAAGTTAGGGACCGCCCAACTAGATTCTCACATCTATAGGACTGATTTGCCTCCCACAATCATGTACGAAACCAGGTAAGTGGCCTCCACTTTCTATACCATTAACATCAGCAGATTATACCTGCTTAGCATTTCTTAAGCCCTATGAAACAGGTATGTTCACCTTCAGGATCCTTAGTTGCTAACGTCAATAGCTAGCACCGGATCATGACCTAAAACTCTTTGCATGAACAGGTATATTTCTCCCATTACTCGATTGCTAACATCTATAGAGCCGGATTGGCCTCTTTCAAGCCCTACATGGGGTCGGGTAAGCTCTCCAGGTATCTTAATAGCTGACGTTCAAAGAACCAGGCAGAATAAGCCTCTCACTACATCCATAAAGCAGCCATGTAAGTTATTTCCCGATGCTAATGGCTAACGTCGATAGATAGGAAGACAAGCCTCTGGCAATATCTATACAGCCAAAACGAGGTAAGCTCCCTCTTAGCGTCATATCCACCAGAGATTATAGGAGCGGTATAGACTTGGGATCCTATACAGAATCAATCAGGTACGTGCCGCAACTCTGCATTTCCTGCTGACAACTGTAGGACTGGACAAACTTCCTTCACGGCGCATCCCACTATCCCACTTAAGCCAGGTAACCCCCTCCAACTGCCAATAGCTAATGTCTGTAGACTGGCACGACTCGCCTCGTCACCCTCTATGAAATCAGGTATGTTCACTCCAATCCCTCCAGGTACTAACATCTATCCGTAGGGCAAGCCGGACAACATCTCCCAAAAATGACTTTGGTGAGCTCCCTTCTTCAATGTTAGCTGCTAACATTGACAGAGTTAGACTCATATGTTTCTCGATAAGTGCCCATTCCCCGTTTCTTCATTGCTTCATTGAAAAGAAGCAGATGCTCCAGCTTAGATTGAGTCAGGTTCAGGAAATAAATGGTGGCAGAGGTATAGCTGCAATGACTTTTTTTCTTCGTTGACATTATACATACACAGCTAGGGCTCTTCAATAAAACGCTGGCTCAGGCTCCCAAAAGAATACAACGCAATGCGCATGGGATATCCCGCAAGATTTAGCGATGTAGCACGTAGCATGTACTGTTGCAGGATAAAAACTATCACATCCCCTGATGAAAAACCCTAAAGAACCCCTCCGCAATAGCGGCACTTCCAGGCATCATCCCAACCGGCACCAGGGTACGAGGTCTTAGTCCGCAGTACAAATCCACCCAATCTCTGTCCACTGCAAAGTTCCAGGCATGTGGCCGTTTATCGGCGATATCCAAGTCCACGCGCGCCCCATCTTTTCGGGCATTCTCAACGAAGGTCGTAACATCGTGTAGAAATACATCATGTGAGCCAACATGGACCCAAGTGTACGCTGGCAAGATTCCCTTCCAGGTCTTCTCAGTCCCGGGTTTCCACTGCTTGAGAAGATTCTCAAGATTCAGCGCGTCGACACGACCTCGCTCTCCAATAGCCCTCTCAACGCAACGGTCAAGAAGCCGCTTGCTGAGCACGTCCTTGTGCTGGTTGCTCTCGAATGTAGGTGAGTGGTTGGTAAGATTGACCCAGGGGTAGAGCAACAAAGCACCTTTGGGCCTTGGTAAGCTATCAGGCGGACCCATGAGACAAGAAAGAAGCAAATGGGCTCCAGCCGACTCTCCTCCCATGATGATTTTATCCGCAGGGATGCCCTCGTCTTTGAGAAAATACTGATATGCTGCAACCGCCTCGCGTTGCTGACTTGGAAACGTAGCGGCGGGTGCCAGGGTATACTCGACCGAGAATATGCTCATCGAAATGCCTCGGGCGGCTGCAATTTCTGCGACTCGAAGTAGATTGACGGCGGGTCTCAACGGATCACCGAAGCAATAGCCGCCTCCATGAAACCAGAGAAGAACGACGTCACTCTCCTTTGGTACAAGCGGCTTTCCTGGTGGGCCTTTGCAGATCCAATATCCGTTGCATGTCTCGCTGTTTACCCGTATAAATAGCTGATCCATGAAAGGTTTGAACCGCCTGGACATCATGATGGACTTGACTGGCCGTGCTTTGAAGAATCGGCGGATCGTCTCGAGAGGGAGGATGGAGAGGAGGCTGCTCGGACAAAATCAGTATAAGAACCAGTGCCACCAAAGTCTGCCTCACCCTCGAGCCAATGATCGATTGAGATCTTCTTTGAAGGAGATCTCGGCCACTTCGTCGGACGCGAGTCCTCTCGTTCTGCGTGCCAGCAACGAGACCAGGATCACAGGCACCGCAGCCGTGACCATCCCCAGTGAAACGATCGTAGCTCGGACTGGCATCTTGCCGGTGGCACTAGGAATAGTCAGGAGTCGAGCGATAGGTACCGTGGTGGCATTGGCTAAGTTGACCGAACGACCGACACTCTGCCACCGTAGATAATTCCTGGCAAGTGCCTGACACTTGTAGCTCCTTCCAAATCAAGGCATAGTCTAGGACTTGGAAGGTTGGAAGGTGGGAGTAGCCTGTCTGGCGCTCCCAATAATCGTCCCTCACCCAGTAGGTAAACAACTGAGAATAGCTTTGTAGAAAATGTGATTATTTAACTACGCTACGGCTAAGTACACCTTGCCGCCATCTTACCTACAATTCAAGTTGATCCAAGGCCGATATCAGGGATTGGTTGCGGTCCCTCGGCGCTTACAGACCATAGCGCTCTCCAACGAAACTACACAGTTTGGCCTCGCTGCAATTCGACGATAGTTCTGGGAAGAAGGCATGAAAGTGGAAAACCATGACCACCAGAGCCGGGAGACCGGGAAAGGCATGAAAAAAGCACTCACCTTCTAAGACCGTATATACAGCCTAGAAACATGGGCACAATCAGAAACTCGCACCATGAGCATCCTCAAGGGAGATATTGGGTTATAGACCCAGGTTAAGAGCTTGCATGTACCATGCAACCGAAAAGCTCGTTCTAACGCGAAGCGTGAGCGCTGCTAATTTATCCAAGTGAATAAAAGGAAGCCGCAGGGCAGGCTCGAACCCTGAGCAAAAAGTCCCGCCCAACCTCCGCGGCGGGCCAGCTGGCCGGTACGGGGGCCACCCCTAGACCAACAGGCCCGCGTATGAAATAAGCCTTGAGCAAACGATAATGCAGAAGACAGGCGCTTCAGGTGACTTGAGACGGTGCTGAGAATGTGATGGCGCGCAATTCAGACCATGGACAAAAGCAAGCAAGGGCGTATCGACGGCCCTTGAACATGCAAGAATATGGATTCGAAAGTATTGTGGAATCAACGCCCGGCAAGCACTTCTGGCACCGTTCCTGCCACCACAACAGGAGATTGCCGTTTACCTGGGCCATCAAGAGGCCACTCCTCTTATCAAGGAATGACAAGGAATGGAAGAAAGTGCCAGTGGATGCTTCAATGCCATACCCCATATCGGGCAGCGTTTCGGGCCTTCCATTACTTGCCGGGGTGGAAGTAAACCGATTTGAGGGTGTTTCTTGACATGCTATCGAGCGTGGCTGCAAAAAGCGTGGCAGTTCTTTCGCGGGTTCGAACTCCTGTCCTCCGGAGCAAAAAATCCCAACCCAACCCAAACCCAAAGGATTATAACATGACCATTACGGCAACACTATAATCGATGGTAATATGGCTTTGAACTTGGATATCGCCTGACATTCAGTAGCTTTCTCAACAAGCCAGCGTAGCGAAAGAATGGCCGCCGGCGATTTCGAACTCCTGTCCTCCAGGAGCCAAAAAAATCCCAACCCAACCCAAACCCAAAGGATTATAATATGACCATTACGGCAACACTATAATCGATAATAGAATAGCCTTGATCTCGAAGATCTCCTGGGTTCACTAAGCTTCGGGACATCCTCAAAAGCCAGGAAGGTGCAAACCAGGGACGGCAGTACAAGCTGGGCAAGACACGGTCATCATAAGACGGCAGGGCACCATGAACTGTCGTAAGGCCATTTCTTGCTCGGTCGTCCAATGAATAGTAGCGTAAAACCCGAAAACAGACGACTTGTGGTTCCGAATCCTGGCGTCCGAGAACCCATGCCAAGCCATATAAAAAAAGCCGAACCAACCCACGCAGCGACGGCGAGCGGTACCACAAGTTCGACGATATTTGATGCCAGTCAGTATTCCCTGCCGCCCGCTGAGGCTTATAAAAACACGACCACGGAGATGGGTTGTTATCGACACAGGCGAGCCGAGAAGGATACCCGGTGGAACATCAGCTTGCAGATGATGAGTCCGCATGGAAGTGACAGCCTCCAAATCTTAGTGATATCCAACTGAGCCTAGGGAATAAGGCTAAACGCTGCGCAGTAAAGATCGTACAGCCATTTGATTTCGAGCAATGACGAATCAAACACGTGACAATCGCCTCGCCGCCGGAGACAGGTTATACAAGAGACCAAAAACAGCTGAAGATGGAGAACCGTTGGTCTGAAGCTCGGTACGATGAACGGTCATTGATACATGACTCCAGATGTTGAACATTCAGATGGAACAAAGGACTGTCTGTCCGCATACGCGGGGGTCGACTCCGTCGAGTGGTTCAGCTAGACTCAATCATTCTATTCCGGACTGGGAGGCTTATAACCCCCTCAACGCACCGCGTCAAGACCAGAAGAGAAGCCGTATCACAATACCATAGCTGTGTAACACGGGCAGCGAAGCAGAAGGCTGGATTCAGGCGATGCTCGACAGTTGAACATGTCGGGACGCATAGGCTTGGCCGGGCGACAAAGGTGCTGACGACGAGGAGACCAGGAAGAAAGCAAGCGTCGAGCGGGGCTAGTGTTCGCTTGTGCCATGAAGCAGCCGGCATCCTATTGAGATCGCATGACCCGAGACTGATCAGGGAAGATAAAGCGCGCAAGGCATCAAGATTGATACCACGTCAATGCCATTTTGAAACTATCGAGGGTGGAGGATCTTCCGCCCCAGAGAGGGAGTTCTCATAGCTGACACTGGCCACTTCGTAACTTCGTACTCCGTACACTATGCCCATGGCTTAGCGTGAAGAGCGAAGGCTTGGGGCATGGTGATACGAGGCAGAATCCGAGATGTCCGATTTGCTGGGGCTGAGCCAAGGCACCAGAGTTTTAGATGATAGACAGCTTGAAAGTGTTCATGGGCGATCGTCGATGAAGGGTCTTTGTTTGGCCAGAGGGAGAACTTCTCTGCCTGTGCTGGGGTTTGTGATATTTTTGGTGTGCGGAGAGGGGCTTAGAGTTGGCAGCCAATCAGCGTCTCCACTCGATTTGATCATGCTTCGTCATCTGCGAGACTGCGTCCATCCTACGGAGTAAGTTCCTAACCAATGCGCCAGTGCATTGTTATAAAGGCATTTTGGTTTCCCATCCCCAAATACTCTCCAACTGATCCAATGGCATCTTGGTCTACGCCTATGCAAGTTGCCACCCCTTCTGTTCCCTAATCCGTCAAATAGATTACCTCTCGCGTCGGCTCGAAATGCTCGACGAGAATCTCCCCAGTGCGTCCTCAATTGCTTTCGTACACCAACCCTTGTGGAGAACTAATCAATGCAGCATTCTACCTCAAACCGGTCAAGGACTCCCATTTATCGACCGTCTATCTTCTCCAGTATGGCAACGAACCTGACCCAGCGTACTCCCTCCGCTATCCTGACCCACTGTCCCCCGATTCCAAAAATCGCTTCGCCGCAGCCCTCTACGACCCCTACATACCCGACGTTGTTTACGGCGAGGTCTTGATAATACCAGAATGGACTCAGCCAACGCTATCCGCTGAAGCTATCCGCCAGAATGGCGGCGTTGCCCCTTCGCCGGAGCCTATCCTCCCTACCCGCTTCACCATTCAACTCTACAACCCAGACCAACAGGTCATCGTGCATTACAAGCCAAAGACATGGAATAGCCCGCCTTCGTGGTCTTTTGAGATGCCGCAGCACAGCTTTCGGGAGCCCACCGGTTCTACTCTTGACCGCGTCCAGATTGATCCTGCCGTCGCGGACACGACGCCCAAGCTGCGTTTTATATGGAGGAAGGATAGCAAACTGTCAAAGGATCTTACATGCCTGCTTCGTGGAAAAACTACTGCTATCCCAGAAACCAAGACCAAAAGCAAAGAGCCAGATATCACTGTGTCCATTTTTAAGAGCTTGCGCGAGCTAACCTTGTACGAACCGAACCTATACCGCGTCGAGATGGAAGACTTTAAGGGCTTAGAAGTTGTGCTCCTGCTTGGAGCTATCACCATCCGTGATATCTATTTCGCAAGTCCCAAGGAGGCGTTCCGCATCTCGAGACAGAACTCCGCATCTGTCTCACCGACTTCCAACTCTCCCACAACCACTCCGCCGGCAAACAGACTGCCCGCCAGTCCCGGAGGCCTGGTGACCGATATTCCATCCGCGCCTCAACCCCCACCAGTCCGTAGTCCACTGCTTACGAAGCAACAGGAGCAGGCGCGGATGGAGGAAGAACGACAAACCAAAAGACTACTTGAAGAAGAGGAGAAGGTCCGTCGGAGACGACAGGCCGAGGTCGACAAGGAAACGCGCCGATTACAAAAGCTTTACGGCGAAGAGGAAAGGAAAGCTCGCACGCAGACTCCATCCCTACCTCCAAGACAACCCGCACAGCAAATTCCAAACCCAGCCCTGCGCCCATATTCTCAGTATAATCACGGTCGCCCCCCTATGCCGCACGGAGGCTCGCGGCCGTATCTTCAATTGCCCGGTCAGATGTCTACAATGTCCTTGCTGACGCCACCAGTGGCTGGACCACAAGCCGCTGCGAAACCGCTGCAGAACAAGCGGAGTAGCTTTTTTGGGCTACGACGAGTCTCTGAGGAAGGAAAGTTGACCAAAAAGCGTAGCTCCATGTTTTGATGGACCTACCTACGTCCTTTGTTTCTTTTCCCTCTATTTTTGCATGATTATTCTTATTTTCATATTAGCAGATACCCCGGAGTTTTGGCGTTCTGGCAAAAACATATGCATTTGCAGCACCAGGTCAAATATATAGATTTAGGATACTCCCTCAATATAACGACTACTTACAGAGAACCCGGTCACGACAATGGCCTTCCTTCGACGCCTTCCACGGTTATGTTCACGGGAAGAACGTTCCCCACGGAGTCGAATTCCATGCGATCAATGCAGACGACTCGATGATCACGGGCAGTGTCATTTGTATATCGCCGATGATACACGATATAATACTCCTCGCCATCAGGGGTGAACACACTATTATGACCCGTACTAGTGCCGACTTGACTGTTCCCACGGAGAATCTGGGTTGCTGTGCTGGAAAACGGACCTGTTGGCGAAGGACCGGTGACATAGCTGACACCATACGAATCATCTCCCCAGCTGCCCATACCCATTAGCCATTTGCGACCAATGAGCCGAGCAGACAACACTCACCCGCCGACACTATACATGAAGTAGTAGATGCCGTTCCGCTTCAACATCCACGGTCCCTCGACATACCCCTCAGGCGTAATCTCAAGGTACGCGCCCTTCAAACTCACCATGTCCTCATTCAACTCGACCACGATAGCATGGCTCCATCCGCCATAATACAACCAGACTCGGTCATCGTCATCCTGAAACAGCTGTGCATCGATCGCTTCCGCACCGAAAACAGTCTCCGGCACAAGCGGTTTGCCTATGGCATCCTCGTAAGGTCCTTCGGGCTGACCCGTTGTCGACTTGGCCACGCCAATGCCTGCGCCGTCACCGGCGGAGAAGTACATGAAGTAATCGTACTCAGCATCAGCAGTGCCAATTGACTCTGAATCAGGGTTTGCGGGGCGTGGGCGACGAGCCACGGATGGCGCCCACGCCGCCCGGTTGGTGGACCATGGGATGCCGGAGAAGTTAAGGATGGATGGATGTTTGGTCCAGGTCAGGAGATCCGGGGAGGAGAAGGCGTCGAAGAAAGTTTGTTCCTCGTAGGCCGCTGAGTATGTTGGATAGATCCAGTACTCATTATTGAAGATGCGTGCTTCAGGGTCTGCGTACCAGCCTGGAAAGACGGGGTTTCCCGCTAAGGCGCTGGTGGCACCGTCGGTGAGGGGATTCTGGGCGACGGCTGAGATGGAGGGGGCAAGCAGCAGGATAGACTGGAGAACGCGACTCATTTTGGATGCGACCTCACAGTCTGACGTCTCTCCGGTATACTGGCTGGTGATGAATCGTGAACTTCTTGAGGGGAACATGAGAGGGGTCAAGGTCGGGGTACAAGGCTTGGATGTCGATCAACCCCAGCTTCCATTCTCTCCCCCTTGCTGCTCCCATTCTCGTCCCGTGTCACTCTTCCCTTGCGGCACAACATCTTCTCTGTATTGCTCGATACCGAGAGTTTGCTTATTTCGGTTGACGAATGCCCTTGCAGCAGATTGTCTAAAATTATCTCCATGAGGGGAAGATGCACAAATGACTGCCTCGGGCTAATAGCGCGAAATGCAATACGAGGCCCCATCGAGCCTCCCTAGCTATGTCATCAGTTCTCTTCGTGAAACTCCACTCACGCTGCTGGAACACGAGCCTCATCCATACAGATCCCACTTTGGTGCGTTGGAGCATATCGATCTTCCTTTGCAAAAATTAAAATAGAACGTCTGTCGCGCTAACTAGCCCTAAGGACTCGAACACTTCGTGTACCGGTCCTCGACGCAATATGATCGTTTCAAGTTGGGATCAACCCAATGCAATTCGTATCCTTCTTGACATCATACATCGTTTTCGCATCGACTTCATGTTTGACAAGATGCTGCGAACGCCGTGGGGGCCAGATCTTGCCCGGACTAACGGGCTTGCCGTTCAGATGGATTGGCTCCATTGGGTGTCTCCCAAAAATAACAAGCCCTATACTGCAAATGATAGAGATGGCAGCATTCGGCAGCCATGGCCGACGCCTAAGTCCCTCGGGTTCTCTTACTCCATCTCCAGGTCGATGAATCCAGGACTTTGTCGTTAGCTCCATACTGGTGCTGAAGATGGTATAAACCATGGTCCTTGCCAGGTACTGGAGACCAGTTCCTGTTCTCAGACCAGGTACAGAGTTTGCCTTTTAAGACATTGGGAGTCTAAAAGCCTTCATTAGCTGTTTTTCTTTGAGAATCGATACTCGGACCAAATGGTTGGCGTACCTCACAGCACTGGTTGCTCGCGCTGTCGCGAGCGACGGATCAAAGTGAGTACAAACTGAGGTTCGGGACTCAGGGCTCTACTGACATTGTCCCTTTCAAGTGCGATAAAGCCACACCAGAATGTTCACAATGCCGCAGATACGGCCAGCCCTGTCCGGGATACCGCCGCACCTTCCGCTTTCAAGACGAAGGGCCTGGTCTTGAACGCCGACACCATTCATCTGCCGGCCGCGTCCCAAGACCAGCGCCCTCCCCTAGCGATGCAGCAAGGTCGATTCGTGATAATGCTCTCACCATGATACGCCAATATTCGTCCATGTGCGGAGACTACTCCAGCGCTGGCTCTCCCACTCATATCTTGCTGGAAAGGCACCATATCCAACGCTTTGCAGACTTGATCCGCACGGCGTTCCCAACAATGTACTACCACAACCGCTTCCGCGCAACGGACAGGCTTGACTTTCCCTCCTACGTCATTCAAGACGTCGGCTCTCATGTCTTCCAGGACGCGGCTGTCGCTTGTCTAAGCTCAGTCTATCTCGCCTACCTCTCACAAGACGCCGGACTCTTGAAAACAAGCCGGCAGATGTACGCCCAGTCACTGCACGAGGTCGCCCGGGCCTTGCAGACCCCCGACGCAATGTCAGACGCTATGCTGAGCACCATGATGATGCTTAGTGTCTACGAAATGTACGCCCAGACAAGCGACGATGCATGGGTTATCCACGCGGACGGGGTCAGACGGCTGATGATGAGCCGCGGCGCTCAGCCTCACACCAGGGGCATGGCACGGTCGTGCTACATCGCATATCGAGGCTTTCTAGTCGCAACGGCCGTCTACAAAGGCAAACCTTGTTTCTTGGACGGTGAAGAATGGCAGCAGCTTTCACACCGAGTCGGAGTTGAAGACGCCCAAAAGTCGAACGAGTGGCCTTTGTCTGTTCGTGCTTCGGAAGTGGTTTTTCGGGAAATAGTCAAGTGTCCGCGGTACCTTAGCGAGGCGCTAGAGCTCGCATATCAATACCCTTCCTCTTCTGCTATAGCAGCCATCCCAGGTCTCTATCAGCGCGTTGAAACGACCAACAGCAACCTGCTCCAGGCATCCATAAATCTACGGGAATGCATGGTCCGTGATAGGCGCTCACATTCCCACCAGCCGCATGAAGATATGATGACCGGGGAAAGTGGACCTTCTCTACTTGTCCAGGGGGCTGAAAGCACCGTTAGTGTGCTGCAAAGTCTGCTCCGTAGACTTGCGAGAGCCGCGTCGGGACACAATGGCAGTTCGGCTCTGTCGTTTCGCGTTGTATCGGAGCTGGATCGGGGTCCGCCTGCGGCTCCTAGTAATAGGATTGACTTTCTTGCTGTAACTTGGTTAGATCGTATCGCGTCTTCTATGGGGATGATGGGGACTGCTATTGTTCAAGGGTGAAGAATTAACGTTTGAAAATGGTTGCATAATGATATAGACTTTCTACGGTACACGAATTCAAGTATTCTTTTGTCAGTCATTGATTGTTCTTCGTGAATCTGATAATTGTCATATTCGACAGTCTATGTCATTCACTTTGTTCAGGTAGTTTTAACCTTTTTATTGATTATTTGGCACTTAAGATGTACAAGTCTCAGGATATATAACTATGGAAAAGATAATCTCCAAAGCGTAACGCATTTATATACGTCAGTTTAGTACTCCAAGGACTGCTCCAACAGACTCCTCAGCTCATCTCTCTCAGCCTCCACCTCGTCGTTAAGGTTTGGAGCGAGCATCAACACCCTCCTCTGGGGAAGGGTTCCTTCAACCAAGGCTTCAATATCATCAGACTTGAAGCCCAGGTTCTTCAGACCAAGAGGCTGGTCACCGAGGTCGGAAAGAAATCTGGACAGCGCCTCGCCTAGAACCTCACCGGCACTTTCACGCTTTACATTGGAGATGTCAACACCAAAGGCCTCTGCAGCGGCAAGATGGCGATCTGGGTTAGAAGCCGCGGTAAACCGGAACACAGCCGGAGCAGTCACGGCGACGGAGACACCGTGAGGAATGATAGGGTGGTCGACGTCGTAGCCGGCGTGCTTGTAGCCTGGGTTCTGGCTAGAGATGGGATATGACATGCCGTGGCAGAGGTGAACACCCGCGTTTCCAAATCCAACACCGGCTAATGTAGCGGCGAGAAGCATTTGCGACTGAGCCTCGTGATCTTCGGGGTCCTTAACAGCGCGAGGAAGATACTTGACGGTATCTCGGAGGGCTTGGAGGGAAAAGATATCAGAGATGGGGTTGGCGCCTTGATATGCGGGGCGGTTGATGGGGTTTGTGGGGCGTGGGGTTCGCTCGTTGTAGGGGATCGCCGTCCATGACTCGAGCGAGTGGCAGAGGACATCGAGACCTGAGGAGGCGTGTACGGCTGACGGCATAGTTCGTGTGTTAAGAGGATCGCAGATTCCCAGTGTGGGTTTGAGGTTGCGGTGGGCGATTCCGGTTTTGGCGCCCTTGGAGACGAGGTCGAAGATGGCGGTGCCAGTGGTTTCGGAGCCTGTGCCAGCCGTGGTGGGTACGGCCACGAGCGGCCTTAACGCCCTGGTGACGGGGAGGCCCTTGCCGAGCGGTGCATTTACGAAGTCGAGAAAGTCGGCTTCAGGGAAGACGGTGTAGAGGTTCATGAGCTTCGCGGTGTCGATGACAGATCCACCACCTGGATACTTAGTTGGTTGTACAAAGGGTAGAAGGAGTGCTACTTACCGACAGCGAGGAAGGCATCAGGGTTGTAGGGTTTGGCAAAGGCAATGGCTTCTTTGACTCTGCTTGCACATTAGACTATGGTCAACCCATGTGAGATTGAAGGGAACATACGAGCTATCTTTGGGTTCAACTCGAACTTTATCGAAAACTGTGAACTCAATGCCCTCGCGGGTCAGACCCTCAATGGCCTGCTTCATGGGTGTTAATTTGGCAACATTGCTGTCTGTAACAACGCAGACTCGCTTCGCCTTCATGTTTGCAAAGTCCATGCCGACTTCCTTTGTGGCACCAGGCCCAAACCGGATACTGGAGGCCGCCATTTCAAAGGCATACTCTTTCTCCCGGGATGCGTCGCGAGGAGTGGCCATGTGTCGTCGGACATGGTCAGCTAGCGTTGGTGATCGGTGATGATGGTGGTGATTGGGATTCGAATGGCAGGGACATGAAGGGGGGTGTGTGTACTGGACGGTGCGCAGCAGGTTGCGGGCTCTGCTGGCCGCGGAAGCGGGGACGCGAATTGCAGGTACCATCCTGTGGTAAGTTGGAGGAAAGGAAAATAGAACTGCGAAGGTCGGCTTTTGAGAGGAGATTGACTTATATAGAAGATGGTCAAGGAAGAAGAAGAAGAAGTTGGAGCTCGGAGTTGGGGAAGAATGAGGAAGAGGAAGACGAGGTTGGAGAGAGCCGGGATTCAAAATGCGGGGAACGCAGTCCGGAGAGATGGCCGACTGCCGACTCGACCGAGTTTAACCTGTGGAATTATCGCTCATTCGATGATGACCACCGTCGCATCCATGTTCCTGGATTCGAGCTTCAATATCATTTGTTCAACCTGGCGTCCGGATGTCTTTGCCTGATGAATCGCCGCATGGTTCGGACTCCAGAGCCACTGCGGGATACCGAGGTCCAGTCCAACAATGGCCGCATCAGACGCCCTACCATCACAGAGGTCTTTGTTCCCGCCGGAATAATAGGACTTCCAGAACAGTGCCATAGACTCTTGAGCCGAACGGAACACTGTATATCGCAAGAATGTTTGCAAAAGACGTGCCAGAGAGGTGTAGCTGCCATAAGCGCCTGAACAAGCGGGGCTGGCAGGCCTGGGCCCCTGTCCGGGACTCTTCAGCTTCCTCCCCTCGTCCTTTTCTCTCCAGACTCCACCTCTTCTCCTCGTCAATTAACCGCCACTTTCGCTGCTCCAGTTATTTTTCTTGCTTGTATTCGTAGCTATCTCATTCTTATTCAATATCTATCTGCATTCATCCTCCCTCCACACTCATAATGGCCCGAACCCACCCCAGCTCCTTCCAGCAACTGGAGAAAGTAAGCAATTTCCAGCCAGGAAAGATAATTGAAGCATGAGACTGACCTTTTACGATAGCTCGGTGAAGGAACCTATGCCACGGTATACTCTTATCCCGCCACCTTTCTTCCCCACGATCCTGATCCTAACTCGCCTACCCCAGGTCTACAAAGGCCGAAACTGCCAAACAGGGGAAATGGTGGCGTTGAAGGAGATCCACCTCGAATCGGAAGAAGGGACGCCCTCAACAGCAATCCGCGAGATTTCTCTTATGAAAGAGCTACACCATGATAATATCCTGTCATTATATGATGTCGTCCACACTGAGAATAAGCTCATGTTAGTCTTCGAGTATATGGACCAGGACCTGAAGAAGTACATGGATACTCATGGGAATCACGGTCAGCTTGAGCCTGCGATAGTGAAGTCATTTGCCTTCCAACTGCTGCGGGGTATCGCATTTTGCCACGACAATCGGATACTCCACCGCGACCTTAAACCCCAGAATCTACTTATCAACGCCAAGGGCCAGCTCAAGCTCGCTGACTTTGGCCTTGCGCGTGCTTTCGGAATTCCGGTTAACACGTTTTCCAATGAAGTGGTGACCCTCTGGTATCGCGCGCCTGACGTGCTCCTCGGCAGCCGCACCTACAATACCACGATCGATATCTGGTCCATAGGGTGCATCATTGCGGAGATGTTCACTGGACGCGCGCTGTTTCCGGGCACCACAAACGAGGATCAGCTACAACGGATCTTTCGTGTTATGGGAACACCGTCCGAGCGTACTTGGCCAGGTGTCTCGCAGTTCCCCGAATACAAAAGCCATTTTCCGGTGTATGGACCACAGGATCTGCGACATGTTGTTCCTAGGATTGATCCATATGGTCTCGACCTGCTTAGGTGTATGTTACGTCTTCAACCGGACCTACGAATCAGTGCCGTCGATGCGCTACGACATCCCTGGTTCAATGATGTTCCTGGAGCTGTTCCCCAAGCCCGATCCATCCCTGCGTGATTTGTTTACAGACAAAATCATGTACAGGTTTCGGCGGTCAAATCGGGTATTTCTTGATCCTATTCTTCACCTTCTGCACTGGACGGCATACCAATCTCCCTGCGAGCAGCACTGCTGGATCTGTGGGTTCATACTCTTACTACGCAAGGTGTCTACCATACCTATTACGGGAACCTTTCGATTAACCCCGAAGATCATATAAATCATTCATCACGCTTGATATGAATGTCACTCGACAAATCCAGATCTCTCCTTATTTCTGGGTTGACCACTGCAATCGGCCTGGCGAAGCACTCCCTGCTAGCAGTTTCCGCACATACTAGAAACTATTATGCAGAAATTCAGTGCGAAATTGAGCAACCTTGTCCTAGGATAAGAACCATCGTGCCATCCTACTCGATGGGCTATTCCCGCCCCTAACCCAAGCCTGACAATGGCTCTCTTGGCTGGAGTTATTGCCATCGGTACCATTGTTATAACATACGGAACTTGGTTATTGTGGAAGCTCTGGCTTTTCTGAAAGCAGCATTGATTTGGGCATTTTGCAGCTTATACCCAGTTTTATATAGAGAAAAAATATATCTTACAATTTTGCAAAAAAGATCGGTGTACATACTTTTTAAGCCAAGAACGCCTCATTACAATTTCTGGGTATCAGGTTCGGCTCTCCGAACCGCTTCATCGCTCATGAGGGCAACCGTGTTATATGATCCCTCGTAATTGCGCGCGGAACGCTGTCCACTTTCCCCAGATTGCTGTCGTGCCGCTCGCCATTAGACATCAGTTCAATATCGTAATCTTCATCGGCTCCGGCCCTCCCGGAGTAGCCTAGCTGGCGTTGTCCCGAGCCCCCATGAAGCACTATATCGCCACTCCTCACCTGTTTCTGGAACCAATGTGACCGCATCCGGTCAAGCGCGGTCTTGAAGTCGTCGAGGATAACCGTATCACAGAGACACTTGAATATAAACGATAACTAAATAGTTCAGCCAAGTCCTTGTCTGTCCTCAGATATCCAGGTCAGTCCATACCTTCCAGAACGGCTGCACTCCCGAAGGAAGCGACGCGCTGTTAAAGGCACCGAGAACGCTGCACTCGTCGACGACAACAAACGCAAGCGAGAGACACATGGACGCAAGCATGATCCCGAACCGCGGACTCACGGTAACGAGCTCGGTGATCCCAAAATTGTACTCGCGCTTGATGGTATAGAACAGCGAGATCGTCGTTATCACCCACCACGGATCTCTGTCCGCCACGGCCAATGTCAGCTTACGGATATGGAGACCGGTGAAAGAATAAAGGTGGATAGGAAAAAGGTTGGAGACGCACCGAAACAACGGCTCCATTGGCCTCGTCGTCAAAAACAATTTGTTGATATTGTTGAAGTATGTGAAGTTCGCATAGATCTCCAGCACCCAGTACGGCTGGACCAGGATCACAGTGATTATATAGATGCGCGAGACGCGCTTGGAGAAAAACGGCTTGTTCTTCATCCATGCGATCACGTTGTGCAGAGACCACGACACATTCAGCGGGATTGCACTGACGGACAGGTGCCACCCGTAGATGGGCTCGTGCGAGAAGATCCAGGTCCCGTGGGGGATCGCGAGGATGAGCTGTTCCATTTGGGGATTCAGGTCAGCGCTGTAGCCGGCTCACCGGGGGATATAGAGGCGGATTTTTGCTCGCGAGCGTACGTACCTCGGCGAAAATCAACTTATGTAGCAGGATGTGCTTCTTCATATTGCACACAGTGACTGCGGCCATCACCAGCAGGGACCCTACCATCAGGCCCTGACCCCAGGCTTCGAGGACGAGGCCGTTGGGGTCGGTAGGGCGCGTGATGCGCTCGGTGTCCGAGGATGAACTCATTGGGATGGTAGACACGTGGGCTCCACGTTACGGTGGGACCATTGCCAGATATAGGCAGTGATAGAGTGGAGAGGAGGAGAGACGGCAGGGATGGGCTGGTAAAGGATATTTAAGAATCACGCAGAAGGAAAGACTAGACAGGAGCTCGGTGTCGATGGAGATCAGTAGACAGAGCATGAAGCTAGTAAAATGTATCGGAGGTTACATTGGAAAGCTGACGGGCGTTCGGACTGGCATCTTCATTGCATGGTCCGTTTCTTTGAACTCTGTGGCACATGTCACTCATAAGCAGGGATTAATGGCCATCCCTATGCTTCATGGAGCTGTTTGTGGCATTGTGCCTACCTACATTATCTGGGGAAGTTCCTGGGGTGTGGGGTAAGAGGGGTATGATGGCCAGAGCGCGTGGTCATCGATCTGGCGTGGAGCTTGAAATAAGGAAAGTGATGGAGAGCGAATATTACAAGCGAGATATAGCCGCCGGCCCGGGCGAATAACCAACCTGAGCAGACGGGAATCTCCGAGGGAGAAACTTAAGCGGTCCTTCTCCCTCTCATTCGTTTCCCTCGCAGACTAGTCGTCGCAGGATTTTTAATTCCCGACCATGACCGAAGCTATAAAGTCTATTTGGGCGTGTTGTCCCGAGATTCCACTATGGGCTCTCCGTCTCGTTCGGGACTTGCTCCGAAGACGCCCTGCATCTCCTCGAGCGAGACTTTCAGTGTCTGGACAAGGGGTTAGCCAAAGCTTAGCTAACGGATAGGACCGGAGAACGCACCTCTTTCAGAAATACCCACGAGTATAACACGATTGCGTAATTGAAGATGGCAAACATCAAGAACATTCGCCAGCCGATGTTGTCGATGGCATGTGGCGTGACCTGAGACATCATGAAATTGAACAGCCACTGCGATGCCGCTCCAACGGTGACGCCGACCTCTCGCAGTCGATTCGAGAAAATTTCGCCGACATACAGCCACGGAAGCGCACCCCAGGACATGTTGAAGCTAAATGCCTCCGCATACACCATAATAATCATGGCAATTCCTGCCGGCGTCGCTGCCGAACTGTCTCCATCCGAGCTCGGGGAATGGGTCGCAAGCACACACCCGATAATAAGCAGGAATGAGCCCATTGCGAAGGCCCCAACCATGAATGGTACCCTTCGTCCAATCCTGTCAATGACAAACAACTGAAAGATGCTGACGCCTACAACCTTCACCACGCCAAAGAAGCCTGTCACTAATTTGGCCGAACTTCCCGCGCCGACAGCTGAAAAGATCTGGGTGGCATAGTATGCCAAGGAAGTATTTCCTGATAACTGGGCACATAGCTGGATCGTAACGGCGATAAAGATTCGGTACCGATTTGCAGGCAGAAGAAGCTCACGCCAAGTGAAGCTGTCTTTAACGCGTGCCTCTTCCTCAATACCCGCCATAATCTCGTCAAATTCCTGTTGCAGCTCCGGAGTGTCTTCTCCACCCCGGACCCATTTCAGGGACTCCCACGCTTGCTCTTTTCGGCCCTTGGCCGCCAGCCATCGGGCACTTTCTTTGACTGTGGCCATTCCAATCAGCAACAGAGTGGATGGTAGTAGCTGCAAGCCCAGCGCTATCTGCCATTGCTTGGACTCCGACGGTTGGGTCTCGGACACGGCAAAAGTAACCCAGTACGCAATCATGACACCTAAGGCAAAGAACAACTGGAAACAAGCACCAAGTCGTCCGCGCATCTCCTTTGGGGCCATTTCTGCCGAGTACATGGGAATCAGAACAGTCGCCGCACCGATCCCGACACCAGCAATCACTCTACCTGCATAAAACGTCGCCAGTGTGTGGGCGTTGATGATTTGTAGGATGGTTCCAATGGTGAATATAAGCGCACTGATAACCAGGCCAGATCGACGACCGAAATGCGATGCAACAGGCGTTGTGAGGAAGCAGCCGAAAAAGGCACCAGCCTGTAGAATGGAGACAGCATTTGAATTGACCGTGGTCTTCTGCGATTCAGAGTACCGAAAGTCTCTCTGGAATGATTCAAGAGTGAGAACGCCGCCTGATACAGTATCAGAAACAGCTTTCCGAGGTCTTACAACCGGACATTGAGACTTACTGATCACGCCAGTATCAAAGGCGAAAGCGAAAGAGCCCATGCAACTGGCCGACGCCAGATAGATGGCCCTGAAGAAACCCAGCTTCCGGCCCATGATCACGAAATGAAGCCCCTCAAGACCCGAGTATGTCACTAAGGTCGAAGGAAGTTGGAGTCGTTATTGAAGTTGTTAAACTACGGATCGTGGATGAGAAGCCGGCTCTTATGTTCCTCGTGTGGACAGCAATCACGACATCGCAGGCAAATAGATGACTACCTAGGACAAGGTATCACCTCCTAGAAGCTCTGGGCTAGACAAGGGCCACAAATGAGACTAGCTTGCTCTTCGTTGGACCTAGTGCTTCGCAGTCGTCCAGACGGCATCCGCTAAGCGCACTGGACCGTAAGTAGAGCATTAATACAAGGCTGCGCATAAAGTCCAGAAACATAGACTAGTTTGCAGTTCTACGGGGTGCCTACCAGCCCCGCGAATTCTGCAGATGTGACGCGGGGAAGGCCGCATAGTACTCTCATAGATCCCCGCGGGAGTGACATCAAGGCCATGCCCGGGCATAGTGGCACAGTCAATCCTTTTCTGATAGAGACCATGGCTCGAATTGAAGCGAAGTATCAGTGCCGAAAATTCATTTGACAGAAATTGCGAGCTTTGGTCGCTAGAAGGCCTTTCCGGCCATATTCGCGGACGATTTGATGCTCTTAAAACAGGCAAAGAACGCGATCGGCAATTTATCTTGAAAGAGATTAGCGGATGATTCGAGCTGAGGACAGCTTGAACAGGAGTCACTTTCATAACATCCTACCACTACCCCATTGTGCATTCAAACACTTGATAGCATGATCGACTAACAAAGGTTGCTGGTGGCCAAGGGTTCCATAGGACTGCGGGAAATGCGGATATGGCGGACTGAAAATTGCCTCGGATGTAGCTGTCATAGATGTACCTCGTTCTACTTAAACAACGCCGTCTGCCTGGATTTTCTGTTGTGTTCAAGACTTTTCTAACACATCGGATCCTGTAAGTCGATTATCAAAGACCACCTTGCGGGGCAAGAAGCGTTTCAACCGAGTAGTGAACGATAGTCGCTTGACTAGATCTGCCGGGCAAGGCTTAATTTACTTTTAGTTCTTGACTGGTTTACCAGGCTTACCCTTGCGCTAAGTCCAATTCACGTACATCCCCTATTTTTTTTGGTAAAGAGGTCTTCATATGGTTAGAGAGTTCAGACGTAGAATTTATTAACCAGCTCCATCCACCAGCACGGAAAACACCTGCTCCTAGACACCAAATTCCCGCAATCGCCCCTGATCAGCCACACTGAGTGGAGGATTATGATCAATTCCCACGAACCTTTTCTAACAATTCCGCCAACATAGAAGACATCTGCTCCTCCACACCAAATTCCCGCCACCTATCCAGATCAGCCACACTGATCTGCTGAGTCTTTAAGCAGTCATCCAGCGTCGTAGCCTTGACTGTTAGTGCCGGAGCCGTGGGTATAATATCCATGCGCAGTCCTTGCAGAATCTGGCGCAAGTGACCTTCGGCCTTTCCACCACCCCTCCCTCCGTATGTCACAATCGCTGCCGGCTTGCCCCGCCATTCATGGAACAAGAAGTCCAGCCCATTCTTCAGAGCCGCAGGAATGCTCCAATTGTATTGCGGGGTCACGAATACAAAAGCGCTGTACTGTTGCACAGTTGCGGACCAGGCTCGCGTATGGGTGTGGACGTAGTGAGGTGTCGGATCGGTCTCAGGAAGGTGTGAGGGCACAGCAGGCTCGTTGTATAGCGGAAGACCTTGGTCGCCGAGATCAAGGATCTCGATGGCTTCGGTCTCAATGTAGGGTGCGGCACGATCGAGCACATATCGAGCGATAAAGGGATTCAGTCGAGGCTCGCGGGTGCTGCAGACCACAACGGCAATCTTCTTGGACGACATGATCAATGGGGAGGAAACAGGGCGAGTAATGGTAGTGAATCAAGGTTCTCATCTCCTTGGGGGTTTTATGAATGCTGGGATATTGCTGCTACGGCTACTGCGGATACCGCGGACATTTATGAAAGTGAAAAGGCAATCTCATGTTAAGTTTAAAGTAACCCTAACCATGGATACAGCACCGCGGAGTGGCGTTGGGAGGAGAATCTACTGTACATGGCTGGACCACCGCGGATATTGCGGGCAAGGGACATATTTTAAACGGCTGTCTTGTAAAGAATAAATTGAATATCACCAATTAAAATCCTCAACATGGTTACACATGCTACAAAGACACATGAAGAGCTGGCGAGTTCACAGCAAGGTGTCTTGACACCCAGCGTGAGACCCATCCACCAGCAGTGTTTCTATGATAAGGTCCTTATTTTTTCTACTCTTAATAACGCAACGAAATACGAACCATGGAAGAAGTATTTATTTACTGGTATTGTCTCTCTGGCTGCGGTCGCTGCACCACTTCAGAGCAATATGCTATTGCGTTAGTTTTCCTCCTTTCGTTGTCTTATCTACCAATGCCAATAAAACTGACATTATATCACCTACACAGCCGCCTTATCGGAAATCTCAGCATACTTTCACGCCTCTCGATCGCTTGTAAACCTTTCCATCGCATTTTATATCCTGGCCATGGGGATCATCCCGCTCTGGTGGTCGGTGATCTCGGAGCTCTACGGACGGCGTCCGGTCTACCTCACGTCTTTTGCCATTTTCCTGGTGGGGAATATAGTTTCAGCGGAGAGCACATCGATCAGCATGCTGATTGTCATGCGCGTTCTTTGCGGAGGCGCATCGGCATCTGTTCAAGCGGTTGGGGCGGGAACCGTGGCCGACCTCTGGGAGGTTGAGCGGCGTGGGCAAGCCATGGGCTACTTTTTCTTGGGTCCGATGGTCGGCCCGCTCATCTCTCCTATCCTGGGCGGCATCTTGACCGAACGGCTTGGCTGGCGGGCTACTCAGTGGGCCACTGTGGTATACGGCGCCATTGTCTGGCTTCTCATCCTCGTTTGCCTCCCTGAGACCTCATTCGTTCGCAAGTCTTCGACTCGAGCACAGGCACCCGACGCAAGTTCTCCCGACATTGATGAAGGTTCCATGATTTCCTTCCCTCGGATTTGCCGCATCTTCGTCGAGCCGTTTAAAGTACTAGCCTACCTGCAATTCCCCCCAGTCCTCCTCACGGTTTACTACGCTAGCAGCACGTTTGCTTGCTACTACGCGGTCAGCATTACCCTACAAACCATGTTTTCCGACGCCCCGTACTCCTTTTCGCCGATCATCGTCGGCCTTGTCTATATCCCTTGTGCCCTGGGTTCGATTATGGCGTCGCTTCTGGGTGGCCGGTGGACCGACCATATCATGCGGCGACGGGCTAAATCATCGGGTCGGTTCAATGTGGAGACCGGCCAGATCAAGTATCTCCCAGGAGATCGAATGGGAGAGAATGCATGGCTTGCCTCCTTGATGTACCCGGCGGCGAGTTTATGGTTTGGCTGGACTATTGACAAAGGTGTCTTCTGGCTATGTCCGGTGAGTTCTATGCCCGTGAGCGGTTTTTCTTTTCCGCCTTTTTCTTCTCTTTGTGTTGTCTTCTTCTGGTTGAGTCGTGCTGATTACCTCTCCAACCTTCGTTATAGTGCATTGCGACATTTTTTTTCGGTCTCGGGAGCAGCACGGTCTTCAGCATGACGTCGACAATGCTGACAGAATTACTGCCAGGACGGACTAGCACTGGCGTGGCGTTGAACAACGTCCTGCGCAATAGCCTTGCGTGCATAGTCGTGGTGGTCATGCAACCATTGATCAGTGCCATTGGGCCCCGGTGGATCTTTTCTGGATTGGCAGTTATCGGCTGGGCGAGCATCGGAATTATCTGGTTATTCAAAAGCAATGCGGTCAAATGGGCCGAGTCTATGGAAATTAAGCTAGCTAATAGATAAGAGCGGCAGCCTTTCCCTAGATTGATAGAAAGAACATCAAGTTTTGTCTCTTATTTGACATATCCAGTTCTATCGATCCATTGGTTTGCATAGCTACAATACCATACCAACGGCATACGTTTCTGATTTTAATGTGTTAGCTGTACCTACCTGTTACATTCGTGTATTGCTTGGAGACACTCGACTTCCAAGACTGCGGCAACGACCGGCTTTCATCGGTGTATATTTGAAAGAAATCGTGAGTACGGAAGAACATGCCCCTAAATCAATCATTTCTTCGGTCTAGATAAATCTCGGGCTTCAGAATGCCTTGGAGATATAACACAGCTCAGAAGGGCAGAGCCAGCCAATCATCCAGCAGATCAAGCCCTGCATCTGGGAACAATAGGTTCACATCAGTCGCCGAGTGTGATTGCAAGAGATTATCTAGTGCCGCCTGTCTGAGTCTGCTTTTTGTTTCCTCCTGGTCTTGCGAGGCACTGATCAGGTGCTGAGCGGTTGCCAGTGCCTCTCGAGTCATCTGCGTATCAAAAGTATGTGCAAGTAACCGAAGCAGATCCATTGCGTCTCGCAGAAGGGACAGCATCGGCATGGAATTGAACCATAAACACACACAAATGGTCTGGAATGGTATGCTGACCAGGTTCCACCATGGCTGCTGTAGATCGACTAACTCGCGAATCTTGCCAAACGCTTTTTTCAAGATGGTGACTGCGGTGCAGGTGCTAGATTTGTTGATAGCACGAGTGACACAGAGCACACGGCGCAACAGACAGAGACAGATGTCAGCGCAAAATGTGGCGAGGAGTGCGGTTCCATCTTCCTCGGAGACAGTGAGACGACCCAGATAATGTTCAATTTCTCCCCTCGGAACTTGATTTTCGTGATCTTCGCAACCGTCCTGCAAAACACGAACTGCTTCAACGAACTTCAAAATCCCAGCAGGCGCTCGTGCAATTTCTCTGGAGGGAAGGTGACAAGTCACTGCGCGCAGTTGCACGGGCGTAAGACCATATTCAGTTGATAAGATGTAGTTCAACGACCAGGCCGTCCAGAAATAACGCCGCCGTGTCTCAGCCTCCTCGCGATCCACATTCAATTCGTCCGACGTCGTGATCATAGATCTGGACGTCAGCTCGCGATGAAAACCCAGCACTTCGGCAATATGCATAGCCATTTGACTAGCCATGCACGCCATATAAGGTCGTGTCGTCAATCGCATATACAAGGAGCGCAGAATCCAGCCAGCCAAAAACTCCGTTCCCAGGTAAGCGTTGGGCTCAGCATTTGCCATGTCCAGAATGAGCACACACTGATCGATAAACTTAGATTCGAGATAATGGGATGGGTTCGAAAAGAATGACCCTAAGGCAATTACACCACACATGACCGCTTCCAGACCCGGTTCGCTCTGCATGGATTGCCATCTGGACTGCACTCGTTGAAAATACCATTCTCGCTCGATGAAGGCAAATGCAGATTCAACGGTGCTGAAAAACACATTCGACAAGCTGAGACACTCTTCTTCGGAAATAAGTGAAGTGATCTGGGAAACAAATTTGGTTCGGCACTCTGTGCGGATACCCATATTCCACGCGTAGGAATGTAATCGTGGGGGTGATGGATCGTCTAACTCGTGGCCGAGAACGCGTGGTAAGGCGGCGGCGCTGTGACGGCTTATAATGCGAGAGCGGCGTTTTTGAGTGACCACCGTGTCCCAGGGGTCACCCGTCTCTTGATTTCCTTGTTTCGCGGGCTGATTTTCACTGGTAATCTCTGGAGATGGCTCGTCGAGCTTCTCTACCCCGTTGGTTTGCACGGGAGAAAGCGCAGTAAGACCGACGTCGCAGCGATAACCATGACCTGCACAGGACGAACAGGGCATCCGTCCGTCGCATTTGCGCTTTCGTCGGCGGCACTCCCCACAAGCGCGGAGGGAACGCTTTCGACGATAAGTATTATTGCACTGGTCTTCTGACCAGGGCTCGACCTTGCGCTTGGGCATCAGGTTTTCCAGACCTTTGATGTTGGTAGATATCAAGAACTTACGCGTAGTCACTGTACCAACGCATCTGTGTTGTGTTTGTCCGAAATTCCTTGTGACATACCGTGCCTTACTCATTTGCCGCCCAAACCCGCCTGCCGCCCAATAAAAAGTATACCGGTATCCCCGGGGATACTTTTCCTAATTAGGGTTCTTTTTTAAAAAGCCCTGTCAAACAGTTATTTTACCCTGTCAAAGGAGACTAACTCCAGTTCTCAAGGCCGAAAGACATTCAGGGTCAAAGCATCTGCCAAAAAATAAAGATCGTCTTGATTCTGGGAAGCTGTTTCGTGATTCCCGTGCAGAATTGCGCGTCCTCTGGGGAAATCCTTGGCGATCGGCCTGTAGAAGGCTAGAAACACGGGCGGTGGAGTTGCTCTGATGCCAGTCAACTGTCGCAGATCTTCAAGTTTCAACTCCCAACTCTCTGGATGATTTCTCCCTTGTCTCTTCTTGTTTCCTCTTTAGCGACAGGACGGGAAGACATGCTGTTGATCGGTATCTTGTCTTGAATTCAGCGTTTGTTTATCTTCTTTCTGTACTTTCCAGTTAATATACCCCGTCGCTCATTCTATCACGCCGCCATTCCTTTCGATATATTCGTTCATTTCGTGCTTAAGGATCCAGATTCGGTGTTTCGAGATGGCCCGCCTTTTTCTCACAGCCTGCAGCGCATTGCTGCTGTCTGTTGGAGCAGCCGCCGACAATTTTCCGTTCATGACCCTCCAAACCGCTCCCTTCCTACCACCGCAAGTCTCAGTAACGAAGAGCGGCCACACGGATCCGGGGTACATATTTGTTGGGCCTCGTGGAAATCAGGAACTGGGAACCGCTGCCTTGATATACGATGAAGATGCCAACTTGGTCTACCAGGGACCGCAAGAAGTTACCGCTAATTTCAAGGTGCAGAAACTCTTCAACGAGGATGTCATCACCTTTTGGGCAGGGAACATGATGAAGCTAGGCTTCGGATATGGTACCGTCCACATTCTCGACAACACCTATCGCGAGATCTATACCGTCACACTTCAAGACGATTTTGTCTCTCCGGACGGCAACTCGAGAGATTCATACATCGACCTCCACGAGAGCCATGTGACACATCGCAATACCTTGCTAGTGACGGCCTACAATGTGACCCAGCACGATTTGACCTCGATTGGCGGCCGTCCGGACGACCATATGCTGGATGGGAAATTCTATGAGATTGATATTGCCACGAACGAAATTGTGTTTTCTTGGAGCGTCTTGGACCACCTGGAAGACATACCTCTTGAGGATTCGAAACAGGGCTGGGGAGATGATGTCGGGTCTCAGGAGACGCCTTATGATGCCTACCATATCAACTCGGTTGAACTGATGGAAGACGGCTATATAATCTCGCTTCGTCACTATTGGTCTGGGTATTTTGTCCACAATAATGGATCCGTTCTCTGGAGGCTGGGTGTACGTCGCCTCTAATGTCTTCTAACTCAAAAAAACATGTTGCTGATACCGAGCAGGGCGAGAAAGGCACGGGCGATTTCGAGATTGATGATAACGCCTCATTCTCTTGGCAGCATGATATCCGCATCTATAACCAGACAGAAGAGGGCTTTCAGATGAGTCTTTTCAACAACGCGAATACTCCGACAGATGAAGTCGCTGCAACCACCGGGTTGAGTTTTGATGTGGATATGGTGAATCGCAAGGTCCACACTCATCGAGTATTGAATGACACAGACGATGTGATCCACAGTGTCAGCCAGGGAAGTTACCAGCTTCTCAGCGAGGACACTCAGCATGTTCTTCTTGGCTATGGATCAATCGCTCGAGTAAAAGAGTATGACGCAGAAAACAACGAGGTTCTCACTGTCCAGTTCGGCGAGGATAATGCAGTCGCATCATATCGCGGCTACAAATGCCAATGGAAGGCGACCCCTTTCTGGAAGCCCGCCATGGTTGTCCGACGGACAGGCCCAGACTCCATTCTGGCCCATATGAGCTGGAATGGGGCGACGGAGTATGACAACTGGGCCGTCTACTCGTCAGCATATTCCGACGGGTCCGACCCTAAATTTGAAGCGATCGTCGAGCGGACCGGCTTTGAATCTAGCATCGAACTGCATGGATTACCCAGCGGCTTCCTCCAAGTGACAGCACGGAAGGGTGACATTCCGCTAGGGACATCGGAAGTCGCATCATTACAAACGGAGGTGGGCACTGAGACGGAGGTGGGCTCAGTGCAGACAGAGGCGGGCAATTAGGAAACACGCTGGTCGCTTTTCCTATAACATTGCCATGTCGTACGCCGTACGGGGAACGAGTTCGTGGCTCCCGTCTGAGCAACGGTCGAGTTGCAGCACCTACCGAATCGTCGGCCCTCGCTTTATTTAGATTCTTGTATATACCTTGCCCAATCTAAGCTCACAACAAACCAAATGTATTCTTTTCAATGCTTATGCATTTAGTCCCTCGCAATATCCTTAGATTAAGCTCTATTTACAGTCATTTAGCCGACAAACCCAACCAGCATTCATCATCCCCCGGTTCGATGTCGTGATCACGGCCACTTTCCACCATTCAAAGCCCTTAGAACCGGCTCATTTATTCGGGTTTGACAGTGCCAGATCGTCGGGTCGGCAGTCGCTTCTCTATCCGCTTTTAGTTACCTCGCCTTGAATATTGACAAGTCGCGATTTGTGGCGTGTGTTGCTCTACTTCAGTCTACATTTTACTGGCAGGGGGTTAAGCTGCTGATGCCTAGCTCGTACTACGTCAACACATTGTTACTATGCTGAGTCCAAAGTCAACGTACGACGAGCTATCTGAAGCAGTTCATGCAGGTACATCTTCTGTGCTCCCTCCGTCCTACCATGAATCGCGATCTCCCTTGACTTTGCCAAGGTAAGAAAGTGCATGGTTTGATATGTAACATGCTTCAACTGCCTCGGCCCGTCGAGCCGTTTCCAGGTTCAAAGAGGTTAGTGACCAAACCGACTGGTGATGGTTCGGACATTACACAGTCAGACAGAGACACAATAAGTCCTGTTAATTACGTATCCTGGACGGCCGCGTATGTTGCCTACCGGCAAGCACACGTTGGTAGCGGACCCGGGTGTAAATGGAACGCTACACTGGCTGCTGAGATGGCCTCACTTGCCAGCTGAATGAACGGTGAGTAAGGACAAGGATATTGGATAGGAGAGAATGGATGTGTATAAAGAGGAGCTCGAAACCGCCGAAACCGAGGAGTATCTCTACACAGAGCGCAGCGCAGAGCAAGACGGACAGACAGACAAACAATCTCCGAACAAGCAATCAAGCAAGCAAAGCCTCAACTGCCAAAATGCACTTCAACCTCGCCGCGATCCTCTCCCTCGCCCCGCTTGCCCTCGCGGGCATCCCCCGCCCCCGAATGGTCAACACCGTCGTGGAGACCAACAACATGCCCATGATGCGTCCCTCGCCCAACGAAACCATCGGGCACGCAATCGTCTTCAACAACTGCGAGATGCCCATCTACCTGTGGTCCGTGGGCCAGGACATCAGCCCGCAGTACCAGCTCATTCCGGGCGACAGCTACTCCGAGGTGTACCGCCGCGACTCGCAGAGCGGCGGCGTCGCCATCAAGATTACCACCGTCAAGAACGGCCTGTACCTCAGCGCTCCGCAGACGGTCTTCGCGTATAACCTTGTCGAGAACCTGGTCTGGTACGACCTCTCCGATGTCTTTGGCGACCCATTCCAGGGTGAGATTGTCACCGTTGAGCCCTCGGAGCCCGAGATCTGGTGGAATGAGGGCGTTCCCCCCAGCGGTAGCCAGGTGCGCTTGTTGGAGGCGTCGAATGATTTGGTGTTGAGCGTCTGCTATTGAACTTGACTTTGTGGCTAAGCTCGGGCACGAATTTGGTTTCGGATTGCCAGAATGGAGATCGGGGGTGACTTAAGGAGTCATTGGGGAGTGTCGTGGAGGTTGTAATGGCGGTGCACTAGGCAGTTTGCAGTGAGAATGTCATGTTGCTTTTTCATGAATACTTAATCAACGTTCGTAGAGTCTTTGCCCCCATAGAAGAAACACACTCGCATAGCTCTCGACGTACTAAGGCATGCGTCCGTTAGTTTTACCTCGAGCTGCACTCTCTCTAAATACACGGCCACTGCGGGTAGATACCTTGCTCAGTAGCTAGACAGAACTACAACCATCATACCAACGCAAGACCACACGGTCGACACAGGAACAGACGCTGCAGAAGCATACAATTCAACTTCAGCTGATCCGTCGTAGGACGACACACGTTAGGTCGATACAGTTGCCGGCTGCACCCCTGCCTCAGGACCTTTTCTTGTCTGTCCCGCTTCTCTGTCTTTGTTGAGGATCAGATCCGGACAGGGATCCAGTTCAAGGCGGTATCCTCTAATGCAGATAGTTGGACCGAGTGCCCAGGTATCCTGAATGGGATGTACTACCATGATTGATCTCATGAAAGCGGGCTTAGTGTAAGCTGAGAATCCAGTAGAAGGATCGACCTTTCCTCGCGATGTACCTGCATAGACAACCAGCAGTCTACCGTGAACACGATCCCAGGCCACCATGTAACCAGAGTGTTCCAGCTGGGGTGACGCGTCGGAACCATCCGCGGAGGATGATAGTTTCTCGGTAAGAAGGTACCCAAGTTGGATCAAATGCAGTGTTTGTACAAGCTTGACGAAGGCGCTCTGCTTCTCGCATGCAATGACTCTGGCCAGCCCTAAATTCGAGAGTAGTGGGTCCTGGGAAATGTCGGATGCCGATGAAGCCCTGCCGAGTTCCAGCGGTGAGCGCTCAGGTGCCCAGTAAAGTTTGGTGTCATAGTTTGGCCAGGTTTCGATGGAGATAGGTATCAAATTTCCCTCGTACTCGTCCAACAAGTCGGCAATCTTCCCAAGTTCAGCAGGGGATTTGGAGCATCCACGAGCTCGAATTTCCGCAACCAGTCTTTCAGCACTCTCGTAGCCAGGACTATCCCCGTCCATGTCCAGCACTGGTTGGCCAGTAGCAACGCGGCTGTTCGAGAGCCCAATGTGGAGAGACTCGTCAGGATGCAATTCCCCAAGCCAAGTAATCCCAAGCTTTTGCTCGATTTCACCCAGCTGGTTATGCAGGAGCCTAACAAACTCGCCTTCAGTGACAAGATGGCCCAGCACACTGCTTATGGCGTCGTCCTTTAGAAGATCCCTCGTGCGTTCGAAATTCGAGATACCGGGCAAAGTACGCCAAGCCAGCGATGCCTGCTTTAGAATATCCACAGCCTTTGACGATTTGCCGGCATCGACAAGAGACATGGCATAGACGTACGCTGATCTAGCCTCCGGGTAAGAAGGAACGGTGTTGCGAGTGAGGCCCTTGAGATATCTTTCCCATATTTGCTTCTCCAGACGATCGATCTTAAGCCTAACGAGCAAAGACAGGTATTCTCCCACCTCCATGGGAATAACATCCTTGCGCGTCCACCAGAGTATCTTGTTTAGGCTTGGACCGCGGCTCCCAGTGACCAAACGACGTAAGTTGTCTGTATTGTGCTTTGGATCCTGAAATGACAACGCCTCAAGGGTTGATAAGAGATTCCGCACCAGGTCAACACTTTCTGACAGCCTTAAGTATTTATTACCAGTAGAGAGATAATGCTGCTTCAAGTGATGGCGCAAAGCGGGCTCGGAAAAGGCAGCACATGCGTAGCGCATGCCCATAACATGAACGACTCTGAGATTCGGACTACCAATCAGTTTCAGCCTCTCCTCGAGCCCGTTGATGAAGGCAAGAATTTCCGCGTGTGATGAACTGCCTCGCTCGCAGTTTTTCAGCGCTTTTGCCAACGCCGCCGATGAATTAAGGAAGGCATGGGTCTTGCCAGAGTTGCTGATCACATTCTTCTCTATGAAATGCCGTACCTTTCGAAGATTTCGCGCGTTTGCCAGGGCATACGTCGGGGTGCTTCTTGAAGGGCCGCCTTTGGTTTTCACAGTGCGAGGAGTCCATAATGGGGCTGGCGTGGAGTTCAAAGGCCAATCTTCCAAAAAGACATTCACAAGTTGCCGCTCACCCGCCGCGTACGCCGGGCCTGCCCCACCGGTCAGGGCAAATCTGAGTAGCTGTGACTGCGGAGGCCCAGGTCTGTCTGGTATGATCGCAGAAGAAGCGTGGCGCAATCCGGGTAGAGCAAGCGGTAGCCTGTAGACCACTCTACTAGATGGCTGCCGGAGCCAGCAATAACCAGAGCTAATCATCGAAGTTCACAGCCAAAGAATAAACAGAGCCACAATGGAGTCGGATGTTGGTAAACACATGCCAACCCTTCCCCCTCACGGGGGAGCGTGATCCGCTGACTACGCTGACAGGGATCATGGCCGGGGTTAAACAAAGGGAATGGCCTAGCCCTACACGGAGGCTGGAGCCTGCACGATCAATGCCTGCCTGTATTATTAGCCTTTCACCAAGCCGTATACCGACGGAACGACTATTCAAACAGGCGGTCTCTGGTTGCATGCCTATCTAGGCGGTGAGACGGGCGGCCATTCCCTCCGTAAGGCTGGGGCATTTCTACAACGTTTCATCGGGAATCTCCATCCAGTCACTCGCTCATCCTCACAGCAGTCATATTTACTGGCGAGATGTCAGCCCAGCAAGACTTGAAGCAGCCTCCCATTGAGGAGAGCGAAAAGGGCGAAGAGAAGTTGGCGACACCACACACGGAATCCAATACGTCAGATCGCCTGGAGGAGACTTCCAACACGGAACAGACAGGCGACAAGGAGGATAGCACGGCTACAAGGGCCCGCGACCGAAAAGAGAGGTTCAAGGCACTCCAAGCACGCGCAGTAAGTGCTACTGACTCCCCGGTGAACACGTTCATTTCGCATAATCTAACCCCATGGCAGAAATCCGCGAATGAACGCAATTTGAAAGAGACAGCCGCCGAAACCCAGCGTTTAGCAACCGACCCCTCCCTACTATCCTCGCTATCGCGCAAACATGCCTTTGCCTCGCACAACCTACTCAAAGCTGACACAGAGGCTGCTGGAGAGGATTTCGAGCGTAAACGCGCATGGGACTGGACCATTGACGAATCCGAGAAATGGGACAGGCGGATGGAAAAAAAGCAGCGCCATCGAGACGACGTTGCATTCCAAGACTATACTCAGGATGCGCGGAAAGTGTACAAGAGACAGCTCCGGGAGATCAAACCTGACCTTGAAGGATACGAGAACGACAAAATGGCAGCGATCGAGAAGGCTGCTGCAAATGGCGACCTTGAGATTGTCGAAACCGCCGATGGGGAAATGATTGCGGTGGATAAGAACGGCACGTTCTACTCTACGGCGGACACGGTTGGATTTACCGAGAGCAAACCCGATCGCGCTGCTGTCGATAAACTAGTTGCGGACCTGAAGAAGGCCGAAGAGGTCCGTCTCAAGAAACGCAGAGACCGCCGCGGTGGCGATGATGAAGGCGACGTTACCTACATCAACGAGAAGAACAAGCAGTTCAACCAGAAGCTGGCTCGTTTCTACAACAAGGTTTGTCCTCAGTCTTCTCCAGTGCTCCAAGGATCAAGCTAATTTTCTTCTAGTACACCACCGAAATACGTGACAGTTTCGAGCGAGGTACCATGATATGATATGATACAATTATTATACAGTGATTCGCCGCGTGCGGCCGCTACCAATTCATTCAACACCAAACAATGACGGGTCGTCAAACAGTTTTTCCAGGCGAGCCATTGCAAAGACTCCGTCACATTCCAACGGCGACAATCACAGCATACTCTTTCTCCACGCTTTAGTGGCCAAAGCCTCGATCTTCCTTGGTCCGACGGGCCCGCTCACAGACGGATCTTCCAACGCTTCGACCACCGCCTCGCCTACCATGTCAACTTGGAACGGCTTATCCACCATCGATCCGAAGAAGTCCAGCCTGTTACCCACGAGCGCATTGAACTGCGATGCAACGAAGCCACCAAGCGCTATAGGCAAGGTAAACTTCCTGCTCGAGTCGTACATGAACGGAGGGCGCACGAATACAGATCGCAATTCTGGGAGTTGGGAGGCTATTGTTGTTTCCGCTTCTCGCTTGGTTGTGATGTACCTGCTCGGAAGCATCGGGGCACCCGATGAGGCGGATATATAGAGGAATGTCGAGGCGTGCTCATTCAAGGACTCCTGCGCCAAAGCGATAGCTTTATCATTCCCGAACATGTTAGCCTTGCGTTTTGCCACAGTCCCACCTTGGTACATACCGGAATCCCTGTTCATAAGCTCATATGTAAACTGGCCATCCCTTTCCTGCGCCTTGAGCGCCTCGCCCTCTTGCCTTTGAAGAGGATTCTGGCTCCCGCGTTTCGAGGAGCTGAAGGCCTTTCGTAAGCCGGATATGATCGGTTCCCGCCCTTGTACCACGCCCTTGTAATCGGCTTCAAGAAGAATACCCATGCTGTGTACCACCGCGGTCGCATCTTTCAAAGCAGGCTTGTACGTCTCTGGCTTTAGGATGTCGGCTTTAGCCCATTCCACCGACTTTGCCCAACCAGGACGCTGGGAAGAGCTTGTGACGGCATCCCATCGTGGTTCTCCCGATCGACTGTTCGTGGAGAATATTAGATGCCCCGATAGACTGAACTGGGGAGAAAAAGGCGCGTACCTAAGAGATGTTACAGACCAGCCTCTTGCGACTGCTGATTTGCATATCCTTGACCCTGAGCATGGCCAGGTCCATTAGCACAGTTTATCTCGACGAGCGCGGCGCAAGTACCTAAGAACCCATTTCCACCGGCAACAACAAGCTTTTTCGTCGCCATTTTTTCGAGGTTCAAATATGATTGCTGGATATAACTCTGCAGTAGCCGATTTGATTCTGCGGACTCACTTGCAGGATTGGCGCATTCTCATGGATGAATATGACGCCAGAACCCACTGCGGAAGAAGCTCTGCCGGAGCTGGATCGCACCACCTTCTGGAAGGTTGCTTATCGGAGTCCTTATCGCAATATCACGTGCTGGCTTTAATTGGTAAAAGACGCGCTCGGCCAGGGTCCATCTTCATCGCCTCTAACCTTGCGCCTTTCGAGCTTCCACGTTTGCGAGTTACACCAAACCAATCTACGTAGCTCTATACGCCTCTGGGTACTGTGTTTTACGAGATGCCCTCTGCTACGGGTACTAAGCGTGTCAGGGTGAGTATCCAGCGAAACCAACGCAGGGAGCCAAGACTGACCCAAAAGCCATCAGGGAGTCTCAATCTTTCGACCATTTGGTGAGTTCTTGCTTCTCTTCTGCCTCCCGTGGGGAAATACTTACAAGTGCAGTCTTCGGTAGCGAAGCGCAACCTTTCGACCCGGCTACGAAACCAAGCGACGTATCCTCAGACCACACCCACCAATGGCGCGTGTACGTCCGCGGCGTGAACGGCGAAGACATCTCCTACTGGATTAAAAAGGTTCAGTTTAAGCTCCACGAAACCTACGTACAGAATGTTCGCACCATCGAGCACCCGCCCTACGAAGTGACTGAGACCGGCTGGGGTGAATTCGAGATCCAGATCAAGATCTATTTCGTGCCGGAGTCCATGGAGAAGCCGCAGACTCTCTGGCATCCCCTGAAACTTCATCCGTATGGCCCTGATGCGGAGGGCAAGAAGGAGCGGCGGGAGGTGGTTGTCAGCCAGAATTACGAGGAGGCCGTGTTCAATGAGCCAGTCGAGCAGTTCTACGAGTACCTTACTGGGGGCTCTGGGGCGCAGCAACCGCATAAGGGGAAGAGTGGGAAAAACGCGAAATCGGCGCAGCAGCAACGTGGTAATGGTAGGACGGCGGAGATACCGTACAACGAAACGCCCGACAACCCGTATAGTCGGACAGCGGAGAATAAGGAGCTTGATCGGCTGGCGGAGGCAACTAAAACTGTTGAACAACTGATCAAGGATGAGAAAGAGAGGCTTATTGCTCGAGAGAAAAGACTAGCGGAGTTGCGCGAAAGCGAAAAGGTTACTACGCAGCCGACAAAGAAGAGGTAACGGTTCTGCATGAGCCGCCTCTGAGGGCTGAAAACACCTTTATTCGGTTTTCGTTAATAAAGCACATCCAAGTCCTTCCTAATCATTTGGGAAGAATGTCCGCGTGCTCGCCATAGTGGACGCCAGAGACTGTCCCGACCCTTCTCATTTTTAGGGATCTATCATAATCCAGCCCTATGGAAAGGCATCAGCAAATGCGGCGCCCGGTCTTGGCCGAACCCGAGGATCGTGTCTCATGGGGCGAGATGAGCATGTTCCGTTCCGCAGATTTCACCTGCATGTGCGTGCATTTGCCAATACGGCAGTGGCCAATATTTCCTTTGGGTAAAGCTCCCCTTGCCCCTGGTTGGCTGGAGCTGCTAGGTCAAGCAGCAATATCTCGCTCTTCTAAGGCCTCCTGCATGTATTGGTGTAATAGCTAGACAACGAATACATATTATTGTATGGGAATAATGCCAGGCAAATCAAGAAAAGTGCCTTGTTCTCGCTAAAAGTACAATAACAAAAAGGTGTATCTCTATCCAGCAGAGTCACGCAATCAAAAACCCTTTAATCCGCGAAGTTTGCCGCAGCCTTGGTATCATCCCGAGTTTGTCTCAGGAACGGAATCAAATCGGTTCCTCCTGTGCCGCTGACGCCAGCTGAGACCTTCTCGTTTGAGTCCTTCATCTGGGTCTGCGTCGTTGAAGCCAGGTTCATCCTGACAGGCGTGTTCTCTGGAGGAGGCAGCTTCGACGCCAGAATAATGTACCTTGTCACGATCTGGACGTGCTTGTCACGGAACGATCCGAGGGCCATGACGGCGGCGTTGTATGCGTCCCGAACGGGTGTGCCGAGCTTGCAGCTCATAGCGTACGGACGGAGGTTGGCGTTTCGAGTGAGCATTTCCAGGAACCGCCTGTGGGGGCCGGGCATGTAGTTTCGCATTTCCTGCATCGAATGGTCAGAATCGCTCATACTCAGCGGCAAATGGGTAGCTCCACGAACCTGGATGTATGGGGTTTTGCCCATCTTCGCCCTCGGAAGCTCAGCTTTTGTTGGGCCTCCCATGGCTGTGTGCTCGACACCGAGGAAGATGTCGAAGGTCTGAATGAGAGAGCTTTGAGCGTTGCTCCCGCCGCTATACTGGAGCCATTCGCCCTTTCCGTTTCCTTGATCAAAAAAAAGACCGTTCGGTAGGCCGGCTGAAGCCATGTTCTTGCTTCCGGCGAGGTAGGGTCGGAGGAGGTGGAAGAAGACGGCGGGGCGGTTCTTCTCGTACATTCGTTCCAGGATACGAGCCAGCTCATTGAATCCTTCGCTGATCTGGTTGAGATAGGCGACGATCCTCTGGTTGTCGCCGACGGCCACGGCTTGGATGGTGTTAAGCATCATTTCAATGACCCGGGCTCCTCTTGCTTCCATGGCGACGGACACCATGAAGAACCACTCCTCGTCTTTGGTTCCTGTGTATGATAGTGTCACTGACAGGTTATCGGCACAGGTGAGATCGTCGTTGGGTGACGAAGTCGACCAGTTCCATAGGTTGAGGGCTGCGTAAGTGGCCACGGGAGGAAGTTCTAGGTGACTTGAAACTTCTAGGTAGGGTACTGAGATGGCTGGGGGCAGAACCTGTCAAAACACACCAGTGATTAGCAACCGTATCAGAGGCCCAGGGATGGAGTACTTACATCTTTTGGAATTTCGCCTCCCCAAACATAAGCATGTGTGAGGTAAGAGAGTACCACATAGGCCCTCCTCCATTCTGGCTTGGATTGCAAGTTTGCGGTGGTGAGGACGGGCAGGCTTTCTACGGCCTGATGGATGGTGCCATCTTGTATACTGGCTGTCAAATCCCGGGCAACGGCTTCCCACGGGGCGTAGTAAGGATCCGGTAAACATTGCAGAGGGGGAGCCTCCGGGAGGAAGCCGGTTTGAAGAGAAAACTCGTACTCTTCAAGAGAGAAATCTGGTGAGGAAAGCATTGTGATGTCGGTTGATGTGTGAAGTGACACTGGATGTGAGGATGTAATGAAGATGGAGTGGTCTATTGAAGTATGAGGCAGTCAAAGCATGCATAAACCACCCTTCTTAAATATGGTCGACCCAACGTAATGGTATTGCTTAATGGCATGACAGAAGCGGGCCCGGAAGACGCTCACTTGAATCTTATCTTCAACTTTTTCCTAACGTCCATGCTCAGTAAGTGAAGGGCATCAGCCGCCGGAAAAAACACAGGCGAGTCATGGATTGTGTCAACCCCTGCACTGATCTCCGAAAAGTGACCGTCATAATTCCGGAGATAGGCTAGATAACGATGATCCAGACAGGATAGGTAATCGAAGACCAGTATATCGACAACTGTAACCAATCGAAGAAAAAGCGATATTGATGCCAAAAGCATAGTGGGCACGGAAGACATCCGGGCCAGGGCCAGAGTCCTTACTTGGCGGGGGCGGACCAGCATCCGGCTTCCCCAACTCCATCAATCACTGCCTTCGGATCCCGCCGATCTCGCCGTATACGACTTCAGGAATTCTTATCGTCGTATCGGTTATGCCTGGTTCCCCGCTATAAAGGTCCCGGGCAGGGAATGCTTGAGGTCTCAAGTATGCTTCTTTCTTTTGCGTAACCCTTCTTTCCTTGAATATACCCTCTCCTCTCTCGTCTCTTCATCATGTCCAACCATGTCAACGGCGTTAACGGCGTGAAGCCGGTATTCCCAGAGAATGCTGCTACAAGGGAATTCGCCAAATCGTTGGATGCAGCTGACCCTCTGGCTGCATTCCGCGAGAAGTTCATCATTCCCTCCAAGTCCAACATCCAGTCCAAGAAGCTCGCCAAGCCCAGTACGTGCCATTACGCAACCCAGTGCACTTCGTTTGCTAATATATGTTGCGCCAGACCTCTCACCGGAGCCATGCATCTATTTCTGTGGCAACTCGCTCGGTATCCAGCCCAAAGCCACTGCAAAGTACATGGAAGCCCACCTAGACACATGGGCGTCTATCGGCGTCAACGGCCACTTCACCAAAATTGAGGATTCTCCCCTCGACCCATGGTGGGTGATGGCTGAGCAAGCGGCAAGCTCAATGTCAAAGCTTGTCGGAGCTGCGCCAGAGGAGGTTATCGCAATGGGAACGCTTACGTCAAACCTACATCTGTTACTGGCAAGCTTCTACAAGCCCACTGCCACCAAGCACAAGATCCTGCTGGACTGGAAAGCATTCCCTAGTGATCATGTAAGTTTCACCAGACTCCCAGAACTTGTGCCGTTTATCCCGAACAAGTGACTGATATCAATATTTAGTACGCCATTGAGTCTCATATCGCTTGGCACGACGGGCTGGACCCGAATACGTCCATGGTACTCATTGGCCCTGATGAGGGCGAGTATGAAATCCCCACGCAAAAGATCCTCAACATCATTGACGAGCATGCCGATGAAGCTGCTCTGATTCTTCTCCCTGGTATCCAGTACTACACTGGACAGTACTTCGACATCCAGACCATCACTGCTTATGCACACTCGAAGGGACTAATGGTCGGTTGGGATCTGGCCCACGCATTCGCAAATGTTGAGCTGAAGCTCCACGAGTGGGACGTGGACTTTGCAGTATGGTGTACCTACAAGTACGGCAACGCTGGGCCTGGATCAATGGGCGGCCTTTTCGTTCACGAGAAGCACGGAAAGGTTGACTACAGCCAAGGCGAGGACGCTCCTCAGTTCCGACACAGGCTCGCAGGATGGTATGGTGGTGATCGGTCCATCAGGTTCAAGATGGATAACAGTAAGTCAATGTCCCAGCATCTACCGTTGAATCAGGAATATCCATTAACATACGTCTTCAGAATTCAAGCCCATCCCAGGAGCAGGCGGCTTCCAACTCTCAACATCCTCTGCCACAGATCTCACCTGCCTCAACGCCTCCCTTTCCATCTTCGACCAAACCTCGATCTCCGAACTGCGCCGGAAATCTATCCACATCACCGCGTATCTGGAATACCTGCTATTGGAAGACACAACAGACGAGACCCGTCCATTCCGCATCATTACCCCCTCAAACCCTGAGTCACGAGGCGCCCAGCTGAGTTTACTCCTCAAGCCTGGCCTTCTGCACAAGGTCGCCGAGAAGCTGCAAGAAGCTTCGATTGTCTGCGACAAGCGCGAGCCTGGCGTTGTCCGCGTTGCACCTACTCCGCTGTACAACACCTACACTGAGGTGTGGCAGTTTGTGGAACAGCTCAAGGCTGCTTTCCGAGAGTAGTCTGGTTTGCGTTCTGTTGGCATTTTTGGAAGGCGTATACATTGTTTCGGTATAGATTTGTATGACTGGTAGAGCTTATGGTAGCATGATTCTTATATATCCAAGTCCTTTCGGTATTGGTTGAATGAAATCTATACATAATCACTTGTCGCTAGGTCAATTCTCAGATCAGCGGCTATATTTGCGCGCCTCGAAAGAAGGCTTCGAGCCATCTCTAACAAAAGGGCTGGCATACATACACGAATGTGCAATGCTTGGAACGCTTGCAAGTTGTATACGCACCCCACCAACGCACAGGATGTGAAATGCTAGGACGAGATTACGGGTATCTAAGGTGATATGAAACTGAGGAAAAAGTTCACATTGGGGCTCTAGCTTATATACAACCTCGGAATCACCCACTCTACTAGCCCATAATAACTAGAGGTACACCGCCAATCGGCTCCAGCAAGGCTGTATGAATAATCGGAGCATCAATGACACAGCGGGTTCAATCTATTTCTCGCCGAACCAGGTCTTGTGGCCCTGTTGAGTGAGCGTTAGCATGTTATCAAACCGGATCAGGCTCTACTCGAGTCTTGTGGTAGCGGGCATTTATGGACCCATGGGCAAAGGGTTTACTAACGAAGACCATGCGGCCCATGGCGTAGGTGCAAGCTAGAATGGAGTCAGCGATAAGTGACCCAATATGTCATTTCCAGGTAACTCACCAACACCCATGCCGTAGACGGAGATGAGGTAGGGGTACATAACCCAGCCGGAGCGAGAGGTCTAAACATAGGATATCCGGGTTAGTTAATTGTCGTAGTCGTCGCAAGGGAAGAGATCGCAGGTGGGTTGTTTGTGCGCGGACTGACCTTGTACCACTGGCGCTTGCCGTCGTGCTGCTGGAAGAGACGCTGGTAATAAGGGACGCGGTTCTCGCGGAACACGAACCTGCACAGGAGTAAAAGCGAAGTTAGCAAGTTGGGTATCTCAATGAGGTGGTTTCCCCGAGTCAGAGCTCGGCCAATTGACCAGGGCATCTTATGATGTCGGCTCCGCGGTCAACGGCGAGCTGTCTGCGACGACTGAATATGAATTGCCAAAGTATTACTTACACGGCCATACGAGGAGCGGTGCGAAGCATTTTGACGGTGTATGAGTGTGAGGAGGAGGGGTTTGTAAGAGGATAGTACGAGCGCAATGACGGATCGAACGATCAGTTGATGTCGAGATGTGTGGGCCCGAATGCAGCTCCTGCACGTGATTCTTTCGCCGTTCAAAGTCGCTGTCTTACTAATGGTGCGCTAACCTGGACCTAGTCAGTGCTGGGAAAGGCGGCTTTCTTCGGCAGAAGTCCGATGAATTTCTGAAGCTGGCGCTGGAAGCACTGAGCTTAGGATTGCTGCTCCGTTTCTTCTGAGCAATCACACCAACATCTCTACTCGTGCACTGATGAGACAGGATGATCAGGTCGCTCTTAAGTTCTAAGCATCATTTGCCCTTCCAAACTGATGCGACCGGCTCTTCTCCGATTGTTGAAGAGGCCATCGGCGCTCTCAGTCCTTGAATCCTTAATATCGTCTCCGCCTGTCATCGAGCACTTGGAACCCCAGCTGCATGAAAAATGCCTCCGTTGCTACTCGTCCGCGTTCAAGCCGTTGTTTCGCCAGGCCCGACGGTCACGGCCACCGCCGCCAAAGAATGGAGCTTCCAATAAATCGAAGAGACTTTCGAAGATCCGCTTGGCCCCCATTGAGCCTCACCCAACGAGTGATGCGAAAGACAACGACTATGCGAGTATTGGGAATAAAGTACTAGGACCCTGGAAAGACCTAGGGTTACATCCAGAAAGACTGGAGTACGAATCCGACGTTGGACATACCCACGACATCGGCACTCGCCTGGTGGATGATCCCGCTCATAGAGACGATATTAGTCTTTGGCTAGAATTGCTTCGGTACCGGCAACGGCACTATGGGGACAAGGGAGTCTTGCAGATCTGGGAGGGAATGATGAAGCGGGTCGGCGGGCTACAGCTCCCTGTAGAAGGGGAGACTGCGAATTTCTTCTGGCAGAGCTTTGTGGACTACGGGCTAAAACACGAGGCGTTTCTCAATCAGGTCTTGGAGCACGCATTGGAACTGCAAAATCAGACAGGCAAGCGGTGGTCGAAGCTATACCAAAGCATCGTGGGTTCGTTCGTTAAGCTTGGAATGGAACGGCAAGCCGTAAAATGGCACAAGCGTGTTCAAGGTGCCCACGGTCCTGCTAACGATGATGTCGCCGGGTGCTTCACATTGGCCATGTCCGACTCTGACATCTCTGAAAAAGTGTCTGGTGGTTTCCGGGCGCGGATGGCCGCCTTTCGAGCAATATGCAAGCATACAGATGGCCACCGGGTATACGGCCATGTGATATCTGCTTTGATGGCTAGCGGAAAGTCCAAAGAACTACTTCGAATGCATGAATTTCTTATCGGTCAAGGCGATCACCCCCGTTCCCTCGAGGAGGTGCAACCATTGCTAGAGTACGTGCGGTATTTCTCCAACAGTACCACGAGGAGCAGACTGCGGCGTTACTTGGACGAACGATTTGCACCTGAAGAAGCAATTGATTCCGGCATGCCCTGTGCAGTGGAATCTGCTCCGGAGGTGGATGTCAAATCTGAGTCTGACGATAATGGGTTGAAAGACGAATTTGGAGCTCGGATCTTTGCTACCAAGGCTCTATCTCTCGACATGATTATCTCCGGTTTAAAGACGTTCCGTGTTTCAGCCATCGGTCCGCAGTCATTGCGCGAATTGGCCAGGCGAGCCGGTGGGAGCCAGGATTTACTAGCAAAGCTTGAGCAGCTTGAGCAAAGCAATATTTCTATAGGGAACAGCGTTTTCGTCCGACTCCTGCGCCAGCTTGCCAGCTACCACGAAGAAATACTTCTTTCCGACCTGATCCACAGTGATCAACATCATGACGTGCTTGAGGATGCTGAGACCCAATCGTCACTACTAATATCACATTATGCCGCTGGAGATTTGCGACAATATAATCTTACCCTGGTGGTACTCAAAGAGCTGCTTGGTGAAGGTCCAGAGATGTTGAGAATTCATTTTCAAAAACATATTGCAGCCGGGGAGAATGATTTGGCCGCCAGCATAGTGGCTGAGATGCTCGCTCAAGGCTCTACCTTGACGAAAGAAACCATGGGTTTCATGATCACCTATCTTTTTGGCCCCCGGAGACCAGGGCGTAGGCCAGTCAACCAGCCCAATCTCCGCTCGACACATACCCTACAATCTGCTTTCAAATATGTACAAAACATTGCATTGGCAGGTACGAATGTTCCCGTGGAACTCTGGATTGAAGTGGTCAAGCGATATGGCATGATCGCACGTTGGGGGGAGTTGCGCGCCTGCTGTCTCTGGCTGACCCGCCGCTATGATCCCCGAGTCCCGGGGAATGACCCGTTGATCCTGCAACGAATCTTCAACCCACAAATGCAAGAAGCAATAGTTAGCTGGGGGTTCATCATAGAGCCACCCACCATGTTACGGATGAAGGGCTTCCACGCGACCGGAATGCAGGGTGAACCTTTGGTCCCATTTGTTCGAGGCATATTGCTCCTGCGTGAGCTGCGAGAGAAAGGTGTCCACGTCAAGTCATCACTCATTGGTCAAGTCAGCGAGAGGCGCCTTATTATGCTTTATAGTCAGACGCCTTTCTTTTCCAACCGAGCCAGGAACCGTGAGTTACGGAAGGAGAACCCTTATCTACTCTCTCGGGTAATTGAAGATATCAATTGTGCCTGGGGGCAGCCGTATCTATATGATCGTTTACGAAAGGAGTCCTTGAAGTCGATTCTCCAGAACGCTTCTCCGAAGCTCACGCCTCGACATCGGGCCGATCGAGCTAATATGTGGAAATACATGGACAAATACGGCGATATCAGTCAATAAAGATGAAAAGTGACAATTTGCCCAGAATATAATACAATAATGCTGTGTCTTAATCTTGATACCTAGAGTTGAGCCCCGAGTAAATGTAATAAGACCGCCAAGCAATTAAGTCACGTGCATACCTAGTGCCTAGGAAACGAGAATGTTTTGCTCCGCCACACAGCTGGCGTGTCCCAAACGTCAGCTCGGCTGCCGATTCGTCTAAGAATAGTCGCAAGAGCCCAGAGTCCAGACAGCTTCAAAGTCGCGTGGAGCGACTGGACCGCCAATTCTCTCGTCTGTGAACGACCAAGAGTCTCAGATCCGATGATACACCAATAATGACAGCTCTGGTCCCACCTGTATTGTGTCCAGAATCAGATCGACGGCCATCAGCCCTCATTCCAAATATAACGTAGTGATGGCCATGGAATACGAGTCATTCCTCCCTTTTCATTTTCTCTTTCAACCTTGAACCTTCCTTTGATGACACTGCCTACCTAGGGTCTATCGGTATACAGTGGATTTACTCAGTTCTAACATTCCAAACTGCAGCTAGTCTGCTGCTCCATTGCCAAACGATATTCCAGGCCCCTTCTCCCCAAAGTCTTGTCAAACAAGACACTTCGCTGTTCCATATCACAAGATGTTAGGAGTCGCCGCGCTTCTGTCTCTTCTCCCCCTCGCGTCGGCCACATCTATCATCCCTAGACAACAATCCAACTCCACAGCTTGCAATAACGCGGCCAGCCTTTGCTCAAAATCCTATGGCGACATTACCCACCTTGGCGCGCATGATAGTCCTTTTTTGAGAGACGAGTCGACGGGCAATTCGATATCTGGCAATCAGTGAGTTGGACGCTTCCTCTGCGCTCCCCGGCCATGTTTCGGGCACTGACTTGGACCGTCTCCTAGGTATTACAATACAACCGTCCAACTCGATGCTGGTGTCCGCTTGGTATCGGCCCAAGTCCACAACAGCGACTCCCAATGGCGACTCTGTCATTCGAGCTGCGACCTTCTGGATGCTGGCAGGCTTCGTACATGGTTGTCTGAGATCAAGGACTGGTTGGATTCAAATCCAAATGAAGGTACGGCTTGTGGAAGCTTGTTTGCGCTGGGATATCCATACTGAACGTCGATAGTGGTGACGGTATTGCTGGTGAATTCGGACAGTGCCACGGCCTCCGACCTAGCTGCGGAGTTTGAAGCTGCAAACATCACCGACTACGCCTATACTCCGACTTCGGAATCCGCGCCGAGTTCTTGGCCGACACTACAGGAGTTGATCGATGCTGGAACCCGGTTGATGACGTTCGTTGCATCGTTAGACGATAATTCGGGCGCGACGTACCTCATGGACGAGTTCACCTATATCTTCGAAAACCCATACGACGTGACATCAGCGTCGAACTTCTCCTGCACGGCCGACAGACCTACCAGGTATAGTGGTAATGCAGCCTCGGCTATCTCGGCCAACATGCTCCCACTCCAGAACCACTTCCTCTATCAGACCATCCTTCTAGACTACCAGGCCCCCAATGAAAGTTACGTGGGTACCACCAATGCTCCCTCCGGAGCCGAAGGAAATCTTGGCGATGCAGCATCTACCTGCCAGAGCACCTGGGGCCGCCAGCCAGCTTTCATCTTAGTGGACTTTTTTGACAAGGGCCCGGCCATCGACACGGTGGATAACCTCAACGGCGTCACCAATGCTGTTGGCCGCACGAATGTCACCGCCGTCGCGCAGGACGAGGAGAGCTCTGCATCCACTTACTCGAATGTGTTCAAGGGCTTGGTTGACCTCGTTCGCAGCGCCCAGTCTGGGGCGAGTACCAGCATGGGCGACTGGATCTGGGCTGGCGGTGACTGGGGAGAGATACTAGGCGGGGGTATCTCACTTTCTTAATTTGGTCGCCGGGCTCGGCTAGTTCTCTTTTCTCTTTTCTATTTTCATTGTTCATTTTGTCGTCTGTTACGGACCTCGCTTTTGATACCTGGTTGGATTAGACGAAGCATTGTCGTTGGATAGCCATGCATGTTTCGGCGTTCTGGGTAAGTATACTGAAAGACTTGTCGCGTTTCATCACACCAGGTGGAAAACTGGACTTCATTTGAAAACTTGAGCTCTTCGCGTTCGAGCGGTATCTTTACGTTGTTGAAAATGCCATTAGGGTCGCTCTGTTTGTGTTTCGCTCTGTTTGTGTTTAGTGCGCAGACTACACATCTATTGTTCGCATTGTGATTGATACGTTTCTTCTCTGGACGACCCAAAGTGATCTCATCTATTTCGATTGCACTGGCCCTGATACTCCGTATGCGAGTTGTCATCGGTATCAACCTCGGCGTCAAACGCGATAAGACTACAACTCTATGATCTCAGTAACTATAGTTTCGAATCCGGCCGCATTTTCACAGTAAAACGCTATCCCTTGGGCGAGTGCAATTGCTTCATTCGTAGTCGTCCAAGCGTGGCTGTCAGGGCTGATAACTCAGGTTCTGCGCAAGACAATGGTAGTCTGCAATTTATACACCGAGTATTTCATCGTGCGGCATTGCAATTGATTCTTGCACGTGGATGCTTATCTAGATAGACTGCTAGTGACTCGATATTTAGATCGGATTAAAATCACGTTAACTTCCGCTAAGAGTATAGCCGCCGGTCGAATAGTTCACCTCTGTTCTAAGCGGCTTTCGGCTTCCCGTCGAATGTCTGATTTTGCCCTACTGCTTCAAGAGCTCTTGCACCTTGGCCACCTTATCTTCGAACGATTGTACCTTGTCGGTTCTGCAGCCCGGAGAGCATTGACCTTCTGTTAGCCCCGATATCACCCGCTAAGCATGGGGGCGCGTAGTACAACTACCCCTGGGAGGGAAAATATACCTCGAACCGACACGGATATCAGTCTGGATTCGCACAATCCCTTGTTGATGCAATATTGTGTGCGCCTGGCCTATGACTCGATGGACGTCGTCCCAAGAGCCTTCTGTATGTGTCGAAAGGGACCGCCAGGGATGGCGGACAGGAGTTCGTTAGCCCAAGTTATGTCATTGCAATGCTCTGAGGGCAGACAGTGAGGTGGCACGGTCAGTGCAGGACGAGGCGCATCCGAATAGTGACACAAGTCTTGATCAGGTTGAGGGGTAATTTTGGGGCCATGACAAGGGAGCCTGGGCTGCGCAGCGTTCAGCGTGCAGATAGGGGCTTATGGTAGGACGAGAGAGGCAGACAGACAGAGAGAGCGCATACCGAGAGTAGTTCCGGCGGAATGCATGACATATTTTAGACCGGATTTCTCAATCAATCGCTGAACATCTGCGATTTGCGCAGAGACCGAAGGCGACGAGGTGCCAATCTATGCACATTGTGGTGTTAGTTGACTGAACTGCATCTTCACATGGTCGGCAGCGAAAGCAATGATAGGGCGGAAGACGGGAGATAATGATGAACGAGGCAAACGGGGCGAGCCGCAGCAGGAAGCGCGGAGTATGGGCGATGATGAGGTGCATGATACGGAGTAGTTGCATGTGCTATCGACCACGAACAGGAATAAGACAGAAGTCCGCAACTGCATGAGAGGGCGTTGGAATGGAGGCCATTTCCAGAGCGGGCGGGGTGCGTTTGAGGTGCTTGTCAGACGTCTGCAAAGGGCCCACCAGATGGGTGATGTGCAGCAAGCAATGCGACGGGTGCCTTTTGGTTTTGCTTTTTCGAGAATGGCGCTACTTCAGGGACTGGCAGAGTCAAGATCCTTGTTGATGGCGAGTTCCACTGGCGATGGAGGAAACTTGTGGTGGTGTGGCGCCCCTCATAGCTAGCCGCGGGGTAAAGTAGCCTATCGTACTATCGCCAACGGCAACACTGGCCCAGCTAGGCTGTCGCCTCATGCATGCAAAGCAATTGACATCTGGACGGGGACAGAGCACACCAGCTGCAGCTCTCCTATCTCGCCCATGCGGCGACGGGATAAACCAGTGGCATCGAGTCGTGGAAAGTGGACGTTACTCACGAGAACACAAGCGGGGCGCAGAGTCGCAGAGTCGATTGGCATCCACAGCACTGGAATTTGGGTCGCGGACCTGCTAATAACCATCGTCCGCTCCAGCTTGACTCACGACTCTGCTATTTCTTCCCTCATCCCCCTTTTCAGGTTTCGTCTCTAGTCTATCTACTTCTTTTATCATCCAGGATACTCAGGATTATTCCCTCCGTCCAGGATCAGCCCGCTTCTTTTCTTCTGGAAGCCGCAGGACCCCTGCTAGCTTGAGCCTATCCCTCGACTTTGCGATTTCTTGCATGACTTCAGCAGATCTTCTTCCTTTGACTTTCCACACTTGCACACTCTCGCCTCTGGCCATCCTCAGGCCACCAACCAGCCGTCGCCCTGACCGCTAGTCTGTTGAATCTGCCAGGACTTTGCACCGCCATAGACAGCATAAATCGACCTGGAGTGTCCGTGCCCGACGCCCTAGATCCTGTCATCCTGGCAGCCCGCGTTCAGCTGCCACGATTTACACGACCGTTGATCCTGCCTCGCTCGTGTTCAACCTGTCCGAGTTTGCCGCCTGGCCATTGTGACCCCGCAGTTCTTTGTTGAGGTCAAGAAACACACAAAACTGGGTCAATTCCAGCAGTGCCAGCGTCATCGATACTGAGCGAGTGGGCGATCGCAATCGCAAATCCCGATCCCATTGGTACATCATCCGCTGAGTGTGGCCAAGCGTTCAGCCTACTGAGACGGTCTAAATCCTGCACAAGACTCGACGCATGGTTCAAGGGCCCTCTCCACTAAACGCAATCGGGCTGTCTTGGTCTTATCGCCCGGGGTCATTCACCATCTAGGGCCAGTCAAACGCATCCTTGACCATATCTCAGCTGAGTAAACCTACGCCATAAATAACTTTACCTCCTCCAACGAGCTTATTTTGCGACTATTTCGGCTTTATTGGCCGAGAGTGACGAGGCCCAGCCGTTCCACTTATACGAGGCGACACCGGCATAAGCAAAACGGGAAAAGCAAACCACGGTGTGACCGCGCTCCCAGCCAGACGGAGCACTAGTATTCGCCAACCTCAGAGAGGCTTATACGTTTCTCGAAAGTTTTGAGTCACTGGAGCAAACGGCTGAGGCCCAAATTACTTCAGTACGCGAAACGCATTGTAAACTTTTGCTTTTGAAAAGCCCCATTCCTGCAGCCGCCCTGTCATCCGGGATCCGGTAGTACTACTTACTTAACCTCATTCTTCATCTTGGTCTACTCACATTCCACCCATTTTTAAGTCACCCGTCCTTCCTGTTCTAAGTTACCCGGGTCAAGATTTCTTACACAGCGCACTGCCGGTGTGGCCATGATTTTTTCCACAGAGCTCAAACTCAGAATAACTCAACATCAGACGACGTGATCAATGACGCAACTCAAGACGTTCGAGCTCCCGGTTGGGACTCAACTTGCCTACCTCGCCGAAGGTGGCGCAAATATTATCTACCGGATTGTGCCGCCAGCCGCCCATCAGACATTACCTGCGGAATACAGAGGGAAGTTGTTGCGACTTCGCAAGGATACACCGGCCGGTGTTTCGTACCAGGAGATTGCCCGGAATTTCGACAAGACGATCCGTCCCCTTTTCAAACCGGAAGAGCTGGTGGACCAGGAACTGGTTTACTTACCCAAAGGCCTTACCCAGCAATGCAATGAGCAGCTGCGCGCTGCGGAGCTTACAGAAAAGCGACCAAAGCAACGTCGTGGCGTTTATCTCTCCATTACAGAGCCATTTGGACTGCTGGTCACAGATATGACCTCCTTTGGGAATCCCGGAACGGACCTAGCCGAGTTGAAGCCGAAATGGCTTCTTCAGTCCCCATCCGCTCCCATGGGCGTACGAAGATGTCGCACCTGCGCTTTGCGGGATATGAAAAACCAAGACGCTCGGCGAGTGGGTGCAGCGGATACGCGATCGTTCTGCCCTCTGGATCTGGTATCTGAGAAGTTTGAGCATGTCTTGCGCGCGGCCAAATTCGTCAAGGGTTACAAAGACCATGCGCGACTTGCTAGAGTTCTGTACAGGAACCCCACGTTGCTGAAGCTTCAAGCACACCAGAGGAACATGAAAGACGTTGGGATCTACGGGCCCTCTCCTCTTTCCAAAGACAAATCATTGGCAATGACGCTTCGGGATTGCACAATGTTTATCAAGGTAGCCATCCCTCATGGAGCTTCTGAACTGGCCCATGTAACCTTCGTCCTACAATGGAGACAACCTGCAATGGCGCCACGGTTCACTGATGGTTTCTAGATGCCTCGAAATGAAAAAGGACGCGTTGAGATCCGGCTGGGCGATCTAGATCTGAAGACCGCAGCTGGAGGCAAAGCTCAATACTGGCTCGATCTAGAGCATCGATTGATTAGCGAGGGCTGGTATATGGGTGCTAAGAGCCACACCCGTACATGCGACTGCGCCCTGCAGAGCCCGCGGGGGCAGCCACCTCCATCCATGTGAGACTGGCTTTTTCTTTACTCTTGCATTCTATATTTGACGTTCGCAGTGAGCAGCGATCTAATAAGGACTACAGCTTATGTGCTGGAGTTGCATTTAGTCTTCATGCTACGAAGGTTACATGATCACGATAGATATGGGTACCATCATTTCGGCGTCTCCTTTGTCTTGTCTTTCGGTGCAGCTCGTTTCGCTTAACGTTGGCTGAGGCGTTCGAGTTTTTACGACCACAGGGTGCGGGTGCTGGTTTGTTATGTGTTCGGATTCGGTGTAGGATACCCCATACTTGGTTTCTTTTGGCCCTGCTATTTTCGGTGTTTCTTTTGGTATACATCATCATTCTCATGCTTGGGAGGTATTTTGTTTGACTTGTTGCATACATACTATTGGTGAGCCGTCTGGGTTACGGGAGTGGCATTCTGGCTGCTGGAGTAGAATTGCACCTTTTTTACAGCAGCAAATGGCCATTGGGTTCTCACAACTATTACGTGTATCATAATAATGGCTTTTTAATCCTGAGTCAGTCGTGACAAAGATGAGATCTCGGTCTTGGCAGGCACTTCGGCTGTACGGATTTATCTCCAGCTTCGCCCTGCTTGCTCCCTTTTCAGCTCTTCCAACTAACAAAGCCATTCAGATCTCACCATGGCAAATCTACGCATTGTCTCTCGGTTGTTCTCTCCCCTACGTCGCTCAACATGCCTACAAGTCATTCGCGCTTCCTCGCCAATCATAAAAACAACTACCCAGCCTTTCTCCTATTCTGCGCGAGCACAGTCCCCTAAATCAGGTACCTTGCTCGAATTGGCCCAAGCCCGGCGCACCATCTACCAGTTGGGCAGCGACAGCCCTGTTCCGGACGCCGAAATTGAGAAGCTTGTCCATGCTGCCATTTCGAACGTCCCCAGTGCGTTCAATACGCAGTCAACACGACTGCTGGTTCTGTTGCACCGCGAGCACGAGCGCCTGTGGGATGTCATTATCGATGTCTTCCAGAACCTTGTGAAAACGGGTGCTATACCCAAAGAAGTCTGGGAGAAACAGACACTGCCGAAGCTGCAGGGATTTCAAGCTGGTGTTGGAACGGTATGTGAATCTCGACGGCCGGAATCGGTTATGGGTCGCAAATGCGTAGACTACAGGGTTGTTAATTGAAACTGTATGGACAGATCCTCTTTTACGAAGATCCAGAGCACATAAAGCCCTTTTCGGAAAAGTTTGCTCTGTACAAGGACCAGTTTGAGCCGTGGGCTGAGCATTCTAATGCCATGCACCAATACTTTCGTGCGTCTTACGCCTGGTCCCCGCCTCCCTATTTCTTCCTCTCTTTATTGTGAGTCGCGAGGCCTTGGCTAACTTTATGCAAGTTTGGACCGGGCTCGAATCTCTTGGTTTTGGCGCAAACCTGCAGCACTATAATCCTCTTATTGACGCGCCGGTTGCTAAGCAATGGGATATCCCATCGGAGTGGAGACTTATTGCGCAACTGGTGTTCGGTAGCCCTAAGGGAGCCCCCGGGGAGAAGAGCCAGAAGCCAATTGAGGATCGCGTCAAGATCTACGGGAAACAGTAAGACAGATCATGAGATGATGTGTCAGTCAAGGACAGGCCTTCTCCGAAATTACCACTGGATGATTTTTGCTAGAACTGCTATAGAAACCGGCTGGGCCAATAGACGTTTCATTGATATCCCAGGCCCATCGCCAACGGTTCCGCCGCAACTCGTATCGCACTTTCCTAGAACACCTCAAAACACCAACCCCCATGCTTGAGCTACCAATTTCGAAGACGGGACGCTCCTTCCAAATGGTATAAGGATGACGGACAATCATCCTCTTCTTCTCCGTCTACTGCGATATCTCCGAACTTATATTGAGGCCGTTTCCTCTGCCGGTCCTGTTCATAACCATATTCTTTAGTCGCATCTTTATACTTATTCAATATCACCATGGTGTTTCCTAATCTGCCAGGCGTGGCATCTCTCTTCACCCTCATTACTGCGACCCTTATCCCTAGCGCTCAATCCTTAGCCACCGCTGCAAAAACGAACGTCACAGACCGGCAAGCGCAATTAGTGCAGATCCCCTATGGCGTGAACATCCACCATTGCTACGTCCCCGGAACTGTAGCCATAACCTTCGACGATGGACCCTACATTTACACAGAGGAGCTGCTCGGGATCCTCGCGCAATACGGCGCAAAAGCGACCTTCTTCGTGAACGGCCACAACCTAGGCGGCAACGAATGGCTCCTCCGGCGCATGGTCAACGAAGGGCATCAACTAGCATCGCACACGTAAATCACCCAACGGCCCCTTTCCCAGCCCCAATAGTTCACCAGAAGCTAACCGGACATGCCACTTTGCAGATGGGGCCATCCAGACCTTACCATCCTCAGCTATGACCAGATCGTTGACCAAATGACCCGGCTTGAGTCTGCGTTCGCGGCGGCCGTCGGAGTGGTTCCTACCTACATGCGACCTCCATACCTCGCGGCCAACGACTATGTTCTTAGCGTCATGGGCGAGCTCGGCTACCATGTTATTGGCGTCAGTGTTGACACGAAGGACTATGAGAACGACCATCCCGATCTGATTGGGCGCAGCGTGGCCAAGTACAACTCTGAGCTTGACCAGGGAGGAACCATTGTCCTGGCGCATGATATTCACGAACAGACGGTACGGACTTTGACGCGCATCATGTTGGAGGAAGTCTACGAACGAGGGTTGCATCGTAAGCCTCACTTTCCCTTCCGTTTGTGCCTATGTCGGGCTCAAGGAACGTTACACTGACAGCGAACAGCAACAACTGTCGGAGAGTGCCTTGGTGAGGATGGATGGTATCGCTAGCCAGGGTGAACCTTTGTACCTATCGCATATCTTTATTTCACCTAATACCAATTAATCGATAACTTTAAAGTTGAAACCAGCCTGTGCCTACAGAGTAGTTGTACGCCTTGTAACACAGGATATGGATATGGATATTGTTGACGCTGGGCCTACATAGCTCCATGCATTGCAGTTGACGGTAGGTCAAATGTAACAATACGTGCTCCGACATTCCGAAAACGGCTTTTCATGATATCGTATGATTCTATCAAACTTGCATTTTGGACTATCCACATCATATATTATTAAGTTTAATCCTCATCCCAGTTAGCGTTGGGACCAGGGGGTTTCGGCCCACCAGCCTGTCGAGCAACGATGATCTGGTCGACGCTCAGAACAGTCCGAGCTGACTCACTAGCCAGACGAATCGCCCAGCTCTTAGAAGCGAGCAGGTCAAGGATCCCCTCCTCCACGGTGTCCAGCGTACCAGCCGGGGAGGAACCCTCAATATCAACACCAGTGGTCCAGTAGGGCTCCGTCTCGTCACCGCCAGAGCTACCTTCCTCTTCACCCTCCTTCCCATCGTCCCCAGCAGATTCTGCGCTATCGTTGGAGCGGTGGTGAGCAGTGTAGAGACGGGAAAGGACCTCGGTGGCGTCGAGACCGCCAGACTCGGCGAGCGTGCGAGGAATGACCTCGAACGCCTCGGCGTACTTGCGGATGGCGTGCTGGGGCAGGCCAGGCGTCCTGTCTGCAAAGGCGGAGATGCGCTCGACGAGCTGAATCTCCGTGGCGCCGGCGCCGGGGACGAGACGCGGGTCCTTGGTGATGGCCTTGACGGCGTTGACGCCGTCGTCGATGGCGCGCTCAACGTCATCGAGGTGGTTCTGGGTCGCGCCGCGGAGGACGATGGTTGCGGTGCGGGTGACGGCGGTGGCATCCTCCTGGCGGAAGACGGTAACGCGGTCGCCGCCGATCTCGGTGGTTTCGACGACGTCGATAGAGCCCATCTCATCGGGCATGGGGGCGCCGAGGCGGGCGAGGGGAGTGGCGCCAACGACGCGGCAGAGGCGGCGGAGCTCGAACTTGGAGAGAATCTTGATCACGAGGATGTTGAAGCGGTTGAGGTAGTGGAGGGCAAGGTCGCCGACTTGGGCGCCGGCAACGACGACGCGGAGGCCGGAGTCGTAGAGCTCCTTGATGGCGGCTTCAAGACGCTCCTCCTCGCCCTTGGTGAAGTCGAGCATTTCCTGCGCGTTCTTGAGCAGCACTGTACCCTTGGTCTCGGTCTGGGAGATGTCGATCGGGCAGCTGAAGACTCCGACCTTGGCCTTGGTGGCCTTCTTGATGGAACCCTCGGGTTCACGGCCAAACACCATACCCTTGATCACGCGGGATTGTTCCAGGCTTCCACCCATGATTTTCACGACGCGGACATTATCGACGTTGAAGTTGACGGGGTTCTTGGGCAGGACGGCCAGGACGGCCTCGGCGACGAGGGAAGCGAGGAGCTGCTCGGTACCGGATTGCTTACTGGCGACAACTGTGCGGAGGGCCTTGGTGAGTTCGGTTTGGGAACGTAATTCCTGCAGGCGGTCGACTTCGAGATCTGTTGCATCCACCGGTTAACCATGATCTGCCGGGGAACTCAGGGCCATAGGAACCCACCTTCTAACACCTTCAGCGCAAAGTTCTGTGCCTTCTCGTAACCCTGAACAATATCGCTCGTCTTCAGACCCAACCGCAGCAATTCTTCAGCCTTCTTCAGCAGTTCACCCGCCAGAACAATGACGAGGTTGGTTCCATCACCCATCTCCGCATCCTGCTGTTGACTGGCCATCACCAGCAACTTAGCTGCGGGGTGAACAACTTCGAGCTCACGGAGGATCGTGGCGGCGTCCGATGTGAGGATCATCTTTTGCAAATGGTTGATGACAATCTTGTTGCGACCATACGGACCAAGCGATGTTTGAACAGTCTGGGAAATGGCCTGGCAGGCCTCAATATTGCGGATGACGGCACCATCTTCAGCATCGTGGCTAGGCAATTGATTCCTGTTAGCTGGAGGTTTTCTTTGCGCCTGGCTGGGCAGGATGCCCTCTTCATTGTCTCCGTGGAGAACTCGCGGGGGCGCCCTGAGTGGGAATCGCTTACCTCTGGTAGCCAGGCTTGAAGAGGCCGGCCTGGGAAGGCCCGGGTAGAGAGAGGGACATAATTGCTGTGAATCCTGCTCTCGAATTAGACGGTCACTAATTGAAAGAAACAGACACGGGGTGTAGAATACCGCTGACACTGGTGTGAGCTGCTGCTTGGGGATTTTTTGGCGGAGCTTCGAGACGGTCTGCCGGCGACTGTTTGTTTGGTTTGCAGCACGAGGGGCTCTTGGCATGTCCTGTCGGATTAACCAACTTTATACTAGAATAGGAGGTAAGAGATAGGAGATATATCATTATTTCTCGTAGACTAATTTACATCGGCAGAGCCTTTCGTTACCCTACCTATATCCGTATTACCAAAAATCATTGCTTGCTTGTCGGAACCCGGGCACTGAATGAATGTTAGCGGCGTAGAACATCAATTGTATTGAAGAGCAAGAAAGCCTACTCCAAGTTCCGGTGCCCATGCAACCGCTGTTCTCATACTCCATCTGAGCTTTATCGAGCCTAAAGGTGAGTTAGCAACCTGCAGCCTTGATGTTTGGGTACAAGTCATACCACCCGCGGATAGCCTCCATGCGGTTATCATTCTTTTTCAAAGTCAGCGCAAGTTTGAGGGACTCTATCTTAGAAAGTGACTTACAGACGGATGGGTTGACATAAACTGAGGAGGTGCCATCTGTTCTGCCTTTTGCATGCGTGCCCAACTATAATCATCAGCAAGATTCATGTACTTCAGGGGATAAGATGAGTGAAGGGATTGGCCGCATACAAATCAACAGCGGCTTCAGGGTTGAAACAAGCTTTCGACATCATCACTGAGGGAACGTTAGCCACACATTTTAGGGATTGGACGGAAACATCATACTCAGGCCGATGTTATCCGCCTCCGCCTACTTGACGTTAGTGCTCGATCTCGACTTCGTCGTATTGGCATAAGCTTACCTCTTGCGTCCTAGAGTTCGGCAAACTGTACATAAGCTTCAGCAACAGAGACGGGATATTCCCAGAGACGTCAAATAGGACGGCAGCGAGGAAGACAATGCCCATGGTCACGAAGTGACTGCTCATTCTTTCTCCGGTATGATGAGCCACAACGTGGGCAATCTCATGGCCTAGAACAGCTGCTAGACCGTCCTCATCCTTGCAAATGGGTAAAATCCCGGTGAATACAAAAACTTTGCCACTACAGAGGATTAGCAATGATCATAGTGAGGCAGGCCGCAAAGAAGCATAGGCTTACCCTGGAAGAACAAAGGCGTTCACCATGTTGTCGTCCTGGATAACATGGACCTCCCAGTCGGCGCCCTCAATCGGCGCCAATGGGACCAGTCGATGGAGAACGCGATTTACCATGACAGTAAGTGGGTGGGATTCGGGAAGCATGCGGCCTCTCCAGTCCCGAAGGACTTCCTGGTAGCTCTGCTCGCCCATTTTCAGCTCTTGTTTATGAGAGACGCAATTGAACCGCCGGCGACCAGTCATCTAGAAAATGCTTCTTAGCATGGAGCCACAGTGTGGTTGAAAGTGCCCAAAATCCAAAATGAGCGCGCGACAAAAGATGAAAGTGGCCCAAAGACACAAATGCTAACCTCAACAGTATCCGTATTGTATATATAGAAACCTGAGATAACACCTCCGATAATCACAAAGTGGATAGGCTTCGCGTTCTGCAATAGTTGCATAAATACTGGGTGTCTTCCACGTCCATCGAAACGCCTGTATTTATTGCCCCCGTTGCTGAAGTGTCGGTAGCTTGAACTTGAGAAAAACCGTGGAGAGTCATAGCGGAATGTCCGAGGCAAAGAGCGCGCGGTATATGTGAAGAACTTCGAGGACTGCGCTCTTGTACATGACGCCGAAAAGAATCGTGAGGAGTATTGCGAGGGAGGTATGGAGACTCGGGCCCGAGGGATCGTCGGGGTGAGAGGGTGCGCGGCGGCGCGCAGCGTGGGAGCTATCGGGAGTCGAAACATCGCTGCCGGATTTGCAATATTATGTGGGCGCGGAGAGAAAGGTATAAGCTAGCCTGATAGCCGCGTTGATAATTTGACGATGCGATCGGCGAAGAGAGCCGTCGGAGGTCGGAGTTGGTGAGATTCAGGAACCAAGGATGACGTTTTAAGGTTGCATGTGAGAAAGGACTGTCCCCGCATTGGCCGATAAGGAATCCATAGGACCCCTTTTATAGCTGGTCTCTCCCCTCTATTTACTTTCCCATTTACTGACTTGAACTTCTGCGATCATTCTCAAAAAGATGCCAGATATCACAGACCCAATCTTTGCATCTCGTCTTGCCATCCTCCAGGACCTGTTCGCCAACAACATATCCGCCCCAACAGCTGCTAAACAGTTAGCTTCAACCACACTCTCCGAGGATGCATCGCTCGAAGAACGTCTCAGTCGCCTCTGGGACTTGATTCTTTCTTCAGCATGTAAATATCCCGAGCACCAAGATAAGCTCGTTGGCGTCGTTGTGGATCTCTCCCAGCTTCCCAGCCCCGCCCCCGCAGAGGCAGGAGCTGAAGGACCAGGACCTTTGACAATCTATGACATGCAAGTCTGGAAGGACCTTCCAATGCTCGGCTGGCGCTTCCGGGACTCTTGGAACATTTCCGTGCGTCCCAATAGCAGCTCCGAAGACCGACAAAAGACAATCTCGGACATCATCAATACAAACAAATTCGTTGCCCTTCTTATGGCAACCGATGATCCTATCTTTGCGTCCTACTCTTGGTTTGCCTTGATTACGCTCCGAAGCACCCTCGAGACACCGACGGAGCAAATACGTCCCGCAGAGTCCTTGGAGGCACTGATTCCTGCTGCAGCGGCGTGGATTGAGACCTTGGGCGTGGAGATCTACAAATGGGAGGAAGAATTCGAGTCTGGGCCTAAGGTCGGCGCGAGGGGGAAGGGTGGTCCGTTGTGGGATGGGAAACATGGCTTCTGCAAGGAGAGATGGGAGCTCTGGCGGAAGAGGTTTGGCGAGGTGGCTAGGATGGAGGGGGAGCTTCCGGAGGGTGTGAAGAAAGTAGCACAGGATGCGGAAACAATGATGAAAGAGATTGAGGCCGGAGATGTTGAGTGATAAGCACATCGTACAACGGAGAATATGCAGAAATTCTTAGACTAATATGGATAGACACGGCCGTATACAGGGCTAACCCGAGCTTCATCAACACCGAGAACTGTCCACGGCAGTATATAATCCTCCAATTTTTGATTGACCAACTTCCGGAGGTGTCGCTCCCCTCTATTGGGAAGCTAATGCCTTCATCATTGCCAGGCAATATCTGGTCGGATATCTGTTGCGCCAGTTCCTCGCTATAGGAAGAGCGTTTTAGAACAGGAAGAAGTGTCCGCCAAGAGAGTAGGCAGATGATAGATAACCTCTTCGCTAGCCTCTACCATGCTAGTATGTTCGCTGCTTTGGGCCGCATCATCAGAGTCAGCTTTCTGAACCAGTAACCGCAGTCCGGTGTCAGGCTTATGGTGGGTCTGCTTGTTGCGGTTGGTGACAATGATATATAATCCAGATTGTCAGAGCCGCAACTACTGTATTGGTTTCTGCGCTTGATGCAGCTGGTTCTGAAGAGTATTCCAATGGGTGGTATCAAGAAATAAGCAGAAGTCAAAGTGCGCCTGGCATCTGCCATTCAAGGCTATGTCTCGGACAACCGTACTCATTTTTTACTTATGGCGCCGCAAATATGAGATGCCGTCAATAGAGAACAAGCTCAGGTTAATTCAGGCCAGTTCACGAACGCCGTCCATCCATTCGAATGGGTCCTATCATTGGAGACATCGAAGTCCAAGTTGGGACCTCCTGACATGAAGGTCTCCAAGAGGTCAGGTATAAAATTCGCACTAACTATGGCATTGTCAGGTTAGTGAGCAGCACTGTATCTGATAAAGACTTACTATCGTTTGAGTTTGTATTAACCACCGTCAAATTTCCTTCGCTGAAATCGTTTTGCGTGACCATATCCCCAAGCGAATGGTAAGCCTGTTGCATCTTGTCTGCAACACTCCCAGAACGCATGCTGTCCTCACTCCAGCCCCCACCGGCGCAACTAAGCACAAGGCTCACTGCCTCGGCAGCCTTCTTCGCCTCATTCGATATCGAGCTTCTGCGCATCCAAATAGTCCTTGCCCTGTGCAGCGCAGCTCGAATCTCATTTTCTCGCTCTATATTCTCTCGGCGGTAGAGAAGCGAGCAGAGAAGCATGGTGGCTGTCAGGAATTGATGATTCATAATTGAGGTGACTCGCCAGCGCATCGCATGGAGCTGGCCTCCAGGGCGGGTTTCCTCATCAAGTATATGTTGTATTTCTAGTGAGGCCAAGGAAGCATCTAAGCATGTTCTTCGTGAGTATTCATAGCTGGTATCGCCTTGAGGGTACGTCTGCGCGGAGAGGAATCGTCGGTGTAGCATAACTTGTCCCTTGAGGAACATGTGGTGGATGAATAAACGCGCAACGATCAATTGCGGGGAATCGGTCAGGCTGGATGCCAGGGGCTTCATACGCAAGGCAGATGGAATGCTCTTGGCTGCTTCATGCAATATACGATCAACGCGCAGTACCTCACGATACGGGCAGGGCTCAACGGTGCTTGTGAGATCGGCAACCATGCCCAGTGCTTTCAGCATCCGTGTTCGCGCGATTATTGGAAGCGCAGTCGTAAGCTCGGACTCTGGTCGAGATGAGGGAAGCTCTGTAGTATCTTTGTCGAAATCCTCGTTCTTCAGATTGCGCGGCTCTGAGGTATCGTACTGACAGTCGGAGATCATGCGCGGCATGCCCATCTGGTTCGAGATGAGAACGTCACCAAGCAGTACAGTAGCCCAGAGCCGCCGCCGCATCTCCCCCTGGAATGGCGAGATACCGGGAAAGTGGCTCGGGTCGCGGTGATAACCCATGCGTCTAGCGAGGTTGACTTCGATAGCTAGCAGGAACCACATGTCCTTCTCAGCGTCAGGATTGGTGCCGAATTCAACATAGATATAGTTGATCATGGTCTCCAAAACGTACGGTCCGGACTTGGTGTATTGTCCCATGACAAGACATTGTACAGTCTTTTCGCGGTATAAGTCAACTTGAAGGGATCGCTGCTCCACATCTATCTCCTCAGCTGTATCAGATGACAGACAGGACAGGCATATCATACTGAATAGAAGGCCAACCCATATTATCGGCATGCTGGAATTGTCAGTCCAGAATGCATCATACTGCGCTCGTCAGCAAGTGTGTTGGTGGTCTCAAGAGCGGAGTGTAAGCTCGCCTCACGTAGAAAACTCGGCCCATGAACAGTGGCTAAATCACAGACTGAAAGTGAGCATCCATGTGTGGGCGTACGAATGCAGGGCTATCTTACCTGACGAGACAAGATCTAAGTAGTTGAAGTAATGTGATATATAGCGATCGACTGCGTATCTGGGAGGTAGCGCTGAAAGTATCTCATCGCGCGAAGTCGGACGGGTCCCATATAGCAGGAATGCACCTTTGGGTCGCATACTTGCAGCAACTGTAGGGACACCATTCCCTTTCTCGCCTACATCAGGTTCCTCGGCAAGCTGCAACTGCTCCTCGCGGTCAAGGTGGTCTTTCAGGTCAGCAATACTGTCGAGTATCGCCACCCAGTGATCGCCTCCAACATACTGCAGCCCCGAGCTACTAATCCTCATGCTCCCGCATTCGGAGCTAGCATCAGTTGGTATCCCATCACTGACTGAGGTTACAGCGCCTAGTATCGAACAGTCACTATCTTTCAAAGTGAGGGCACCGTTTGATTTGGCAGCTGTATCATGCATGAGAGACGTGACCAGGCGCTCTAGATGTACGAGACGATCATGCGCACTGGGTGCGGGAGGCAACGGCCATTGTGAGCCTATAGCTACCGAGCTATCGGGGTAGGTACAGACCTGATCGCGCGCAGAACAGCATGAGCAAGGTCGTTGTCGGTCACACCGCGACCTAGTTGCACCGGTACCTTAGCACTGAGTCCTCCAAAAGCTATATAGATTACTTACTTTCGTCGGCGGCACTGGTTGCAGGAAAGCTGAGGCTTATCCCGGCGCCGACTGTTCGAACTCTTGGAAACTGGTTTTGCGGAGGCACGCGTACTGCTAGACGAGAGGAGAGGAGACTCGGATTGGCCTTTTGACGAGGCCGATACGGACGTGATGTGCGACATCATATGGTCAGCAAAGCTCATCCTCCCAGAGCCCAACACAATCAAATTGGGTTATTATCCGAGACCAGTACAATCTGCCAACAAGAGCCGTGTGACGCGCTCGTAGGAGTGAGAATATATTGCCCGTCGACCATAAGAAAACGGCAGTTGGTCTGGAATTGATGCTACAGCTTAGGTAGGCTTCAGCACTTATTCTCGCAGCTTGATCTTCTAATCTCCCGACTTCCCGACCATCCGTCCTAATCTCCGATCCTCCGCCGAAACGACTGCACTAATGTAGTCCAAGCAACCATCTTTCCCTACCTAGGTAGCTTGTATGGTCAATCGCACTGGACTGGAGCATGGACCGATGTGACTTCTATGTCAAATAGTTCGAGTTGGTCATATACATATGTAGATATTGCACGGTTGCTAATAGTGGTCCGAAATATATATTTTTGCGACGAGAAATTATTGGCGCACGCTGGAACATACCAGGTCCTCTGAGCCCAATACCATAATGGGTAAGAGAAGCTCTATCAGGATTACCATAACACGTTAAGAGTATATTCATGAGGCTCCCATAACCGTTGGATCTTAATTAAGAACTGCAAAGACGGCGGCTAATGATTGGCAATCAGGCGCCAAACATTTATAGAAGCAGATGTCTTACGTGGGAGTCGATCATCTCGGCGAGTGGAAGCCGGGCGGCAAGGCAAATGTTATGTTGGTCCAAGGCTTCCGAGCATTGCGAGGCTAAAGTTAAAATAAGACCAGTGTTGCGATTCCAATGGTTCTAGAAAAGGATCATCGAGGCACAGTGTGCACTGCGTGAATCATGCATGGGTCTTGAGGTTGGGGACGTTGTTCCTGCATCGAGCCTTCAATGCCAGTCTTTTGTTCAGCGCTTACCTCGTGTTTGAATGGATTGGACATGAGAAGGCTGTTTTGAAGCATGATTTGTGCACGTTTAGAATCTAGGGAAATATTGCCCATTGCCTGTGGCTATGCCATAATCCTTTGACTCGGATACAGGCTCGTGACATTGAGAGATTTATGTTTTTAGTTGCAGCCCTGTTACCCCGCACCATCTGTTGGGAACAGAGTTACTCCTCTACGGCAGGCACTCTGTAATCCTTGGTAGCATTGACTGCCAACTGTCAAAGGCAAACATTCTGGCGGCGGGGTTTGGTTCGAGTTGTCTGACGTTGTACAACTTGGGTGGCACAAAGAGCTTATGCCTGAGACTTACTGAGTCAGGTCCCAGCCTTAGGGCTAACGGCCATAGATAAGAGCTCGCACTGGGTGCCTCGAGATGGCAGCCCGGATCGCCTTGGTACTTGGGCTATTTCGAAAGCTCCTTACTCATAATTCATAATAGATATTGTTGGCCATAATTATCAAGGATTTCAAGGCAAGTTTGATTGCATGCGCGCCCAGAGAGACCGACAATGTGACAGTGTGACATGGAATCGAGGGTGCAGGCTGAATATTCAGTCACCCGAGTGTGGAGTTAATCGGTGCTAATTAGGCTAGCAATGCACCCAGAATGCGAGTTAATAATAGCAGCTTCTGTACGTCGACAATGGCCAAAACATCTCACCTCGGCGGTAAATGCTGCTAATTGCGACTGCCAATCTGGGCCATGCCCAATGACGGTGGCGGGAGGGAATCTTGGCTCAGGGCGCTAAACTAGCGCTCCTCCAGCTGCACTTCATCACACTCATTCCCGCTGTTATTCGACCACATCCCCGCAAAGCTTCTGCAACCTCGACAACAACTTCACACCTCATCCACCATCCATTGGCTCCTCGCCTGCGATCCTAGCACACTCGAGATGTGCAACGACTCGACAAATCCTGCTCCCGGCGTGATCCCTGGCCGGTCGTACGTTCCTTCTCCTCACCCATCTGGCCCCATCAGCCGTGCACGAGGGTATCACATTATCCGCTTCTGGTCGAATTTGATCATTGCTTCTCCCGCCAAATGAGACTAATCTCGTCCTAGCCGCCTGGACCCTGTCATTGGCTCCTGCGTTATCGAGACTGGAGACAGGAAAGTTGTCACGATGTCCGTGAGCTGAACTTTCCCGTGTTATCTCGTCGAGGCGAGGACACCGACCTGCTCTATGGCTTAGAGCCGTTCCTCCCCGGCCTGTAGGTACGTTAAACGTTCATGTCCGGGGATTTGCTGACGCCCGGGAGACGACCCTTGCGGAGGCACCGCGGGGACACCTTGGAGCTACTTTGATGCCCGAAAAAGCAAGCAATCACTGTTGGTCTAGCAAAGTCGAAGGATCCGCCGTAGCACAGGTCGCCGGATAGCTCGGGCTCACGATATTTGCGATACATCCACGACCAATCAACCCCCCAGCCGCCATCTTAACCTGGAGATGACGCCCAATCAGCCGGCATCAAGACCCTAGAGTGCATAGGCGCCCATGGCCAAAATCATCCAAAATTAGCCTACAATGTTGGAACTAACAAACTAAGCTAAACTCACCGGTTCTCTAGTGTGCATGCATGTCCCCCTGCTCAACACTAACTTGGAGCCAGCGGTCGATCTCCAATCCTTTCCCACCACCCATTTTTCCCTTCGGCTATCTGGGATTCCAAAATAGAAACACCATGCATTCGCCCTCGAGCTTTAAAGCTTCCTCGATCCCGCGATCGTACCTCTTTTGCTTCCCAGCGTCGTCCCCAGTCGCCTCGTCTTTCGGCAACCGCGCCTTACGCTCTCTTATTCTACTTAATAGATAGCCAAGGCTGCTGGTCCAGCTTTGCACCCTAATATTACTGTCTACTATTGTCTTCAGTAACCTCGCCGTCGACCACGATCCGTCACGCTTTTCTTACGCCCGAGCTTGTTGCGCAGTTACAGTTTGAAGATCAGCGGTAACCAAGCAAGATGCCAGCAGCACCAAGAAAGAAGGCCAGCGCCGCTGCAAAGCGAGCCACCGAGTCTCAAGCGTCCTCGGGAAGTGAGGGTACCCCAAAACCAGAGGGAGCTACTAAGTCTCACAAGCGGTCACGCTCTGGTAAGACAATCATTGCCCAGCATATCCAGGAGGTGCATCTAACAGGTTGGCTCCCCAACAGGCTGCTTCACATGTCGTCTTCGGCGGAAGAAGTGCGATGAGAAACACCCCTCCTGCGGAGCCTGCAGCAACCTCTGCGTAAAATGCGAATATAAACGCCCGATCTGGTGGGGTAATGCGGAGCAAAGAAAGATGCACAAGGAAAGGATCAAGAACAAGATCAAGCAAACAAAGATGAACGAGCGCAATGGCTCATTAGCCATAGGTAGGACGACTCCTACCATACTCCCCTTTCCATCTAACCGGCCCATGACAGATCCTGCTGCTCACGCACGGAGTTTGGCAGCCAACTCACCAACGTCCCCGGAATTCGAATATGGTCGCCCATTCCCGGAGCCATCCTACGACATGTTCGCCTCCCAGTTTCCAACACCCGCCATGAGCCAAACCATCTACGCACAGCAGTATCCTTATGAGGTAGACGTCAAGACGGAACGCCAGACATTTGTCAATGATGTTCAACTGCGCCATGATTCAATATCTTCGACCTTCAGTAGCTTCGCGCCGCCTCAACTGAATGCGCCTCTTCCTACTTTCCCGGGCGATGAATGGTTCCATGACGAGTACTTCCGGGCTCCAGCTCTCCCAGGAATTGACCCTGCACTCTGCGATCAAACGGCATTCCCAGAAACATATGATATGCTGCAGAACATACCCGTCAGCGACCACGACCGACCGCTTCTCGAGCACTTTATCCACAACGTCTTGAGAGTGAGCTTTCCGGTTCTCGAGGCCCATCAACGAGGGCACCTGCGCGCACAGGCCGTCCTTCAAACTCTTGAGACCAACAAGTGCTACCTTCACTGCTGCCTCAGTGTCGCCGCAATCCACTTGAAGACAACCGAAGGAATCACGGGGGAACAGATCGACCATGATATCATGCGCAATCGATTTGAGGCCATTTCTCAATTATGTCAAGCTTTAGGAGATGACACAGAACATCAGGAAATTCTCGATGCTACCCTCGCCATGATCTTCTTCCACTCCTCAGTGGGACCCGCCGACGACTATCTTCCGGACATCCCATGGTTAGACCATTTTCAGGCAGCTGCAAACCTAGTGCAACGACTCGGTCTCACTGCAGATGCGCCGAACCCGTACGTTTTGCCACCATTCAGCATGACCTTGACGGCTTGGATTGATATTCTCGGCTCCACGATGTATCGAAGGACGCCGGAATTCGCCCACACTTACCGATCAAAACACCTGGGTGGCGTGTCTCTGGGCCTGCGGGAGCTCATGGGGTGCGAGGACCGCGTTATGTACCTCATCTCAGAAATTGCTTGCCTGGATGCTCTGAAGGCTGATGGGAGGGTTGATGAGATGCAAGTTTGCTCTCACGTTTCGGCTCTTGGGCAACAGCTAGAATTTACTGAACCCGCCGACCCAATCATGGAGAGCCCATTCTCGGCAACAACAGGATTACTCCGCCCCGAGATTCTAACCAAGAATATGACTGCCGTCTTCCGCATTGCTGCCCGAATTTACCTTTGCAGCCTTGTCCCCGGATTCGAAGCGAACCAGCCCAGCAACATCAACTTGGTTCAGGCCCTCGCGAACACTCTCCAATACATCCCTTCGGGCCAAGACGGATTCGATCGCTCGCTCGTATGGCCACTGTTTATTGCAGGTGTATACTCCACGCCAGGCTGCCAATTCCGCACCGTCCTGATGGAACGAGCTGCAGCACTCGCAGAACACGCTGACCTCGGGAGCTTCGGTCGTATGTACCGAGTTTTGCAGGAAGTATGGCGCGTTACCGACGAATTCGCCGGACAATGCAGCAGCCTAGAAGACAATTCCTCATCATCCTCACAAACCGCCAGCCCTGTCAAGGACGAGCCCCCCAGTTCCCCCAAGGAGAGCGAGATCAGCTGGACGACGAAAGAAGCCAAAAAGCCCCACTGGCGGGACATCATGCAGCAAAATGGCTGGAACTACCTTCTTCTTTGATTCTGAACGTATCACGAATACGTTTGCTTCGCTTCTCAATGAGATTGTATCTCATCGCGTCGGGAGGTCCCTCGATGGGACCTCGTACAAGCTGGCTTGTACCTGCGCTCATTTGGGGGAAATATTTTTTCGCATTCGAGCTTGTTTCGAATAATCTATCATTCGTTATATACCCATTGCGTTTTGAAATTCGTTGATATTTCACTGCAGGTCAGGGAAACTGCCTCGAAACCTTGCCCTTATGCCGAGGCGACTCCTCCCTTGGGGATTAACTACTGGGACACGTTCAATCTTCTATCCACCAATGGCTGGATAATGAGGGAAACTTACGCGGCGTTATCGGTGCTTTTTCTTTTTCTTTCCTACGGGGTTACGGATTCATGTTTTCATGACCCCTACTGCCGCGACTGGACTACGACCTGGTCAGCTGGATTTTTTTTTTCTTGGAATGGATTTTCTTCTGGGGCTGGTGTTATCTGGATTGGCTGGTTTACTATCTATCGATCCTCCACACTCGCTAGATGGCGTTTTATAGTCTCATGTCTGTATCTAGTGTATCAGTGCTATCTCGTCGGCGAATGGAGTGTTCTGGCTAGAGTCAATGAGCCTTTAGTGTCTGTCCACCCAAGACTCAGCCCATTAGTTCCAGTCAATACACGCCTTCTACTCCGCACCTCAGACTCAAAGGCAATCCATCAATGACTCTGACTCGCGCAAGCGCATTGACGCGCCTCAGCCTCCGCCGCTCCTGCACACCTGCCCAACGGCTCCGACAATGGGCACGTAGTCTGATTCGCATTCACTGTATGGTTGGCTGTCGGCGTGTCGCTACTCGTCTGGCATGGGCCGTCGAGTCTCATGTTCAGCCGCGTCCGTAGTACATACAGTAGCTAGAGCACTATGCATTGCCAACCGCCAACCATGACCATGTCCATGTCCATGAGCCTCTAGCGCCTACGGGCACCGCACGGCAGCGGACTGCTCTGCTCTAGTCTACGTCTTTCCTTCAACGCCGTTGCCCCTCCTTTCGTTTTCTTCCGGCCACATCTATAGTAGCTATCTGTCTGTCACGAAATACGGCGTTCGTTCAGTACTGTACTGGTGGGCTAACTACTGGACTCGATCAAGGGAGCTCCCTCGTTGATAGATCGTGTGATGTGAACGAACACCCGCAGGGAACGTAGCATCGCTTACTTGGTATACATACTACTCGACTTTCTGCCAGCTGGGGCCATACCTGCCCAGCCCAACCCATTCCTCGGATGTGCTTCGTTTGGAAAGGAAACCAGTCTGAGTGGATGTACCTAGACTCGCACCTCGGTTGTCAAATGTGCAGGTACTGGATCGCACCTGCCTAAGCGGATACTGACTTTCATGGAGTCGGGAAAGGTACGATCAGGAGCTCCTTCCGTTTGAGGATACCACACAAATAAGGAAGGAGCGAGCTGATGACGACTGGTAAGTAGATAAGAAAGCTTGAGGCACATTTGGTACAACGAGCGCTTTTCGTTAGTTGCGATAGCAGCAAGGCCCGCAAGGTACAGCCAAACTGCGAGAGCGTAATGCGAGCACGCACTTAGTGCATTGAGATTGAACTCGAGGTTTCCGTAGATTTGTGTTTCCTGCGTAGACTTGAGTTTTGAAATGCGCGTTCCTCGCCGCATCTTCTCGGGTAATACAGGGATACTGTCTACCCACTCGAAGAGAACTAAGCCAGCGAAGGGGGGCGGGCTACGACGACCTATGCAGCCACGTATTCTCGTTCGCATGCCGCATAAAGGCGCCATGACCCATATGTAAGGAGTAGTGTTGAGCTCAGAACAAGATATGGATGCAGCCTCCGGGTCATTGCTACCTCGTTCGGTGCGGACTGGGAGGTGGCGTGAACAGATCTCAAGAGCTCCTAATCTTTGGTTGGTGATCGGACCGCGCAAGAGACCTGGGCATCGCGGGTGGTGTTGGTTCCAGCAATACTGCGGTATATTGGACAATTGAACCAACAAACTAAACCTCTCCGCTCGAGTATAATACCGGATTCAAAGGGAAGCCTAGCGGACTAGCAAGTTCGTGCGTTGGCCAAGACCACTGTTGCAGGCAATAGCTAAAGTAGCTTGTTAGCAGACAGTAGTTCCCCAGGAATAGAGATGACAGAAAATATTCTCCACTAGAAGCTGGACCTCAGTATCCGAGTTGAGACTGATTGTTCAAAGGTGAGCTTTGGGTCGCACCCTATAAGCCATGCCAACAAAGGATTCGATGTCGTCCGTGCTTGTTGGGCTAGAGTGCAGTCTGAGTGGTCTCAAATGCTGAACCAAGGATGAGCTGAATTGGGCGACGGGGCTCGTGAGCGTTTAATATACAACCATGTGTCGGCTCAGTGCAGAACATAGATTGAGACAGGCGCGAAAACGAGGCCGCATAACAAACCAACGGTGATGGTGCACGAATGAGCGAGCCAAACATGCGTGAATAAGGTAGTACTATGTAAGAGGCTGGAGTAGCTGAGAAGCAGGCTGTCTGGGACAGCAGGTAAAGCAACGGTATGATAGGTGAGAAACAGAGAGCTAGCGTTGCAGAAATGCATTGCTCTGCAAGAAGGGTTGTTGCATGGCAACTATACGAGCGACTCCTTGTTTCAGCAATTGTCCGGAATACTCATTCGTGGGCAGTTGTTTGATGGCGAGTTGTAAGCGCTGAGGATGATCATAGCCGCCCGACCAATTTACAGGATTGGGGGCGCCATCCTTTAAGGGGCGAACCAAGGAGCATGAATCCGCCTTGACCAGCGCCAACCGCCGGGCTAGAAAACGCATGGAAATGGAGGAGCCAACAGCATTGTCAAGTCTCAGGAGGCTAGCCCGCCGATCTAGTGCCAAAGGAGGATTTTGGAGAGGTCGGCTTTCGGTATCAGGGTTGGGCCTTTAAGCTCGTGAAGGAAGCCATGCGCGGCAACAGCCCGCGTACCATGAGGGTCAGAGAATGCCTGGATCCTGAGTGGCTCATGAAGCGGAAGGAACAGCTGTCTCCCTTGTGTGATGGTGGAGGCGAAAGCAAGAAAAGGGGAATTGGCCTATGATTGAGTGTTTGGCCCCAAAGCGCGCGACAAGCGGAGGATCTAGCTTAAGCTTGTTGGATTTGAATTGTCGGGATTCTTGGATGATAGACAAGCGGTATCAGACCCCTGGGAGGAGTTAGAGATATAAGATTATTCGAGCCCCTCGTTGGTACCCTGTTCTCCAGGAGTGATTCAGTTTCTCTTCGCCTCATCACCGTCATCTGTTGATGAGCTTGAGCTTGGTTGTGATTGGTGACGCGGCAAGACACCTACACACCGGTCTGACCCCTCAATTGGCACCACCTCAGCAGGCTTCCAGACGAGAAATTCAGCCTCTTGCATCCGGTGAGTTCAGTCCAAGTCATGACGAGCAATGAGCGGGGAGAGCGTCGGCGTGGAGAGAGTGCACTGTGCAGAGACTCGACTGCAGCCGCGCACTCTCGAGCTAAGGGTGATGGCGCTAGCCTTGTTGAGTCTAGGGCGTGACACTGACAGAAGCTGTTACACAGGATCGGTCATTGTACTGTATTAAACGGCGTGACGGTATCAATACCAGCAGTGAAGTCACCACCATCTCCAGATAAATAAATCAATCGGCCTCCTCCTCCTTTGCGCCCTCCCTCCCCTCTCTTTCCTCTGATCAGTGAGGCTCAACAGAGAGACCGTCTACTCGAACTTGTTCTTGCATCTCTGCGTCCTCTTTCTCAACCTGTCCATCCCCTTCTGACCCTTCGCTCTCGTTGTGTGGTCTATATCTCTATACTCTCGTTCGCATACTTCCACGCCCACGATATACGTCAACTCAACTCGGTGCATTGTCAGCCTAAAGTACTCCTGGACAGCCCACCTTCGTTACATCATCTCTCTTCTATTCGATCAACATTCAAGATGCCTTCCATCAAACCCGTCCTCCCTCCCCTTAAAACACCCAGCAACATCACCTTCCCCTCCGAACTTCATACAGACTCGAGCGCTGGCTCAGGAAAGAACGAGGACAGCTCGTCAACTCCTATCACCCCTCCTGCCGCGTACACCGAGTTCTTGAAAGCCTTCACGCCTATCTTCTCTAGCCCGACGAGCGCTGAAGGAATCGACTTTACCAAGTTCAAGTTCGACCGTCACAACGTTCACTCTGCACGATCACAGCCCTCAAGCGCAGTCAGTGGCAGCTTCAACTTCAATGAGTCAGCGCGATCAGCTACGGCATCACTGCCTCCTCTGAACCCTCTTGCCCCACCTTGTCCTCGGCGAGAGTTGAGCAACCTGCGCCGGCTGCGCATCCCGCCGGCGCTTAGGTACTCACCAACTTCGGCGGAGCCACTACGAAGTGCTGGACCTCGCAGCGCAGGACCTAGGAGCGCTACTATTGCTCGCACTCCTTACTCTCCAATAGACTGGAGACTACGTTACCTCGACTCCCCCCGGAGCGCAAATCCTCGAAGCTCCAACCACAAGATGAGTGTGCGACATGTAATCACGCACACCATCACCTACAAGACAACGGAACTGGATGCGCCTCCAAAGGGGAAGCGAAGAAAGCACAGCCATGATAATAAGGAGTCGAAATAATTTTCCTTTAGTTTACTGGTTGGGTATCTCGATTTTGTTCAGGCGTCCTACTGGTCTGGTGTGCGGAGTTTCGGAATGCTGGTATTCAGCGCGGGCACAACCCGGTCCTTTTCTCTTTCTTTTGTCAATATTTATCTCATAAATAATAATCTAGAACCAATTTCTGGCGCTGAGGCGCTGCAACCCACGTTTTTGCACGGACATATTAGCTGACATGTAGTCTACTATTGGTACCTGAAGAACCACTTTCTTCTCTTCCCCGTCCCAAGAAAGTACCACCTTACTCCGTAGACATCCATCAATGCAGCAGTTCAATAACTCTAAGCTGACCAGCAAACAAGCCAACCCAAGCCATGAACCAAAGAATCAGGCCGCACATGTCAGACTCAGAAAGACACAGTTGACTCTCCACATCAATCACAAAAGGCAACAACCCTATCAGAGTCCCCAGTTCAACCCAAGTACGTAAGTCCACTTCGTGAGTCTCACTCACTACCATGGTCCCACCACCTTACAAGCTGAGAGCTCATCTCACACCAGAGGCTCAAGGCTGACCTGACGCTGATGCTGACGCAGACACTGACGCAGGGGCAAGGAAGCAATCAGTTGCAGTGCCTCCTTCCAAGTTTCGGTCAGTTGCTTCCAGTGTCCACATCTTGATCATATCATTAAACTAATTGCCGATCTCCTGATATTTGATCCTGCGATTAACAAAGGACCGGCTTTCCCGGCATTCCGGTATACATTGCGATTGGGTCGGCTGTGGGGGATTCGCGCAGCTTTCGAGGAAGGGTGATCTATGTATGTTATGACCCGAGATTCTCCGGTTCGAGCTTCTGGGGAGTCGAGCCATGCCAGTGATCTCATGCTTTTGCTCGTTGCTGCCTGGAGGCATGGGAGGTGGTGGGTTGGAGGTTAGTTAGGTGGATGGCGGGCGGGGACTGTGTACTGGAATCGGGCTTGGGCTTGACGGGGCGATGACAAGGCAGGCCCTACTTTTCTCTAGGTAGACAGAGTCAATCAGTGTTCTCCGTAGACTTGGCCGCGCAAAGTCAGTCCCCCGTTATAGTGGGAAGGCCCATACTCGCGTAAAATACACCGTTCTGTAATACCAAGCGGGACCGCAGTAATCAAACTTTAAGATCCTCTCCTTCTCCAAACCTTCCTGTGAGCTGGAACAACATCCAACTCTAATCTATACGGAGTAAGGTAAGGTAGACAATTCTGTCCGTGCCTGACCCCTCCCTTCCAGTTCCTCTCGCTGATCATTCCCTGTTTTCATAGCCCAGAAGCAAATATTCCTGCACTCTACATAGTCCATCCATCGCGGGTGGAACTTGTCGCCGGAGGACTGCGATTGGGCGACAAGGCGCGTGGATGAAGCATCATTACCGATTGTAATGACGAGCTTCCATCGGAGATGAACTCTTCTGCCAGTTTGACCCCTGTTCTTCAGGCCCGTACGCGAACATCAGATAGATAGGCCAAGGTCTGAAACGCTGCAACCTTCTATTTTAAAACAGTTTCAGCGCAGAGCTGTGATTGCTTCAGAGTGGTTTGGACGGAGATGGCGATGTGATAGGGGTGCGTAGGGTTGTTTCAGGCTCCGCCAAAAATAACCCATCCACTTAGTTGGGATCTGGTGGTAAGTGCTTCCTGTCAGGGACTGTATTATGCTTACCGTACGTACATACCTGACGGGGCTCTGGGAAGTTCCAGTCTTGCATACTGCCACTCACCAACTTTCAGCATTCTTCAGCCATCCCTACATCACAGCCGGAATGAGACTGAGAAGAGAAGATCCCCTCCATCAACAACACCCCGGTCAAGGGACAGACCAATGAGAGTTTATCCAGGACAATGGGCATCGTGGCACCTGTAGTTAAGCGCCGGCGCTATTCCGCTTTTGGATTGAGCGGCCCTGCTGTCTTGATGGATCCATGCTGTCTCCCCCTCCTTATGTCTTTTTAATGCTTCGATTGGATGCGGGTGTGGAGAATGCGTGGGGTTCGATGTCATTTCGGAAGGTGGGCGCTAAACTGAGGATACTGTGCCCCAGGCTCCAACCGTTGTTCAGAGTCGAGTCTCGAGTCACTTGCATAGTTACGTACTACCACCAGCTGGCAGTGGGTATTGAAAGATTTCTCGATGCTATGATTGCCTGGGTTTCTGGGAAACCAATTCTCGTGCTGTATGCTAGCTAGATAGCAAAAGTAAGAGATCTTATGGCGGCCCGTAGTAGTCAGTAATGATCTTGTGAAGAAAATTGCCGCCGAGCTGAGACTTTGGCGCAGTGTGAAGGATTCAGAAAGGTTATGCAGATGCATCTCATCACACCCTGAGTCCCTGACTGCCCTTCTTGACGCCGTGATCGCACACCCCAGTGGAACTTTGCAATGTCTCCAGCCTCGCCCACCAGCCAGAACGTTCTCTTCCGGCGATCTATCCACGAAATTCTGTAGGACGGAGTATTGTCAGATTCTTGCAGAATCTGAACTGTGATACAGATCTACTCCAGCTGATATTCAGTTCTCTCGATGAGTAGTGCAATGGGCAGCGCTACTCGGGGTCCCAGATGATGCACATCTCGTACGTTTGTGCTTTCAAAATGAGGGGTATACTTTGCGCACAGTCAGCAGGTCATGTCTAGCCTCAGTCTAGAGAGTGACGTGCAGTAGTGGTTGAGTATTGCTCTCCGCAAGGGGATCAGTCATGTAACGTCTTCTAAAGGGGAACGGATCATGCGTGACGTGGTCAAGGCGAGCCGGGCAACATGGTTGTACCCAAGGACAAGGAGCATTGGTGATTTTCAAGACGAAAACTTGTGTATACCGAAGGAAGTGCTCTGGCCTTGGGATGCTATTGTCGGTGGGCGCGTCCCGAGATGCAGGACGTCACTCAGCCAACCAGAGAGCCAGTTCGGCCAGGAAAGCTGCATTGGTGTCACTTCAGAAGAGTAGAATTAACAATGAGTGGCCAGCGGTTGACAGCACGGGAATGATCCTTAGCCAATAGGTGTTTATAGCCTTGTCAATTGATCAAGGCTCGCCAGCTATCAAGTTTGTGCGGTCTGGTTGACAGAGAGGATGTCGAGTGAAGCTCGGTTGGAAGCAGATGCATCAGCTTGTGTTGACTTGGTATCATTCGCTGAACCATCTTTCCAAGTCCAGGATGTTCAAGCGCTTGAAAGGCCTGTCGTTGGCCAGGCCGTGAAACAAGTTTTGCTCTCACTCTTGAACAGTGACTGTTATCCCAGCATCTTGAAGCTCGGAGTTCTCCAATTCCGATGACCGAGCACATGTAAGGCTGGCCTCGCGCAGGGTTTGGTTGAGGAGCAGGCAGCAGCGCTTGGCTTCGGACAATGCACCGGTGGCAACTGTGTGGGACAAGTACGACGAGGCTAATCCAATCCAAGGTCAGTCAGCACCGTTTCTTTCAGCATCTGCGCCATGCGGCCGTATCCGGGAGTCTCGAATGATCGATTATGCTGCTGGTGTGTTGGAACTTGGTCAAGACCGGGAATGGCGGCACAGAACCACCGAAAGAGCCTCAAGGCCGGGGCACTGTAAATCCTGGAATCATTTGCGATCCATACTCTATCCAGCATCCCAGGGCCGGCAAGGTTGAATCAGACTGGTAAGACATTCCGGCAAAGCTGTCTTTGTCGGTTCACCGCCACCCGGTTCTCGAAGCCTGATTCTTTCAGTATCATCGGGAAATGGGTTCAAGCTGGGTTGGTCCGGACAGACACCTCATGTCAGCTGACGTGCCGCGGGGGCAATGATTCGCGATGATGAGTGCGAAGAAGCTGGAGCTGCTGGACTGGGCTGGGGATAGTAACGCCTTTGTACTCGGGGTGTTGGGTGAGAGGAAAGAGCGCCAAGAGAAATCTATAATTAGAACCCACGGACCCCTCAAATGATTGTCGCGGTATCCATAAATAACAACATCAGTCAGGGTCGAAGACCGAAAGTCCAAGTCGAAGCAGAAGCTCTCCCGCCTCGTCCCGTGATTTCCTCCCCTCCTTGGACTCCAGCCTTGCCCTTCACCACTGCCAACTCTTCAGATGCAGCCTCCAGCTCAGTTGGCTTGATTTGAGTGCACTGTTCCCCCCTGGCTTGTTTCCTATTCTAGAAAAGCCCCGTTTTCGTTTCTTTTCTTCTTCCTTCACCCCCATCCTTTTCTTGAATCTCGCCATGGCTCACTCCCTACCGACTCCGTTTACGCCGGACAGCGACTTTGCCTCCCTTGAGACCCCGCGCGGGGGACGTGGCAGTCTGTCCATCACGGCTCTGGCCCGCTTCGAATTCGAGGCAGGCAAGGGCAATGATGGGACCAAGATTCTGATGGTCGAATGGGAAGATGATGACTGGAGTCGGTCTTCATGTCCTCCCGGTGGCTCATGGAACGTGGAATGGGAGGGCAAGAAAGCGGTTCTTCCAGCGGACGAAAAGACCAGCAACAATACACGACGATTGTACTTTTTGCTACTTCCGCATGTCACAATCCCGCCTGCGGTAACCCTATCCTACAATCCGCCGGCGTCCTCCGCGTCCTCCGAGAAACCGAACCCTATACAATTGAATCCGCTCCCAGCTATCTTTCCGCCAGAGCTCGGGGCAGACGGTCGATCCGCTGGCAAGAAGGGGGTATTGCACACCATCTGGGCGAAGAAACGGGTACAGGTGCTGGAGAAGGAGATCCGTGAGGAATCGCTGAACAACGTGGAGGGGATTGCCTTCCACATGGCGTTACAAGAAAAGGAGTGGATTGAGACCAATTTCGGACTGGGGCCCGATGCGCACAAAAATTCCATTCAGAACCAGGACCCGAACTATCCAATGGGACCTGCGACACCTGTATCGCCCAATGCTGGGGGGAAGCTCGGGGAAAAGCTGCGGGGTCTCAAGCTGCAGACAGGCCAGCGCGAGCTGTCCACAGCAGAAGGTACTTGGCACACATGCGCACTCTATATTTGTAACTTGGCTGACCGATCAGGATCGCATCTACTTTCCCCACAATCCCCCGACGTCGCCGTCTCCTCGTTCAATTCATTTCACAGCTTTCAGAAACCTGCGCCGCGCTCCAACCCAACCTCAAATCCCAGCCTAGATTCCGTGAAGACGGTAGCTCACTATCCTCCGGAGTCGCTCCAGGCGCAGCAGAACATGGGCTTCAACAGCGGCTTCTCCTCGATGGGCACAATTGCGCCCAGCATGGGATCAAGCTCTGATTCCGGTGAAGATCTCTTCGCGAAGGCATTGAGTCCGAGATCACCGGACCTCCCACGGAGTCCTTTCTCATTCAGCCCCGAAAGCCTGCATATGTGACCACGAACCCTTACGTTTCTTATGTCCCAGCATCATTCTTTTTGCTTCGTCTCGTTATATAATCGGTGCCAATAAGGCACCGCATGATTCCCCCGACAGCATTTTGGCATAAACCCCATGTTCACCAATAAAACATGATCGAGTCGAAAGTCTCATGTACATAGAACAATCAAAGTAGATACCATGTCCATCTCTTTTCTTGACTCTACCCTACACCCTATCAAAAATCATCCATAACAATGACCCTGCATAAACGTAGCGAGCCCAACTTAGTTCGCCTTCTTCTTAGCAGCAGCCGTAGCCCCCTTTTTCCCCTCCCCCTTCACCGCCGCAAACGACTCATCCTCCTGCGCATCCTTGCGCTCCGCATACCACTGCCCCGCCTGCAACACAAGAACACCAACCAAAACCAGCGCAAGAATCGTATTACTCGCACTGAGCACCTTGAGACTATCCTCGCGTCCAAGAATCTGCCCGACGTCCTCCTCGCTAGCCGCCAATTCCGCGCCGTACACGCCTCCACTAGCAAGACGGAGCCCCTTGACGATGTTCGCGACGTACACTGTGATTCCGCAGGCGTAGAGGACGAGCGAGGCGCCGTCAAAGAGCATGTTTGATTCGGAGGGGCGCCAGAGTTTCATTATGAGGCCTGCCAGGCCCAAGAAGATCACGATGTGGAGGATACGCGGGATCAGAGGCGGCGAGGCGTGGAGCAGGCGCAGGTGCGTTTCAAGGGAGTCGTAGGCGGTTGAGCCGGTGGGCGAGGTGGACCAGAGGATTGGGTAGTCGTAGGGGAAGAGGGAGAAGATTATGCCGAGGAAGAAGCTAGTTGCTGTTCGCATTGTTAGTTTGCTGCGAGCTTGAGAGGATGGATGCGATAGGGATGAATGAATTGCTGCGCGAATCATCGGGGTAAGAATGGGTTGTGTTGTGTCTGGGTACGTACGGCATACTATCAGGAAGGTCGCGAAGGACCCGTAGCGGAGTGCCATTGTGGTAGGTTGCGTTGTAGCTTGTCTGGATGAAGAAGAGGACGAGTCGACAGCTCAGAGAAGGGAAGTTATGAACCGGGCTGAGTTTCTGCGGAGGGGATGAAGTGGAAAAGTGTCGCCTGGATGATGCCAAGCCACCCGCGCGCCTTCTCGGCTTAACTGCGGAAGAATACGCTTATCTCCAGCTATTCCGGACTAGTCGATTTGAAATCATCCCTATGCTAGTAGATATACATAGAAGGTTTGTACAGCTGCTCAAGGTGGTATAATAATGCACGAAATAGAACAAATGTGGTATCTCCGCTGAATGCATAGCAAATCAATTCGACATGAGAGAAGATATCACGATATCACCGCTGATACCGTGGTAAAAGCTCATCCCCATTTGCAGCTCCTCCTACAAGCTGCTGGTCATCATCATCATCACGGAAAACCGGTGCGCTTGGCCCATCATCCGTATGCTCGTTAGGACCGGCGTCCGGGTCATTTGGCGCACTGGCTTCCATCATTAGCCGCTGGCGCTCCAATTCCTGCTTATCATCTTCACTTGGCCTCGACGGACTATCGAGAGGCGCAGAGCTGCTTCCTGCAATGACCGTCTGCACAGACTCGGCTGACATCAACGCTGGTGACATCCCATTCATACTATTTACACCGGGCGATGGAAGATGGTGGTAGTCGTTCAACTGGTCATCGTCCGGCAGTACGGGAGCGGTGGGCATTGCAGCCTCCGCCGCTGAAGAGGGTCCAGCCTCCTCTCCCGGTGGCTGGCTAGGCAGGAGCATTCGTTCGGCGTGCCGCAGTCGTGCTTTTTCGTCAGTCGGCTCATCCGGTTGGGGGCTCGGAATGTCCGCTGGCGGGAATGGATATTGATCCGGGTGCGAGTGATCCGAGTAGTCTGGCCATTGCATTTGATCCGGTCTCCATTCAGCATTTTCCGGTGGAGCGTACTCCGGCTCCGGACCAGCTGTGTTGCCCTGGGTGTCAGAGGGCTGGAATTCTCCGTCTTCAACGGGCTGTTGAATGTCCGTCACATCCGCAGCAGAGGATGTGCGCCGGGCTTCACTTTTTCGTCTCTGCGTATCTTGCGTCCCAATAACCACCTCGAAAACTACAGCAACGACCCCCTTCTCACGACGAATCTGGTCTGTATCTAGGATGTTGTCACCCCAATTGGCCGTGATAGCGCTTCCACTCGTATCCGCCGGATGCACTACTTTGCCATTTGAGGAAAAGTTGCGACCAGAAGAAACGAGGTTGAATCGCGGGAGGAAACGCTCCGGAGATGTCAACTTGCCGCGCAGATCAACAACCACTTCGACATAGTAACGGAAATTGATCATACTACCTGGCGTGCGAGTAATGGTGGGGAAAGCGTCTTCGGGTATGCGAATTGAGGTCTTGATATCGGCCGTCAGGGTCGTTGGATCCACAATTAAGGGCGCGAAAGTCTGCGACAGATCTTTCCGAAAAGTGCTGCTGGCCCTGGAGGTGCCAATAGTTAGACCACCCAAGCCTGTTCTGGAACGCGGATAATAGTCCTCGTAGACTAGCTTCTTCCCATTCGCAGTGGAACCCATCGGGATGGCAGGATGGAGATCGATGCGGCCTGACCGATAGAGAGTAATTATGATGCCGTGCGCGCTGCGCACTTGTCTTGTGTGATTGATGGTGATTTTTATGGGCAATGTATCCCCCGGCAGCACGCCAGCGCGCAGAACTTCAGCCTTAGCAGTGATTATCCCATCAGCAACAGAGGGGGTGATGCTCCGGCCCTCACTGTTTCGAGCACCGCTACTGGCGGCCGACCCCGGATCCGTCACGATCTGAAAGCTCTGGCTGCTGTTGCTTAGTCGACTAGATGAGCTAACATTGCTGGGTGCTGGACTGAGAGGAGGGCGATGTTCTGGAACGGCGATTCCCCCGCTTGCCGACGGCTCCAGTGACGCAGATTCAGGAGCATCGGATCCTGGCGGCTTTGTTTTCCCTTTTTGTTTTGAGCGCTTGGAGATGGGCTCAAGTGTTACTACTCGAGGCTTGGGTGCCGGAAAGCCCGCAATGTCAATGCTTTCCAGAAGGTTAATGCGCCTCCGACATGATAAAGTCGGATTTATGGTTGTGGGTTTCGTCAGGGTGGACGTAAGCATATAAGAAATAGTGCCTCTCTCGAACTGCATGTGATGTTAGCGAAAATAGCCGCAGACAAAGCTCGAAGTTAACATACGCTGATGCTGCTAGGTAATGCGTATGGGGGAAAGGACATCTCGAATCGGAACTTATAGATCCCTTCCTTGAGACGACCTTCTCCACAAAGGACCACCTCATCTTCGAACAATGTTGCGACGCCATTGCCCAAGTACTCAGCACCTCGGCGCCCGCGCCCAGGGCCCAGAGACCCAACATCTGGGGGATTCTCACCCGCTGGGACATTATTTTTGAATACCTTGACGATTCCATGCAAAGAGATAACCAAATGTGTGATGCGAACAGGCCGGACGACCGTAAGAGACACCGTTCCCTTAATCACATCGCCGGGAAAATAGGATCGCCAAGGGTCATCGGGTTCGATGTAGAAATCGGTTATAGCGCGATTGCGTTGACCGAGCTGTGAACGAAACTTGGACAGAAGAGAGGAGCGATTCCGACCGAGCGGCGAGGTAGAGGTTTGGGCGGGAAGAGGATTGGCGGACATGACACAGGAGCACCTCGCCCTAACCATCAAAGAGCGGAGGGCTTCACAATATCACCGGAAGTCAACGGTAGGAGCGTAAGGTTGAGGAATGATCGCGGCGGAAGATAGGTCGGTCGGCGTCTGGGCGGAGTTGGTGATTTCGGTGACAGTTCTCGGTTGGAGTGAGCCAAGTGACAAAGGCCAATGCTAGTACGTCGATAAGAACGCGGCAAAGCAAGGGGGCTCTGGAGGCAAGAAACGAGATCGCAAAGGGAGGAGGAATGGAGGGTGATGCAAGTCAAAATTCTCCGTTCCAACAATCCACCGACAGGTAGAACCCGATCTGGCCGTCGGGCGCAAAGCCGTAGTCCGAGCACAACCAGAGCACTCGGACACGAGACCGTGGTTCAAGTTTTTATATTGCGCAACCCAGACCAGACTCGCCCACAGTGCGATGGAGTTTGAGGAATTGTTTCACACAGCGACAAGCGAAAGAGGGGGAGTCGAAGGAATGCACGGGGAGGAAGGGAGGGCGCAGGAATCAGGAGTCGAGATGACAGGTCGGCATCATTTCACGCGGTGCTCCGGAAGACGAGGAAGTTATATCAGATGTGAGCGTCCTTTACTACCAGACGAGACAGGAAATCTGTCGTAAGTCGGCGCGAACACGAGGCGACTGGGCCGTGATGCGGCGAGGGAGGGGGGCTGGATTGAGGAGGCAAGCGTCGGAAAGAGACGGAGGAAAGTGTCGTCAGCTTGGGAAAGAGGTCGAGGTCGAGAGGTTCAGAGTGACAAGGCAGCAAGAGTAGGAAAGCGAAAGACAGGAAATAGGGGACGTGGGGAGGAGCCTCGAGGACACGGAAACAAGAGAGTTGGGAGAGAGAAGAGTTCGCGATAAGCAGGCGGAGAAGGGGAAAGGCCAACAGAATCCGCGTGGTGGCAGTCAAGCTTCTCTTGGGCCCAGCGTAGTTCGGGGCTCGGCGCCTCCACTTGTGCCTCAGTCGAGTCGAGGCGCGCTTTAAGAATCACGATCCAGGATGACAGCGATCACCAGACTTGACATGTCCATTCTTCTCTTGTTAGTCTTATCGTATGGCGAAGCTTTCCCAGCGGATTATCTCAGTTTTTAGGTAACAATGACGCCTGCTGCAACGATGATAAGTCCAGCACTCACTAGCCGACAATAGACTCGTCTTGACTCGTGCAGGCTGCGACTTATATTAATCATGTCGACCAGGCCAGTTCTCGCAGGCCCTCCCCCTCCACGTACTCGTCCCCGTAGCATTCCCTCTGCACCGCCTGCATCACCTCGCGATCTCCGCCAGTCAGCTTGCGGACATACTCTTCCAGCACGTAGATATTGTCCGTGTATTGTTGCGCCTGTTGGCGAGACTCCTCGATCTCCTCCTTCATCTGGCCCATTCCTTTTCCCTCCCCAGTAGTAGATATAGCCGTCCACTCAGCCAATAAGCGATTCCTTTCCTCTTCCAGCGCCTTCTTTGTCGCCATCAGCTCATTCCACTCATCTTCACCACCACCAAGCTTCAGCTCTTTGTCTCTCTCCTTTCTGCGCACGGCCAATTCCGCTTCGGCTCGCTTACAGCTTGCCCGGACCCGCTCCACATCCTTCCGGAGTTGAGCCAACTGCCTTTCGCGTTCCTTTTTCTCATCCCCACCAAAACACCAATACCAATTGCCGCTTCCGATCTTCTCCACACGGATCTTGCCATCATCTGTGAGTTCCTGGATATACTCTTTGACTTGGATGCCGTTGATCGAGGCTACCGAGGGGAGGATCTTCTCGAGGTCCTTCAGCGTGTGACAGGTCCGTGAGGTGCGGAGATGTGAGACAATCAAGCCTTGCTTGGCACTCTTGGAGAGTTTCGGAGGCTATAGCCGACGGTAATATTAGACCCTGGTGCTATGGCAGATTTGGGAATGTGAGACGACACGTACCATAGTGACGAATTGTGGCGGCCACTTATGGGTCGAGTCCTTTGTGACTTGCACAAAGCGCTTAGAGGATATGAGAAAGAACAGCGAATTAGAGGCCGTGGGATTCAATAGGTGAGGGCCAGACCAAGTCTAACAGCGTTGTTTATCGTAGGAAAGTTTGAGCAATCTGAAATGCAAAAGAATGTAGGAGGCCTAGAGTCTAGAGATCTTGAAGATGTGTTGGGTTGGTGACTTGGTGTTGAGTGCAGCTCGAGGTCTTGGCAATGTAAAGCAGTCAAAATCATGAGCACCTTCACTACTGGCAGCCAACCTCAGGAAGACAAGCCTTTGGTGGGGGAAATCCCAGAAGTATTGCGAAACTACAGTTTCCAGTCAAAGTGACGAGCTGAACGCGTTTACACTTAGTTCTTGGAGTAAACGATCCAAAGTTAGCAGTCATATTTCACTGGCAATCACGTATAGGCTATATGTTCCTTCATGCCCTTTACTTTGGGACGGCCTTTGAACTTGGATAAAGAAGTCATCTTGTGGTCCAATTAGAGAGGCCCAGCAATAACAAGAATGGGATGAGATGAGGACGTGTCAAGCCCCGGACAAAGTCGGGCTTCTGCATATGCACTATTCTCAACATTCCGTAAGGCAGCCGGCCGAAGTCCCGTAAGCCGTAAGCGCTTGCGGCCGTGGGGGTTAGTCGGTGTCTTAGAATTTGTCCGTCAAACTTTGACCCGTCTAGGCTCTGGCATATTGGCCCCAGTGCTGGGGCCAGGCCGCCAGGGTCACCGGACCAAGGCCAATTCGGAAAAGCGAATGTGGATACCTGATGGGAAAAGGGTCGTGATGTGATCACTCATCGATCTCCAAGAGTAATGATCACAAAGTCGTTGAGAACTTAATAATATTAGAGCCAGGCGTGGCCGGAAAGGTCGTATGTCGCTAGACCCAAAATGATTCCCATGGCACATTTGCTGTATGCCGGTGCCGCCTTTGACAAGCTTTGGCTTGACATAGCTTTAGTCTGCCAACGCCCCTAGCGGGGCTGAAACTTCATCAGAATTATGAGGTCAAGATATCCGGTGCGGCTAATATCCAAGAACCAAAGTCAGGCCAGTTGGTCGCCGCTGTTATGGTTTGCCGCGAAAGTGGTCTCGTTGTCCAGGTAGTTGCATGTTCAAAGCGGGTCCAGGACGATTTCCGAGCTTTTACCGTCTGTCTTCGGCCTCCGTGTCGATGTCCGTAGTAGATGTCCGGCGGGTCAACCTGGGCCTTTTGTTCCGCTTCTTCCGTTTGACCACAGTATCCAAGTCCTCGCCTGAGCTCGCATACATGCTGCTGAGGCTGGTGGCTCGTTTACGCCCCTTCTTTCTGGGTCTCGAAGTGGCCTCGTCGTCTGTGGGCATTGTGTCTCCCTCAACTAATGCCAGATCGCCCGTCTCTCCAAGCGACTCTCTTGCCAGCTCTTCCAAAAGTATGCCCATGAACATCAAAGACCTCCCATTCATGCTGTAGTGGTTGGCGCGGCCGTTTGGCCTAACTGCTTGGTCGTAAAAGTCCGCGGTATAGGAGTGTATGGCCTCTAACAACTCAGAGCTGGGGAGCGGTCGATCAGATGACAGCGACTCGTGCGCAAAGTATGTATCGGTTTCCTCATAGCGAACGGGCATGCCCTTTCGACGGAACAGCACCTCTTCAGGCGGGATAGGGCGGCTACTGGACGATGCTGTATCGCGGTACTTGGAGGCGTAGGATTTTGCGGATATAAATCCGTGCGAGTTGACACGGCCTAGACATATTAGTACGCAGTCGGTAACTCATCCCCAAAGCTACCTACCGGCGATAGCATCGTAGAGATTAGCTCTCCGTTTTCGTTGCTTTTCGGTCAGCGGCTCCGCGTCTTGCACAACATTGTCATCGTCCACAAAGTGCGACTTGCTGGACGACATTGTGCTGAAACTATCCTGGTTCCCACCGCCAGGAACACACTTCCATTGCGAGCGTTGATGTTGTCTTTCCCCACGAAGCGAATCTCAAAAAGTCGGAGAATTTGTAGTCACATGACTCAGTCCCCGCATCTTTTGATTACTAATGTCCCTGGCACATCAAATCACCATGACCTTGACATCACCTCCTATTGTACGGCTATGATTCTGTGTTTACTTGAACCATCGGAATGCAAGCTGTCTATGACAGTAGTATGCTCGGTTAATGACGGCAACGAGATCGGACACAATCCTGTCCGATGTCCACGATGTCAGTCAACTCTGGGTAGCCCCTGTTAATGTGCGGCATTATAACCTCGATCATTTATCAAAGAGCAAAAAATGAGCGTAAAAAGACGGAGCAATCCCAACTAGGCTTAGGCTACTCCGTACAGCGGGCTCTCGGACAGGTTGCGGAGAGATGAATCATGCCGGTGCTTATAAATGGCCCTATTATGGCCCTATTACGCAGCAGGCATGGATGAGCCTTCATATGGCCATGTCTTAAGTGTCCGCAACTTGCGTCTCCGATTGGGCCTGGTATAAATATTACGACCCATACTGTTCTTCTCACGCAATACCTTGATTATTCTCACTCCATTTCAGCCGTTCACCAGTTCCGCAGACCACCTCCGAAATGACTCTGAAATATCTCATCACCGGTGCGACAGGAGGCCTCGGAGAGCAGGTGCTCAACTACTTTTTGAACCATGTCTCTGCCTCCGAATATGCCGCAGCATCGTCCAGAGCCTCCAACAGAGCGCGCTTTGAAGACCGTGGCATCGCCTTCCGCCACGTTGATTACGATGATCAAGAATCGCTTGATTCAGGGTTACGCGACGTCGATAATCTGCTGTTCGTAAGCTCAAACACGTTTGATAACGACAGGCGGGATAAACAGCATTGGAGACTTATAGATGCTGCTAAGAGGGCAGGTGTGAAGCACGTACGTCGATTCTACTTGCGATCTTGAGGCTACTGTACTGACAAAGCCAGGTTTGGTACACATCTCTTGCTTTTGGTGGTTTCTCAGACGATTCCAAGGCCGCTGTTCAGCAGGCTCACCTGACCACGGAAAGACTTCTCAAAGAGTACGTTCTTCATGACGCTATCGCCATTGCAAACATCTGACGATCATAGATCTGGTATTACATACACGTCAATCCGAGAGGGCGTGTATACAGAAGCCTTCCCCGTGTTCATGAACTGGTACCCTGATAGTACAGCCGTGACACTTCCCGCGGACGGAGAGATAGCATATACTCGACGGGCGGAGCTGGGCGAAGCAACCGCCCGAATTATGCTGCGAGGTGGATACGAGAACCAGATCGTTCTGTTTACAGCCGAAGAAACAATCACGGCTAAAGAAGTCGTGGACATCATCAATGAGACCACAAAGCGCGCGGTGAAGTTTGAAATCGTCTCGCCTGAGGAATATGTGCGAGTGAATAGCGCAAGCGATCAGGGCCGAAAGCCGAGGGCATTCTTTGAGATGGTTTCGACTTGGTGGGAGGACATTGCAAAAGGAGAGCTACGTACCACGCATCCGCTCATGCGCGAGGTCCTTGGGAGAGCGCCCACAAGGCCTCGAGACGCGTTGCGGGCGATACTGACGGAAAATCCTGATTATACTTGGCATCAGAACTACCGAAAGTAGTCTGTCAGTACTTAATCGGTGGGAATACGACCATGTTCCTGCTGCGCCAGCCAGTATTATAATCTTGATCAAGCAAAGTTTCAGAGCTGTGTGGTACTTGATTGGCCCATAATTGAAACAGCTTCTTTTCTGTAAGCTGACCGTTGCAAAAGCGGGGGAGCTCCAAGGCAGGGGCCGGACCTCGGCTGAAGGGTAGCACAGCATTCTGGAGCTTTAAGTATAGTCCGGGCCCTTGACACAGAGGTCTACAACTTCATTTTAGAAAAGGGTACTCACAGGCTCAGTACATCAAACCCAATCATGCCGCACTCCAAGCCCTCCATCCCGACCTATGTCTTAGGCGTAGGAATGACGCAGTTTCTGAAACCTCGCCGCATCAGGGAATACCCTGAACTGGGCTACGAAGCGGGCATAAAGGCAATGCAGGATGCAAAAATCACCTACGACGATGTCGAGGCTGGGATTGCCTGCTACTGCTACGGCGACACCACCAGCGGCCAACGCATCTTCTACCAGTTTGGGCAGACCTCGATCCCCATCTACAACACCAATAATGCCTGCGCAACGGGCTCCGCGGGCCTGCACCTTGCGCGCACTATGGTGAAGAATGGAGGTGCGGATTGTGTACTGGTAATTGGCTTCGAGCAGATGCGGCCAGGGTCGATTAAGAGCGTCTGGGATGATAGACCGAGCTCCGTTGGGCCCTCGACAGCGCTGATGGAGAAGACGTTTGGGAAGCATAACAGTCCCAGGAACGCGCAGTATTTTGCGAATGCTGGGAAAGAGTATATGCACAAGTATGCTGCCCTGATCCTTCGTCTCCCATGATCTATACAAATAAATGCGCGTGCTAACGACTACAGATATGGTGCCAAACCCGAAGACTTTGCAGAGATCGCCCGGATCTCACACGAGCACTCCCAACGCAACCCCTACTCGCAGTTCCGGACGGCCTACAGTCTACAAGAGATTATGGACTCTACAACGATCTTCCCGCCCTTAACAAAGCTCCAATGTAGCCCTACCAGCGATGGCGCCGCCGCAGCCGTGGTTGTATCACAAGCCTTCCTCGACGCCCGACCCCATCTTAAATCCCAAGCTATCCTGATTGCAGGACAGCAGCTCCTCACCGACGATCCGACCGTCTACTCAGGGAGCGCCATCGACCTTGTAGGCTGGGGCATGACCAAGCGCGCAGCCAAGGAGGCAATGGCCGAAGCAGGCATCACACCCCAAGACGTCACCGTCTGCGAACTGCACGATTGTTTCTCGGCCAACGAGCTCATCCTTCTTGACTGTCTCGGTTTTTCGGAGCCAGGTAAAGCCCACGAGCTTGTCCGCCGCGGAGACATTACCTACGGCGGCAAAGGGCCAGTCATCAATCCTTCGGGAGGGCTGATTTCCAAAGGCCATCCCCTCGGAGCCACAGGCCTAGCGCAGTGCGCTGAACTGACATGGCAGTTACGCGGGTGGGCAAACAACCGGCTCGTCGAGAATACGTCGGTGGCGCTGCAGCATAACCTGGGTCTGGGGGGTGCGGTCGTCGTGACGGTCTATAAGCGGGCAGATGGGGAGACGAACAGAAAGCACTCGGATGAGGAGGTTGTTGCTGCTTCGGGAGTTGGATATAACCCAGCGACGGAGGCGCGCGTTGTTAGGCCTGCTGATGCGGAGAAGGTCAGGAGTCGGGTGAAGTCGGACTATCCCTTGGAGGATACCGTGAAGAAGCTTTCTGCGAGGATCTAGTTTGGTCATGTACTTATTCCCCGTAGTCAACTGTATACAATCATAGCTCATTTCGGCTATTCGGCCATAGTTGAATACTTGAGAACCAGCCCTCACGTCAATAACCCATTGGTGTATACGGACGAAACATACCGTGGCCTTAATTCTCCCTCTATTCACCGTCGTCTTTCGCGGCTTCCCTTTTGACAGCAAAAGCCATGCGCACGGTTCAAGCCCACCTCATTTCCGAAAGTCAGCTGGCCAATTTTCCTCGCGACATCCAGGTGCTTTTGGGGATCAATTATGCTTCCTCGCGAGCTTCGAACACCGCTTCGAGAGTACTCGTTCTCGAATGTCTCTTTTTCATGTCTCTCAATGGGCATGTTACTATCAAATTCTCAGTTTTGGAAGTGTTGCTAGGCCATGGGGTCATATTATATATCTCAGACTGGGGCCGTAGTTTTAGGCGTCAACACCAGGTGCCTGGAGATTTGAATCATGGTATCAGTTTAATACTTAAGGACTCTACTGGGATGTTTTAGGGCCTCAATATCCCAGCTTATGTGAAGCTTGAGTACCTATCATGTGACGCACCATGTACCTACCATCTCCCAGGTCCCTCCGTCATCGTACTGATCTAATTTCTCAATCCGAGACACAGCAAGTTGTCCTCATTGCTAAATAGCCCATAAAGTGGCGATATGATCGGAGGGTCCAATGACTAGTATTCAACCCTATTATTATGACTTTTGGGCAGGAATTATCGATGACTGATCCTCCACCAGTGTGGCAGGTCACCACAGCTGCTCACAACAAACGCACCGCAAGTCCCACCAGCAATGGCCTTGTGGCCAAGCATCTTCATCACTGGTATGGCCAAAGCAGTTTTCAAGTCGAACAAATCCAGTCTTTGCCAACCGAAATCGATGGTAGTGCACCTGATGGACGGTCCAGAAGTCGCCCAATCTTTCCGGGGTCCGACCACGAGCTCCATACACACGGACTCTAAGCTCCGCTCCAAATGTTGCTGAAGTCATGCATACCCCATGATACTTAGTCCAGGCGATGAACGGTGACATAGGCGCCTCATACTTTGGACGATAAGAGAACATTCCCTGGTGGAGCAGGATCGCTGCAATCGGTTGTCCGCTCCTTGTTGGTCCAGATAATCCAACGATAATAGAGTATTAGCTCTTCGATTGGGAATAGACTCAGTGGAAAAGTGCTTCCAGGACACTGGCAGCTGTGAAAAGTCGGAAAGCATATCGATAAAATCTCAAAAACAGGCTTCGACTAACAGCCGACCTCTTTACCATATTCGCCGGTCTTGCAGCCTCGATCAATGCCCTTTGCATCGAGTGATCGACTAAGATGCACATCTCCTACAGAAGCTAGATCTGCGTCACATCTTCTTCTACGAAGTATGGCAATATGGATACCTCCATACGACGGGTTAGAATTCCGCTATTCGAGGGCATGGGTTCGAACAACGGATTACACCAAGGAAAAAAGAATCTTTGGAATCGGTTTCCCCAGGTTTTGCGTAATGCTCCTGTGTCGTGCGGATGATGTTCCACAGTCCACACTTTACCAGCAAGTTGACCCCGGACATGTGGAATCATCCCCGCTCCAGGCGCATGCGGCGCGGAGGAGCGGAATGAACAGCGCGGCTGCCTTCAGCGATGTACGGCACTGGGGTGTGGGGTATGTGGATCGAAAGCTTTGAAGATCTCAGGGGCCGGCTAACTTGTCGGTAGAGATAAAGCTCAATTTCAGGTGTCCCCATAGTGGCTACCTGAGAAGAAACTCAACTGCCGATTGCAGGGGCCGGACTACGAAGCTGGGGTTGATCACCCCGAACAAGCTTGGAATTAGAGTTACAGGGACCTTGTCTCGCCCAATGTGGATGCGGTTCAGTAAGCTATTAGGGGATTTCCAGGAACCACCCATGGAACCAAATTGGCCATTCGCTCCCCCGCACTCCGCGTTCTCCATGCTACAGACTATGGTTCGCTTCCCCGTCTCCTCTACTCCGCGTGAACCAGTCACTGCAGCCCTAATAAGTTGGTTCTAGCTCTACCCATGGGCCATCACGCCAGCATCTATAGAATACCCCTATTCCGTTTTCACTCGTGCACCCAGGGAGACGCCTCTGGTGATCTTCACCCTCTTTTTGGGAAAATTCGGTGATACAGCGCTTGCCGATACTGAAGCCGGATGAACTAGGTGACGCTTCCAGGGTCACCGAACACTGACTACAGGGGGCCGCATCTGAACTTCTGAGGTATTGGCGGAATGAGGGGTACCCCAGAATATCACGGGGGGTGCGCTGTCTCGACCAGTGTCTATAAAACCCGCCTCGCCTCTCCCCGAATATTTAATCTCCATGACGCAGAACTCCCCTTTCACCCAATCAACCATGGCATCCACTGAATCTCACGAGAAATATGATCTCAAAAACACCATTACCAACGCTGAGACTCCTTCCCCTCCGTCTGAACAGCAACTAGCGCCTGAGACTTCCCACCTCGACTATGCTACCTCAGGAGGACTTTCGCACACGCTCACAGCAGATAGTCGCCTACCTGCCTTTGGGGGTGCCTTCCAGCCCGGTCTATACCGACCGCCGAAGAAGATCGCGAACCCTGCTCCTCTCGGTCTGAGCGCTTTTGGCCTTAGCGCTTTTCTCCTAGGGTGCATCCAAATGAAGGTTCTGAACATTGCTACTCCTAGCATACTCGTTGCTCCTGCATTTGCATATGGTGGTCTAGTTCAGCTACTGGCCGGCATGTGGTAAGTCCTGGATCAACCCTGGGTATAATCGATCTAACAAATTAGGGAAATGGCCATTGGAAACACATTCGGAGCCACAGTTCTCTCCTCATACGGCGGGTTCTGGATCTCCGTCGGAATCATCTTCACTCCCGGCGGCTTCAACATTATGGGAAGCCTTGTTGAGGCCAGCGGTGGCACTACCGACATGTTCAACGACTGTATCGGCCTGTTCTTGCTGGTTAGTCCCCGATCACCGCCCACTCCCCTTCATCAACTAACTAACCCTCTTGTGACAACCAGGCCTGGTTTATCTTCACCGTTATCATGACACTATGCACCTTCAAGTCGACCCTGGCCTTCTGCTCCTTATTTGTGTTTGCGGACGTCGCTCTACTGCTTCTGGGAGTCGGCTTCATTCACCGAGATGCTATGGGTAACCCGAATGACGCTCTCTGCAAAGCAGGAGGTTTCTTTGCAATTCTATGCTCGTTCCTGTGCTGGTACAATGCATTTGCTGGTCTCGCTGATGGAACTAATACCTTCGGTGTCCCTCCTGTCGTGCATTTTCCTTGGTCAGAACAAGGCCGGAGCCGCAAGCCGCGGCGTCCTGCGCCTACTGAAGGTGAAGAGTCGGTATAGCTGGATGGGGGGTTTGCGACGAGTTGTTGATGGTTGATGCTATGTCTGGATCCATGTTTCCGGATGATGGGCATTGTATTGTATGACTCTGATACCTTCTGATACTTCTACACGAACTCTAGTTGGTGAGTTTAATCATTATGATAGGAGAGAAAGACGCATTTTCATAAGATCTGAGACAGCATTTGGAGAAATTCATACTCTCGAAGGGCAAGTGAAAACTATAGTTACTGCTTGAAGAAGGGGAGTAAGAGATTAGTAGACTTTGAAGAAATAGAATGAGTAGGTACAACTGGACTGGCATTAAATAAGTAGATTCGAATTTATGCCATGAGCGCTAAGTTCGTGGACAATAAAGCTTGAATCATGGTCATTACGAATAACTTCAGGTATGCCAAATCCGGATAAATAGATCAGTGATCTTGGTAAAACAGGCGCTGACTACCTATTGGACTACAGTCGCTGTATATTACTTACCTAGTGTCATATATGGCGGGTATCTCACTCTTAGGCATGGCATCCAGACTAGTAAGCTGCTAGTAGAGGCTAGTTTTCCTTGCTGTGTGCTGAACTCACGCAGATGGACGATGTGCTTGCAACAAGACAAGTCCTGCCAGGCTCTTTGCCATCAGGCTCTTTGCCCTGGGGCTGGTCTTACGTAGGTCCCGTTATTTCTTAGGCGCAAGCTTTAATGCCGGGAGTAATACGCGTGGCTAGAACAAAGTTTATCCTGCCTAAAATATTAAAAATACTATTATTAACGGCCTATTTAATATTTAATACTTTTATTAATAGCTTATTTTAAATAGTAACACTTTTTTTAATAGCCATAATAATAGCAAATTTAATAAAAATATTTAAAAAATAATAAAAAAATAAATTATATAAGTAGTATATAGCCCGCCTATGTAAACCTATAATTTATAAACCCTTAATTTTTTATATTTTTTTTATTATAATAGCTAATATTAAAGGTAATAATAATACTACCTTTTTTTTACTTACTTATTTATTTACTTATTTTTATATTAACCTAGCTACTAGCGGCCTATATTATTAATATAATAAATTATTTAAGTTATAAATTAGTAATTTTAAAAAAACTTTATAATTAATTATATTATTTATAGCATGAGCTCGCGCTTTATAAGCCTATTAATAAAGCTAATATAATAAAAAAGATTATAACCCGCCTTATTAACTAAAAAGTTATTATTAGGTAGTGTGTTAACATGCCTACTAAAAATAATATAATTTATGGGTATTATACCTAAGGCCACGGGCTATTTATAAAGTATATTATTATATTAAATTAATTTAATAATAATTATATAAATTATTATTAAAATAGTTTTAGTGCGTGGTATATTAATAAATATAAGTTATAGCCCTTATTTACTTATAAATATATTAACTAATATATTTAGCTCCTGTACCAGGTAATAATAATAATAATAATAATAATAATAAAATAAAAAAAAAAAAA